CTGTTCTCAGCTCCCCACCCTGACAGTGCGGCTGTTCTCAGCTCCCCACCCTGACAGTGCGGCTGTTCTCAGCTCCCCACCCTGACAGTGCGGCTGTTCTCAGCTCCCCACCCTGACAGTGCGGCTGTTCTCAGCTCCCCACCCTGACAGTGCGGCTGTTCTCAGCTCCCCACCCTGAGAGTGCGGCTGTTCTCAGCTCCCCACCCTGACAGTGCGGCTGTTCTCAGCTCCCCACCCTGACAGTGCGGCTGTTCTCAGCTCCCCACCCTGACAGTGCGGCTGTTCTCAGCTCCCCACCCTGACAGTGCGGCTGTTCTCAGCTCCCCACCCTGAGAGTGCGGCTGTTCTCAGCTCCCCACCCTAGCAGTGCGCCTCGTATAAGGATTCTACATTTCTCTTTATCTTTTACGATATCTCGCATAAATTTGCTCAGAAATGCTTTACTCTCACCTTTGTACGACACGTTTAATATGTGTCCTCATATCCTTATATCAACACATAGATGATCCTCTAGTGATCATGTCTTACTTTTGGCCTATGATTGATTGTTGAAATGATTTACATTGTTCTTTTTCCAATTCTCTGGTGACCTTTGACCTAGAACGTGCCTCTCCTTGGCTGACCTCAGGACCTCCTTGCTCGCCTTCTACTCTTTAGAGCGAGTAGAGTAGCCTCTGGGAGCCACAGCGGGAGGCTGTGACTGCCAGAGTCCACAGCGGGTAGCTGTGGCTGCCAGAGTCCACAGCGGGAAGCACGTTCAGTATACATCGCCTACCCCGCTGCCTGCCCTGCTTTATGCAAGTCCACCCTACAAGGACATTCTCCTTTGCCAGAAGAAAACGAGCAGGTACAGAGAGACAAAGGAAGCAAACAAAAATAAAGAGTAAACACAGGTTGTGGAACTACAGGAAATGTTGAGGCTGGGGATGTTAAGCAAGAGTGAGGAAGCGAGGGCGGTCTTGAGAGGGCTTGGGAGGGCTTGGGAGGTCTTGGGAGGTCTTGGGAGGTCTTGGTGGTAATTGTGTTACAGGCCCTGGAAACTCTTCCAGTGAAGTTGTTGACTGTAAGACGTTTATGGCTCCCTATGTGGCGTTAATATGCCTCACCACACTGTTTGTTTAACCACATTCTCTCATTTACCACACCCTGGTGGTTCACCACACCCTGGTGGTTCACCACACCCTGGTGGTTCACCACACCCTGGTGGTTCACCACACCCCTGGTGGTTCACCACACCCTGGTGGTTCACCACACCCTGGTGGTTCACCACACCCTGGTGGTTCACCACACCCTGGTGCTTCACCACACCCTGGTGTTTCACCACACCCTCGTGCTTCACCACACCCTGGTGCTTCACCACACCCTGGTGTTTCACCACACCCTCGTGCTTCACCACACCCTCGTGCTTCACCACACCCTCGTGCTTCACCACACCCCTCGTGCTTCACCACACCCCTGGTGCTTCACCACACCCCTGGTGCTTCACCACACCCTCGTGTTTCACCACACCCTCGTGCTTCACCACACCCTCGTGCTTCACCACACCCTCGTGCTTCACCACACCCTGGTGCTTCACCACACCCTGGTGCTTCACCACACCATGGTGTTTCACCACACCCTGGTGCTTCACCACACCCTCGTGCTTCACCACACCCTGGTGTTTCACCACACCCTGGTGTTTCACCACACCCTCGTGCTTCACCACACCCTCGTGCTTCACCACACCCTCGTGCTTCACCACACCCTCGTGCTTCACCACACTGTAATGCTTCACCACACCCTGGTGCTTCACCACACCCTGGTGCTTCACCACACCCTGGTGTTTCACCACACCCTGGTGTTTCACCACACCCTGGTGTTTCACCACACCCTCGTGCTTCACCACACCCCTGGTGCTTCACCACACTGTAATGCTTCACCACACCCTCGTGCTTCACCACAACCTGGTGCTTCACCACACCCCTGGTGCTTCACCACACCCCTGGTGCTTCACCACACCCTGGTGTTTCACCACACCCTCGTGCTTCACCACACCCCTGGTGCTTCACCACAACCTGGTGCTTCACCACACCCTGGTGCTTCACCACACCCCTGGTGCTTCACCACACCCCTGGTGCTTCACCACACCCTGGTGTTTCACCACACCCTCGTGCTTCACCACACCCCTGGTGCTTCACCACAATCTGGTGCTTCACCACACCCTCGTGCTTCACCACACCCTCGTGCTTCACCACACCCTCGTGCTTCACCACACCCTCGTGCTTCACCACACCCTCGTGCTTCACCACACCCCTGGTGCTTCACCACAACCTGGTGCTTCACCACACCCTGGTGCTTCACCACACTCTTGTGCTTCACCACACTCTTGTGCTTCACCACACCCTGGTGCTTCACCACACCCCTGGTGCTTCACCACACCCTCATTCTTAACCACACCCTGGTGCTTCACCACACCCTGGTGCTTCACCACACCCTGGTGCTTCACCACACCCTCGTGCTTCACCACGCCCTCGTGCTTCACCACACCCTCGTGCTTCACCACACCCTGGTGCTTCACCACACCCTCGTGCTTCACCACGCCCTCGTGCTTCACCACACCCTCGTGCTTCACCACACCCTGGTGCATCACCACACCCTCGTTCTTCACCACACCCTGGTGCTTCACCACACCCTGGTGCATCACCACACCCTGGTGCTTCACCACACCCTCGTGCTTCACGACAATTGCAGCAATCATCGCTCGGAGTCAACAGAACCACAGACCTCCGTTGCACTAGCTTTTATTTCCTGCCACAGAGGGTCGAGAATTGCCCGCATGGCCTTCAAGGAGCCTTGTCATGACCTCATCATCTACTCTAACATGTCCAAAATAAGTCAGGCTAAAATAATTAGCCCATTGTAATTATATTCCTTCTCTGGAGGATGATGAACTGTTGGACGCCAGAACACTGAACAATGTGACCCGCCCTGGTCCACAGATATGTGACCCGCCCTGGTCCACAGATATGTGACCCGCCCTGGTCCACAGATGTGTGACCCGCCCTGGTCCACAGATATGTGACCCGCCCTGGTCCACAGATATGTGACCCGCCCTGGTCAACAGATATGTGACCCGCCCGGGTCCACAGATATGTGACCCGCCCTGGTCCACAGATATGTGACCCCGCCCTGGTCCACAGATATGTGACCCCGCCCTGGTCCACAGATATGTGACCCGCCCTGGTCAACAGATATGTGACCCGCCCTGGTCCACAGATATGTGACCCGCCCTGGTCCACAGATATGTGACCCGCCCTGGTCCACAGATATGTGACCCGCCCTGGTCCACAGATATGTGACCCGCCCTGGTCCACAGATATGTGACCCCGCCCTGGTCCACAGATATGTGACCCGCCCTGGTCCACAGATATGTGACCCGCCCTGGTCAACAGATATGTGACCCCGCCCTGGTCAACAGATATGTGACCCGCCCTGGTCCACAGATATGTGACCCGCCCTGGTCAACAGATATGTGACCCCGCCCTGGTCAACAGATATGTGACCCGCCCTGGTCAACAGATGTGTGACCCGCCCTGGTCCACAGATATGTGACCCGCCCTGGTCCACAGATATGTGACCCGCCCTGGTCAACAAATATGTGACCCGCCCTGGTCAACAGATGTGTGACCCCCGCCCTGGTCCACAGATATGTGACCCCGCCCTGGTCCACAGATATGTGACCCGCCCTGGTCAACAGAAAAGTGACCCGCCCTGGTCTCCAGGAAGCAGGGAACGTAAGAGAGACTAACCAACCTGGTCTTTAAAATGACAAAAATAACCTTTGATCTGGAGGTTGTGAAGTGGTCACGAGGACAGCTTGCGGGCAAACTCGCAAATTGTCTGTCGAATATTAGAGCAGGTGCAACCCTTCAGTTCCTCAAGGTCGCTCCAGGCCACCGTGGGGCTTTGTACCAAGACTCCGTGTCCGAGGGGTGTCCCGGGGCACCGTGGGGCTTTGTACCAAGCCTCCGTGTCCGAGGGGTGTCCCGGGGCACCGTGGGGCTTTGTACCAAGCCTCCGTGTCCGAGGGGTGTCCCCGGGGCACCGTGAGGCTTTGTACCAAGACTCCGTGTCCGAGGGGTGTCCCCGGGGCACCGTGAGGCTTTGTACCAAGACTCCGTGTCCGCGGGGTGACCCGGGGCACCGTGAGGCTTTGTACCAAGACTCCGTGTCCGAGGGGTGTCCCGGGGCACCGTGAGGCTTTGTACCACGACTCCGTGTCCGAAGGAGCTACTTAGATACCGTGTCTTTGGTAACAAGTGAATGTACTTGTTCATTCAAGTACGTACAAGACCGGGGCAGCGCAGGTGAGCACAGTGGCTTACGTTCTCGGCACACAATCGACGGACCCGAGTTCAGTCCCCTGATGGGACAAAAACGGTTGGGCACTTCACCTAACAGGTACCCGGGGAGTTGGGCAATTGTTATGGATCACATCCTGGGGGGAAGGTGAGTAGTTGGCCTAGAGCAATGGTTCTCAGCCATGGGGTCGAGGGACCGTGTATTGTTCTGTACTCCAACACAATAACAATCACTTGTGAGCGTTGAACTCACTGCTTTGTGTCATCACTGACGTCCACTTTTGACTGAGAATAACAACGCCGAGGCTTGTGGCATGTGAATATATGTATTTGTAGTGGCAATGGCGATTGTTAATATCCGGTTCCTCTCCCCCCCCCTCCCTCCCCCCCCCCCCTCCCCCCCCCTCCCCCCCCCTCTCTCTCTCTCTCTCTCTCTCTCTCTCTCTCTCTCTCTCTCTCTCTCTCTCTCTCTCTCTCTCTCTCTCTCTCTCTCTCTCTCTCTCTCTCTCTCTCTCTCTCTCCTCTTCTCCTCTTTCCTACCTACCTGCTCCTTACCGTCCTTCCTTTCCTCCCTCCCTCCCTCTTACACGCCATTACTCACGAGTGTACATGCGGCTGGTGTACACAGGGACTGAAACGTGTCTGGTGTTCGTGTTGCAGACAAAGTGTGCAAGCGGCCCTGGACCTTCGAGAGAGTCCCTCACATGATGCTCAAGGACCTGGACGACGCCCGTATATTCACCTCTACGAAGGAAGGTTGTCTGGCCGCGTGTCTCAACGAGGTGAGTCATGTCTTAGTTGAGGTGATGCATGTCTTAATGAGGGCTAGCGTAAGGCTGAATGAGACGAGTCATATCTCCGTAACGCCTAGCTAAAGACGGTCTGAAAGAGGTTAATCTAGGTCTCGCTTCATGCACGTCGGCCTTCAATCCCCGACCGTCCACAAGTGGTTGGGGGCACCATTCCTTCCCCCCCCCCCCCCGGCCCATTTCAAATCCTTATCCTGACCCCTTCTCAGTGCTATATAGTCGTAATGGCTTGGCGCTTTCCTGCCTGATAGTTCCCTCCCCTTAATATTGCTGATTCCAGTAGTAGACATGTCTTAGACCAGAGGAGTCTGGTAGATGAGTTTAGATGAAGTCATTCTAGGAGACATGTCTTAGACGAAGCGAGTCTCAAAGACACGTTTTATTGTGGTGAATATAATTTTAACTTGTATTTATCATCTAAATGATTTAATACATATTGTGAGAACCTACATTTTAGTAAAATTAATTAGCAATTAAACATTCTCTAAAGAGTTGTTCATTAATACTGCGGCTTAACAGCCTTAGGACAACCAATCACATTTCTCATTGCACTTAACTCCTCTTACTCTACAGCTCGTCTTGGTATTATCTTTAGTCTTAAGAGACCATTAAGTTACACTTGTGGTCCACCTGCTCACCCCTAAACCCAATTTATTTTGGTTTATGTATCGGGAATTGTGAAGATCAACTTCTCCTGTCACTTTGTGATACCTGGTTGATGGGGTTCTGGGAGTTCTTCTACTCCCCAAGCCCGGCCCGAGGCCAGGCTTGACTTGTGAGAACTTGGTCCACCAGGCTGTTGCTTGGAGCGGCCCGCAGGCCCACATACCCACCACAGCCCGGTGGATCCGGCACTCCTTGAAGAAAACTGTCTAGTTTTCTCTTGAAGATGTCCACGGTTGTTCCGGCAATATTTCTTACACTCGCTTGGAGGACGTTGAACAACCGCGGACCTCTGATGTTTATACAGTGTTCTCTGATTGTGCCTATGGCACCTCTGCTCTTCACTGGTTCTATTCTGCATTTTCTTCCATATCGTTCACTCCAGTACGTTGTTATTTTACTGTGTAGGTTTGGGACCTGGCCCTCCAGTATTTTCCATGTGTATATTATTTGATATCAATTGTGGGTTTCTATTATAATTTAAATAAGAGGTAGATTGGAGTACGTATTATAAAGTGCGTTTCTACCCCTCGTGCTCTAATCTACCCCTAGTGTCCTCATCTACCCATAGTGCCTTCATCTACCCCTCATGCCCTCCTCTACCCCTAGTGCCCTCATCTACCCCTAGTGCCCTCATCTACCCCTAGTGCCCTCATCTACTACTAGGGCCCTTATCTACCCCCACCCACAGCAAGTTCATTACACACGTTCACCGCCACATACAGATCAATAACTCTCGCCCTCCTCTCCCACAGAGCAGGTTCATAACCCCTCCTACTCTCCCACAGAGCAAGTTCAAGTGCCGGAGTGCGGAGTACAACTACGTGACGCTACAGTGCCAACTGAGCCAACATGACAGAAGGTCGGCGGGGGTCAACATACAGATGGTGGAGACCAAAGGTGTAGACTACTTTGAGAACCTGTGTCTCTCATGTGAGTACCTCACAGAACCTGTGTCTCTCATGTGAGTACCTCACAGTAATGTGAGTACCTCACAGAACCTGTGTCTCTCATGTGAGTACCTCACAGAACCTGTGTCTCTCATGTGAGTACCTCCACAGAACCCGTGTCTCTCATGTGAGTACCTCACAGAACCCGTGTCTCTCATGAGTACCTCACCCTGTGTCTCTCATGTGAGTACCCCACAGAACCTGTGTCTCTCATGTGAGTACCCCACAGAACCTGTGTCTCTCATGTGAGTACTCCACAGAACCTGTGTCTCTCATGTGAGTACCCCACAGAACCTGTGTCTCTCATGTGAGTACCCCACAGAACCTGTGTCTCTCATGTGAGTACCCCACAGAACCTGTGTCTCTCATGTGAGTACCCCACAGAACCTGTGTCTCTCATGTGAGTACCTCACAACGGGAGACCGATGGACAGATGTTTTGTGTATTTCCTGTATCTGACAACAGGCCGTCGATGGACAGATGTTTCTGTCCAGAAAAAGGAAGTTTAATGATACGGAAGGCGCTATGCTCTGATGAGTGACTGAGTTTCCATGATTAGATTAATTGCGCGCGGAGCTATAATTACTCATTAACACGTTGATTAAATCTTCAGATACCAGTTTCATTGACGACTTGGTGTGAGAGATAGAGGTCAAGATCTCGTTGTTTCCGCGTGACACATGAGCTCTGTCACACGGGTCTGTGAGTTAAGGGTCCTCTGATAGGTTAGGTGGGCAGGAAATTCTCATAAAGTTTCAAAACGGTATGAAAAACGTTTATGGAAAGTTTCCTCTTCTAAGCTTGCCGAGTAAGCCGGACGACTCAAACAGAAAACGGAACAATACGTCACTTTTGTGAGTCGATTTCATTTCAAATTACGCCCAAATTTGGCCATAGCGCGCATACGAGCGAAAAGTGACGTTATTTTTAAGAGGACGGGTTGCTGTGACAGCCCCGGCGGCATTACCATCCCACGGCCAGCTATAACAAGGTTTGAGAGGGAGGGGGACTTTTAAAATAAATAATAGCTATTCATTTAAATTTAAATTAATAGTCCGCGGTATTAGTGCTATAGTTTGCATGAGAGCATCTTCTTGAGCAGTCTTGGTGTGATCTTGGAGACCAGCCTGGGGCCAGATTCACGAAAGCACTTACGCAAGCACTTACGAACGTGTACATCTTTCCTCAATCTCTGACGGCTTTGGTTACATTTATTAAACAGTTTACAAGCATGAAAACTTGCCAATCAACTGTTGTTATTGTTATAAACAGCCTCCTGGTGCTTCCGAGCTCATTAACTGTTTAATAATTGTAAACAAAGCCGCCAAAGATTGAGAAAAGATGGACAGGTTCGTAAGTGCTTTCGTGAATGTGGTCCCAGGCGGTGATGGCCGCGTGTCTCGAGGGAACGTTACCACCAGCTGGTGAACGGCCGCACCAAGAAGGGCTCACACCCTCACAGACCATGCCCCTGGAAACACAACCCGAAACTGTCACTATTTTCCGCTTGTTACAACTTGTAATAAAGTTGTTACATCTTGGCTTAACGTGTTTATGACGTATTAGAACGTTGTTACAACTTGCTATATTGGTTGTTATAACTGGTTAGGAAGTGTTAAAACTTGTTCGAACGTTGTACCACCGTCGTAGTTTCGGTGTGTGTTTGGCGGGAATTTAGCAGTACTTGTAACCATGAGGACTATAGTACATATAGCGACATACAACATAATTAGAAAGTAAAAAGCTATACTATTCAATTTTGGACAAATTGGGAATCTTTTGTATTTAGGCCTAACGCACACTATCCGAGGCCTAATATAGTACATATGTGTGCTATACTAGGCCTAGGAGTATTCAGGTTTGTTTTTAGCTTCCCTTTTTTCAGACACTATAAAATGAATAGTACAAAGTTCTACTATCTAATTGAAATTGAAATTGAAATAAGTTTATTGAGATAAAATACACACAAAGGGATGAGGTAGCTCAAGCTATTCTCACCCCGTTCAGTACATCGTGTTAATACATACATAGACACACATCACAAACAATAAACATATTACCAAACATTCTGAGAGATAAGCATATACATTTCCCCCTTAACACAAGTAGTATGGTACCAGACGTACACATAAACTATCTAATTATTTTAGTATGTCACTGTTTGTACTATGGTGCACATAGTTACAAGAAGTACTATGTAAAGAAGAGGATGAGTTAGTAAGCTGTAACTCATCATCCTCCTGTTTAGATAATAGTGTTTATAACTGTGTGCACCATAGTACAAACATTGACGTACTAAAGCAATTAGATAGTAGAACCTTGTACTATTCACTTTATTGAATCTGAAAAAAAGCTAAAAAAAACAAATATCCCTAGGCCTAGTATAGCACGTATATGTACTATATTAGGCCTCAGATAGTGTGTATTAGGCCTACGAATATTAGGTTAGTTTATCTTTGCAATATATAATACAAAACCTTTTCCGGTTTGTCAAAATTCAATAGTACATATTTCCACTTTTTAGTTGAGTTGTACGGGTGTGTATATATATATATATATATATATATATATATATATATATATATATATATATATATATATATATATATATATATATATATATATATATATATACTATAGTCCTCATCCTTGCTATAAGTATTACCAAAACAAGAGGGCGGGCTGATCTCAACCATCACACATAAGAACATAACATAAAGGAACCTTCATATGACCTGTTGGCCCATACGAGGCAAGGCCTATTGATACTCAGCCAAACTCAGCATTTCGAAGATGTCATATTTTGATTCTTTAAACTGTTGATACTAATCAGCATCTACTACGTCCACCGGCTTATACCCACAGCCGTGGTGGTCGTTAGGGCAATGTGTATTGTGTTGTGTACTTTAGCTGTTAAGAGACAATATTAAGCAAGGGTTCCTCTATCGCCTATGAATTTGTCAAGGCCGCGCCCTCCTGTATGTCTGTTAGCGGCCCTCCCTCCCTCCTTCCCTTCTGTGAGTGTCAGAGCCCCTTCTTCCTTCTGTGAGTGTCAGAGCTCCTCCCTCCCTCCCTCCCTCCTGTGAGTGTCAGAGCTTCTCCCTCCCTCCTGTGAATGTCAGAGCTCCTCCCTCCCTCCCTCCCTCCTCCTGTGAGTGTCAGAGCTCCTCCCTCCCTCCTGTGAGTGTCAGAGCTCCTCCCTCCCTCCTGTGAGTGTCAGAGCCCCTCCCTCCCTCCTGTGAGTGTCAGAGCTTCTCCCTCCCTCCTGTGAGTGTCAGAGCCCCTCCTGTGAGTGTCAGAGCTCCTCTCTCCCTCCTGTGAGTGTCAGAGCTCCTCTCTCCCTCCTGTGAGTGTTAGAGCTTCTCCCTCCCTCCTGTGAGTGTCAGAGCTTCTCCCTCCCTCCTGTGAGTGTCAGAGCTCCTCCCTCCCTCCTGTGAGTGTCAGAGCTCCTCCTCCCTCCTGTGAGTGTCAGAGCCCCTCCTCCCTCCTGTGAGCGTCAGAGCTCCTCCTCCCTCCTGTGAGTGTCAGAGCCCCTCCTCCCTCCTGTGAGTGTCAGAGCTCCTCCCTCCCGCCCTCCCCCTCCTGTGAGTGTCAGAGCTTCTCCCTCCCTCCCTCCTGTGAGTGTCAGAGCTTCTCCCTCCCTCCTGTGAATGTCAGAGCTCCTCCCTCCCCTGTGAGTGTCAGAGCTCCTGTGAGTGTCAGAGCTCCTCCCTCCCTCCTGTGAGTGTCAGAGCTTCTCCCTCCCTCCCTCCTGTGAGTGTCAGAGCTCCTCCCTCCCTCCTGTGAGTGTCAAAATCCTCAGATTAGGCAAAATTCCTGTAATTAATTTTGTCAATAAAGATGTTAATAATAATAATAATCCTCCCTCCCTCCTGTGAGTTTAAGCATTGCCTCCTCCTCGTCCCGCAGCATCGGAGTCGTGTAGCGAGGACAGGGAGTACCTGGAGCCTGAGCTGGGAGTGTCCGGTCAACTGGTCTCCCACTACGTGGACATGCACTACTACGTCGACAAGGAACTTATGGTGAGTGTCTCCTTCCCTCCAGACCAGCCCGGAGCCCCTCTCCTCCGTCCCATGTCCTCTCCCATCGTCCCATGTCCTCTCCCATCGTCCCATGTCCTCTCCCATCGTCCACCTCCGCCTAGCTGCTCCTCCCCTTCCATATTGTCCTCTTAGCGAGCGGTTAAGTTTAGAGATCTGGCGAAGAATGACGCGGACGAGGCTGCCTGTGTTAGCGCGGGAGTTCTCTATTGTCAGAGCCGATGCTGCCTCCTTCACCACTTCTAAATCCCCCCCACCCATTACCTCAAGGGGCCTCCCCACCCATTACCTCAATGGGCCTCCCCACCCATTACCTCAAGGGGGCCTCCCCACCCATTATCTCAAGGGGCCTCCCCACCCATTACCTCAAGGGGCCTCCCCACCCATTACCTCAAGGGGCCTCCCCCACCCATTACCTCAAGGGGCCTCCCCACCCATTACCTCAAGGGGCCTTCCCCCACCCATTACCTCAAGGGGCCTCCCCCACCCATTACCTCAAGGAGGCCTTCCCACCCATTACCTCAAGGGGGCCTCCCCACCCATTATCTCAAGGGGCCTCCCCACCCATTACCTCAAGGGGCCTCCCCCCTCCCTACACACACACACACACTGCGCTAGTAAATGTAATGAAACATCTCAGCTTGTAACATATCTTTGGTGATTACTCCAACAAAATTAACATTTCCTATAACTAAACATTTCTGACAACCGCGGAAAACATAAATAACATAAAATGACAAGATAAATACACAGAAATATACAGTAATAGTAAGTGGACGTCTGTGAGAAACATTATGTTAGAGGTAGTGACCTTCGCCCGCCGCCTCCTCCTCCTAGGCCAACAGCGTGGCCGCGTGCAAGAGAGCGTGCGAGATCGAGAACGAGTTCCTGTGTAGATCGTTCCTGTACAAGGGTCCGCCCACCGGCACCACCTACAACTGCCAGCTCTTCCACCTGGACCACTACACGCTCCCAGATGGTCCCTCCACCTTCCTCTCCACCGACAGGTAAACTTGACTCTTCCCAAGGTCACCTGGGGCGGAGTCCTACAATATTACTATGTAATGGAAATATTTATGAGGACGTTTTTAAAATATATATGTTAGCTTAGATCAGTATTTTTAAGTACACTGGAAGTTAAAAGTGCTCAAATTAGTATTTCACTGTATAATAAATTATTTGACTAAATGGTTTTAATTTGAGGAGAATACGTGTATATATATATATATATATATATATATATATATATATATATATATATATATATATATATAATATAATAACTTTAGTCATGACTGAAAATCAGTGATTTCCGTGAGCAATAAGAATCAGGAACGGGCACACACAGAAATCACAATAGCATGATGCATCAAATGAACAAATCCACAAGGGCCGTGGCGAGGGTTCGAACCTACGTCTGAGAGGATCCCAGACACGCCTTAATCGACTGAGCTACGACATGGTATAAGAATTGCAACCGGGAAATCAACTTGACCGACCACGGATCCTCCAGGCTCTCCGAGACACAAACCAGGTTTTTACATAATTCCCCCATGCACCCGAGCTCTGTCAATTAAGGCACGGACGTAGGTAGGTTCGAACCCTCGTCACGGCCCTTGTGGATGTGTTCAGGGACGGGTAGTTAACAACCATAAGTCACTAACTTGATACATGTTAAAATAACTTATTCAAAGCTAAGAAAACCTAATGTAACCTAACTGTTGTACCGAAGGCCTCTCCTTGATGATGGGCAGCGCACAGGAACCTACTACGAGAACTCCTGCAAGGGTGAGTAGTGTGACGTGGACTGCCTTCCTAACCCCACCGTCCCTCCGTGTAATTAAGCCACACACTAAACAATCCTTGCCTAAATACCGTCCATGTGTAAGTCTGCACCACACACTAGACCGTCTCCCCGTCCCCAAGTCCACCTCTGCCATCGAAACTAATACCAAGTCTTCTCAGTTCTTTATAATCTACAATTATTTAAGTCTCAGTGTACATTTCTTGCCTTCCCTAATCGTGTGAGAATTGTTTATTTTCCTGCTTGTCTTTCTCTAGGCCAGTATAAACAGTATTTGCGAGTCCTCTTCCGAGATCTGTACCTCTTGGTGTCATCTCGATCATGACGGCTTGGTCTTGATTTACTAAACAGCTTATGAGCTCCGAAGCTCTACGATACCGCCCTCGACCTAAGATTATGACCGTCAAGGCAACCTTGTAACGTAACGGCGCTCGTAAACTGTTTAGTAAATACCATCTGAGCCACTGTAATGGAGGTAAGCGGTGCGGATCTCGTAAATAGACACGTCACTGCTTCGTAAATGACGAAGCAGTGACTTCAGGTTCATTCCCGAGGTGGATGAGGTGGAGCAGGGGAGGGGCGGTGTATGTGTGTGCAGGAGCTAAAGTTATATCACCACCGCATGACCAATAACCAATGTATTAGATGGGCTTTGTTGCCACTCAATAGTTAGGTTAGTCATTAGCGGCTGTTCCTGCCAGTAAAAGGCAGCCAGGTTTTGTAACTAGTAGTAGTAGTAGTGTTGTGTGTGTGAGTTATGCTTTATTACTTTTAACACCACTGTATATTTGTTTGTAGAAGTGTACAGCTTTGGCTTTGTTGGTAACTGCACTGTCTGTACCTTTGTTACTACACTCACAACGTAATGTTTCATGCTAGTATATTACATGTAAGTCACACACACACATATATACATAAATATATATATATATATATATATATATATATATATATATATATATATATATATATATATATATATATATATATATATATATATATATATATATATATATATATATATATATATATATATATATTATTTATTTATTTATTTATACACACACACACACTTAATGTTTATTTTGAACACTAACATAGTAATGTCTAAAAAAAATCGCCTTGCAGGATACGTTTATGACTTGTAAGCATAGCACCACCGCAACCACCACCACCATCATCACCAAAGCCACCATCACCACCACCACTACTATCACCACCACCACCACCACCACCATCACCATCATCACCAAAGCCACCATCACCACCACCACTACCATCACCACCACCACCACCACCACCACCACCACCACTACCACCACCACCACCACCACCAATGCCACCACCATCACCACCACCACCACCACCACCACCACCACCAATGCCACCACCACCACCACTCCTCAGTATGGATTCAAACATCAACTTTCTGAATTATGCAAATTACCCACCTTATTCAGGCTGTCATATATTTCATTATCAATATATAATACATAACTAACCTTCACAAGACTAACAGATGCAAAATTTACAATAGTATTTCACAAGTCACCCAACACGCACAGACACACACGCACACACACCTATAAAATTCTCAGAGGAATTGACAGGGTAGATAAAAATAGACTGTTTAACACGAGTGAGACGCGAACAAGGGGACACAGGTGGAAACTGAGTACCCAAATGAGCCACAGGGACGTTAGAAAGAACTTTTTCAGTGTCAGAGTAGAATGCATTAGGCAGTGATGTGGTGGAGGCTGACTCCATACACAGTTTCAAATGTAGATATGATAGAGCTCAGTAGGCTCAGGAATCTGTACATCAGTTGATTGACAGTTGAGAGGCGGGACCAAAGAGCCAGAGCTCAACCCCCCGCAAGCACAGTTAGGTAAGTACACACACATACATTCACTCACCAGTAGATTGACGGTTGAGAGGAAGGACCAAAGAGCCGAAGCTCAACCTTCGCAAGCACAACTAGGTGAGTAGAACTAGTTGAGAGAGAGAGAGAGACTTGGGGGTTGATATCACGCCAGACCTTTCCCCCTGAAGCCCATATCAAGAGGAAAAACATCAGCGGCATATGCCAGGCTGGCCATATTAGTTAGAAAGGCCTTTAGAAACTTGTGTAAGGAATCATTTAGAACTTTGTATACCACATATGTCAGACCAATCCTGGAGCATAAGACTAAACTGGGAAAGGTACAAAGGTTTGCCACCAGACTAGTACCCGAACTGAGAGGTATGAGCTACGAGGAGAGACTGCGGGAGTTGAACCTCACGTCGCTGGAAGACAGAAGAGTTAGGGGGACATGATCACCACATGCAAGATTCTCAGAGGAATTGATAGGGTAGATAAAGACAGACTATTTAACACAAGGGGCACACGCACAAGGGGACACAGGCGGAAATTGAGTGCACAAACGAGCTATAGAGATATTAGAAAGAACTTTTCAGTGAGTAGTTAACAGGTGGAATACATTAGGCAGTGATGTGGTGGAGGCTGACTCCATACACAGTTTCAAGTGTAGATATGATAGAGCCCAATAGGCTCAGGAACCTGTACACCTGTTGATTGACAGTTGAGAGGCGGGACCAAAGAGCCAGAGCTCATCCCCTGCAAGCACAACTAGGCGAGTACACACACACACACACACACACACACACACACACACACACACACACACACACACACACACACACACACACACACACACACACTAGCCCCAGTATTATATGCGTTACCACATACATACATACTTACATACACGCTTTAAATTCATGAACCGAACTACTTGGGTATAAAGCCTTACCTTTTTATCGAGGGTTCAATGGACGTGCAGTACAGAGCTCTTTATTTATCTTCTTGCCTTTACTACCGTTGACTTAAACAGTCATAACAGTGACCGAAACAGTCTTAACATTGGCCTAAATAGGCTTAACATAGGCATAAGCCGTAGTAACGTAGCCTTACCAAATCATTATCCTCATTATTCACCCCTTCTCTTAGTAGACTTCTCACACAATAACCTTCTTAGTAGACAATTTGACTTAAGAGTTATCTGTTATCTGACCTATTTGTTATCATGAAGCCGGTCTCTGTCTGAGAAAGACATGTCAATGTTTATGAGGACGAATGCAGGCGATGAGTCACAATAACGTGGCTAAAGTATGATGACCAGACCACACACTAGAATGTGAAGGGACGACGACGTTTCGGTCCGTCCTGGACCACAATCGACTTGAGAATGGTCCAGGACGGACCGAAACGTCGTCGTCCCTTCACATTCTAGTGTGTGGTCTGGTCATGAGGACGAATGTTTCTTGATTCTCTGACATGACAGTGGAGTGTTGGCCCACCACTACTGACCTTTCCCCTTGACCACATGACGTTACAGAGGCCAGAGAAAATATGATCTGTAAGCAGGTGACAACCAGAGACAATCGCTACATCACTCAGATCATGTGCTTTGACAAGGCTTCCATCTCTCGCCAAGTCAACATCGAGGGAGTGGAGGAGCTCGGTAAGACAGTAAAAAGACTCCATTTCATTGGTCAGTCATAAATATTAAAATGGCATTCATTGGCCGGCTGGCCATTTCATGGATGGACGCGAGCGCTGGTTGGCTGTTGGGAACTTTTCATCCAGTCTCACGGTGATTGGTTATTTCGGTGTTTATTTCCGGTAATAACTATGAGTCCAGCCACTTGAACTGGTTGATACAGCGACAACCTCGCTTCATGCAGGTCTGCGCTCCATCCCCCGATGGTACAAGTGGTTAGGCACCGTTACCTTCATTCCGTCCTCATATCCCATCTCCTTGCATCCCTTTCAGTTTTAACCACAATGTGATTTTTTGTTTTCATTTTTGCATTGTAGAAACTTGCTACAATGCCGTAGTGCTTAGAGGAAGGTGAAGGAAAGACCCGGTATATGTGTAAGTGTATTAACACAAATTTTCGGATGGAACCTACATCCTTTCTCAAGATGATGTATATATACAATGTTCTGAAAATTTGTTTTGATTAATACTGACACATATATTGGAGCGTTGCTTCACCTTTATTGTTACAGTATTAGAGTGATTTTTTTTCTACCACAAACGTGGCCAAACATTTACAATGCTAACCAGCATGTATACATTTTCTAGTGATGTAAGAAGGTAATCCATCAACACATTGTGGTTATATTATCATACTGACTGTGTTGTCTCCTGATTATTACCTTACATTACCTTACATGAACATTACCGAGGCGCCACATTGACAATGATCACTGGTACGTGGATTGTGAACGTTATTCTTCTCTTTACAATCCCCTTCTAACCCTTTGTAGTGAAATATGAATAGTCCATTATGAACAACATATTTTTTGTTATTTAATTATTATAATTCAGATGGACTGTACATTATTCATATCAGACTAATTGAACTAACTCGATGTTTTACTAACAAATCTACAAACATCATTTGTCTTTTATGGAGAGACAAGACCATTGTGATTAGTAAACAGTTTAGTGGTCAAGAAGCGGCTTGCAAGATAGTGCAGAACAGTTACAGCATGTCATAGTTAACCCATAGAGATCAATAATGTTTGTACATCCTTATAAATTGTGGAATGACTTGCTTCACTAACACGCACTTAACTAACAGCTTAAGCATGAGCAAAGTGACTTTCTTGCAATCTTCTATTATTTTTTAAAGTGTTTTTATTTGTATATGACAACCTCAGCTTACGGGCTGACAGCAGTATGTGTAACACTTCACGTCTGGTTGACTTAAGACAGCCCTCAGCCCCACACGACAGCCCTCAGCCCCACACGACAGCCCTCAGCCTCACACGACAGCCCTCAGCCTCACACGACAGCCCTCAGCCTCACACGACAGCCCTCAGCCCGACACGATAGCCCTCAGCCCCACACGACAGCCCTCAGCCCCACACGACAGCCCTCAGCCCCACACGACAGCCCTCAGCCCCACACGACAGCCCTCAGCCCGACACGATAGCCCTCAGCCCGATACGACAGCCTCTGATATAGTATCTGTGATCTTAACATCTATTAACTTTGGATCTCTGATGATGGCATCTCAAGATTTTGCTAACGTAAACAACACTTACCATTCCCCGCCAGGTACTTGCTGAGTCACTCACGCCTCCTGGGCTGTCAGATACAAAATAAACCGAATAATCTTTGGTATGTGATGGAGCAAAACCAGTTTACCACACGTGAAATTACAAACACTGGTAAATGAATGAAATATATATACAAATTCTAGTATATGAAATACTGGAAACTAGTATATTAAAAAGTAGTCCCATAACTAAGAGGCATGAGTTACGAGGAAAGGCTGCGTGAATTGCACCTCACATCATTGGAAGACAAGAGTTCGGGGAGACATGATAACGACATACAAAATTCTAGGGGGAATTGACAGAGGTAGATAAGAACAGATTATTTAGCACTTTTGGTACACCCACAGTGGGGTACATCTGGGGACTGAGTACCCAAATGAGCCACAGAGACATAAGAAAGTACATTTTCGTTGTCAGAGTAGTTAATAAATGAAATGCATTAGGCAGTAATGTGGTGGATGCAAACTCCATAAAAAGTTTCAAATGTAGATATGATAGAGCTCAATTAGCTCATGAACCTGTACACCAGTAGGTTGACGGTTGAGAGGCAGGACCAAAGAGCCGAAGCACAACCCCTGCAGTCACAACTAGGTGAGTGCAGACACACACACACACACACACACACACACACACACACACACACATTGGGTGTATCCTGGCCCAAAAGGAGAAAAATGAAAATCATCAGAAGAATCAATGGTTCAACCAGGAATGTAAGGTAGCGAAGCAATTGAGTAAAAGAACACGGAGAAACTACAGGAATAACAGAACACCAGAGAGCAGGGAGAGATACCAGAGGACAAGGAATGAGTACCTCAGAGTGAGGAGAGAAGCAGAGACACTATGAAAATGGCGTCGTAAATAAAACCAAGACCCAACCAAATCTGCTCCACAGTCACATCAAGAGGAACACAGCAGTGAAGGAACAAGTGATGAAACTGAGAAAATAGGAGAACAGATATACAGAGAATGATAAAGAGGTGTGTGCAGAACTCGAGATTTCTGGAGGTCTTTACAATAAAGCAAGGAGAAGCCCCTGTACTAAGAGAGGAGGCGGCAACCAAGCGATGTTGGAGGAATTTGAGCTCACCAGTGATGAGGTCAAAAAGGAATCTGTTGGAGCTGAATGTGATAAAGGCCGTTGGGCCTGACAGAATCTCATCGTGGATACTAAAAGAGGGTGTAGAAGCACCAAGTGTGCCACTCTATGGTGTAAACAGATCACTGGAAACAGGAGACCTACCGGAAAGCTGAAAGACAGCTAATGTAGTCCAAATAAACAAAATGGGTGCCAGGCAAGAGGCACTACAGGCCAGTTTCCCTAACTTGTATATCATGCAAGGTGATGGAGTTCCTTTGACGAGGTCTTCCACGATACACTGGCTCTCACGCTAGCTGAAGTTATGGTGACGTCTTCAAGCGCTCCACTAGCCCACTGGCTAGTACACCCGAAACAGTGAAGTCTTCCACTCCTCCACTAGCCCTCAGGCTAGCACACTCCAACAGTGAAGTCCTCAGCGCTCTACTAGCCCTCTTGCTAGTACACTTCCTCAGAGGCGTCCCAAGGTCGACCTGTGTACTTTACCCTCCCTGCTTCACTGCCGTCTGTCACAGTTACCGGTACCTCATCACCTTCCAGGTAAGCGACCATATGAGTCATAAATACTCATACTCCGCCCAAGTAAAATCAAATCAAAAATCAAAAAATCAAAATGTTTATTTAGGTAAGGTACATACATACAAGAGATTTTACAAAGAGTGATGGATTTATAGATAGGGCTAGTACATGCAATGCCTAAAGCCACTATTACGCAAAGCGTTTCGGGCAAAACAGAAACAAGCAACACTTAGTGGGCCAACCAGAGGCTTAGGGCCCGCGCAGGAATATCCCTGCAAACAAAAAACTCCCAGAACACCAGACTAGAAGATGGGAAACTAATATTAATGGGAGGGTCAACTATTATGACTCGGAATCTGGATCGTAGAATGCACCGAGGTCCGTCACCAACAAATCTAGTGAGAAAATGGTGGAGGCCAAAACCATCAGTAGTTTCAAAGTGTTATATGGCATAGAGTACTGGAAAGACGGGACACCACGAGCATAGTTCTCATTCTGTAACTACACTTAGGTAATTTCACACATATTAACTGGGAACTGCAGTGGAAAAAAAAGCAAACCAAATCCTTTCGAATAATGAAACGAAATTTTGACTTTAGGGAAAAGAAGATAGTTGTACAACTGCATGTCTATTCCTGGAATATTGTATCCAAGCATGGAGACCTCATCTTCAGAAAGACACAGTATTTGCTTTGGAGAAAGTTCAGTGCCGGTCGGCAAAACTCACTCCTGAACTAAGTAGACTCTGATACCAGGGATGACTGAGGGCCGCAGGGCTAACAACACTGTACGCCAGACATGACAGCTGACGTTGAAACTTAAAATACTGAACAGTTTGTTGGATATTGATCCAGACCACTTCTTCGGAATGTCAGATGTAACACGAACAAGGAAGAAAGGTTTCAAGCTCAACAAGCCACAATACAGGACAGAAACAGGAGACACCTTTTCATCTAAAGAGTTATAAACCAATGGAACCTCGTACCTGACGAAACCGTAAATGCGAAAATTGCTGAATATCAAAATTCAGCTGGACAGAATCATCAGGATAAATGGGGGGAGGGGGGGAAAGAATCTTCAGCGAGTCACCGGCTTCCTGTGCTCTTCGAGGACCGCTAGATAGTGGCCCTCGGGTAAAATAACACATCCTCTAGTTTGTATATACTGATTTGTTTTATATAACCAAATAATGGCTTTATACATACCCGTAGCTTAGACAGATTATTTGATATTTTAGGTTTGCAGAGATAGGCGTAGATTAGGTTCAGTTAGGGGATTTGGTTGGATTAAGAAGTGAATTAAACACTTCTCGCGACTTTGAGAATAATAAGGCTGAGGAAAGTGGAAAAATATTACCTCCCCACCTCCACCGAAATTGATATATTTCTTACCCAAGTTGAGCTTGAATAAGATGATGAGATGTACTCATAATATAACAGTGATGAGACTGAAACAATTTTCCTAAAAGTCGTTGGGGCTATGAAGAACCTGTCTTCAGAAATCCAACTGGTGATGAGGTATGGACACAGCGCCATGGAGTATCCATGTATCACTTCTTGTATAACTAGCATTCTTCTGCTGGTCTGTATTTGATGGTGATAGAACAAAGCGTGAATGAAGAAAGAATAAGGTATCTCCCATGCTGCATGTTACCACACTACTCCTCCTCCTCCTGCCAGGGATCCCAGCTAGTTACAATGACTATGTTACAGGCCCCTATGGCAGCAGCACAGGAGGGCTGGTCACCCCTGTCCCCGCTGGCTACACAGACAATGGGGACGTATTCACCTCGCTGGGAGGCAGCTCCAGCAGCAGCAGCAGCAGCAGCACCGGCGGCTCAACACTTGGAGGAGGCTCAGGTAGTTCCTCCTCCTCCTCTTCATACGGAACAACTATCAGTGGTCAGGGAACGACTGGAAGACCCACTGGAGAAAACGTGAACTGTGACCCAACTGGAGTTTGCTATGATGGTAAGTCTCATCCCTGTACTGTGACCAAATATTACTTCAGTGCCATGTCTCTCTTGTCTTCCTTATTTATGAAGACTTTTTAAATAGGAATTATTTTTGGCCTTCGTGATTCAAACATGCTATGGCGATGATTTTTTTAATAAACTTAATTATTAATAACTTTAATTATCTTATCTTATATAATCTTATATTAATTAATTAAAGTTATTAATAATTAAAGTTATTAATAACTATAATTATAAATTATACAAATTTTAAGTTAATAATAAGGTTAACTAACATGTGTGAAAGTTTTACCCTGGGTAAAATAACTTGATAACATTAACGTTTTAAGTTAACAGTGATCTGTACTTGAATTAAAATGACTTTAATAATTTATTCACAAGAAGGTACAATGGGTTGGTGAGATAACATAAGAATGGTATTTGTACATTCTTGTAAAGCCACTAACACGCATAGCATTTCAGGCAAGTCCTTAAATTAACAGATAATTTTTAGATAATTCACAGTAAAATTGACAAAAAATGTTTACAGGTACTTTACAGCTTTACTTTACAGGTACAGATAATTTTAAGTAGAATAATTACAGTAAAATTTACAAAAAAGTTTACAGGTACATTGTAAGAAATTTTGACACAAAAGCAGATTACAATAATTTACAATAATAACAATACACAATATTGACAAGGATTACTAGGTACATTAGGATAACATTTCAGGGTTATACATTGGTTCACTGAAGCACAATGAGGATCATTTCAAGGAATAATGCAGTAGAATATGCACTCAATATAACAACCATGATATCAGATGATATCTAAGTATATGTGACCCAGCATGCGCTTGTGTGCCCTGTGGTCTAGCTGGCGACTGGCTGAGCCGCCTGGCCTTACTGGACAAATATATAACTGATGCCCACCAGTTTGAATCCTCCAAGCCGAAAAATTTGAGCGTTTTTTACACCTTCATTTTTTCGTCTTGGTGATTCAAACACACTCTCACCTATATGTATTACCCATATTATTACCTTCAAATTTATATAATTTATAATTAAAGTTATTAATAATTAAGTTTATAAAATTTTATTGCCGGCCTGGTTGTGTCGCCCTTTCCCCCTTCCTTCTGTTGCCCCTTTGCTGTGTGGCTCACCAATGCTGTGGCCCACCAATGCTGTGGGCCGCCGGCGCGGTGGGCTGCCCGCGCTATGGGCTGCCCGCGCTATGGGCTGCCAGTGCGGTGGGCCGCCCACGCGATGGGCCGCCCGCGCTATGGGCCGCCCTCGCTATGGGCCGCCCTCGCTATGGGCTGCCAGTGCGGTGGGCCGCCCGCGCAGTGGCCCACCCTTGCTGTGGCCAATCGGTGCTGTGGCCCACCCGCGCTGTGGCCCACCCGCGCTGTGGCCCGCCAGCGTTGTAGCCTGCCCACGCTGTGGCCCACTTTCATGATTTACTTCCAAATAAAATGTAGTAGGTCTTTTCTATGTTTTATGTTTTTTCTATGTTTTATGTTCTTTTCTGAACTTTTTTCGTTCGTTATTTACAGTAATATAATATTTTCAATATTAAAACAATATTTTCAATATCAAATCATTTATAAAAATGCATATATGATTCTCCTTATTAGAAGTAACTCTCATGGATTGTGTTGAGTTAAGATATCAAAGAGGAAATTTGGTAGGCAATGTTTTAAGAATACGTGTGTTTGTGTACAGTGTCAGTTCACTGTAAGGACACGAGGATTGTGGTGGAGGTGAACACCAATCAAGCCTTCAATGGGCGCATCTATGCCTTGGGCCGCTCGGAGACCTGCAACGTCCAAGTCGTCAACTCTGACAAGTTCCGCCTCGACCTCTCAATGGCTGGCCAAGACTGTAACACTCAGAGTGCTGTAAGTAGTCATTATCCTCCTCTTCCTCTCTTTCTTCCCTTTTATTTATATACTGGGTATTTATATACAATACAATACAATACAATACAATACAATACAATTTTATTTAGGTAAGGTACATACATACAATAAATTTTTACAAGGATTGGTAGACTTATAGGTAGAGCTAGTATATAGGAAGGTATATACAGGAAGGTACATTGGGTTGTGAGAGTACAAAACATTGGTGTTTGAGTGTGACATTCTTACAAAGCCACCAACACGCTTGGTGTTTCGGTCAGGTCCTTAATCTAACCGATGGAAGTAAAACTATTAATAGGTACATTGTAGCTGAATTTGAATTCAATATAATAACTACAATATAAATAGATGGTATTGATTATTCTGGTGAAGTTGCATGTCTTAAGTACAGTACTAAAATTGGGTGGGTGGGTAGCACAAGATACAGTGGGAGTTTGGAGCACAAGGTACGAAACAATGAGGATGATATTAGGTACAGTAATTTTTGGTTTTACATTTGAATAAATCATAGGTTGGACAGTTTTTTAATTCATTATTGAGCGAGTTCCATAGACTGGGTCCTTTTATTTGCATGGAGTGTTTGCACAAATTTAGTCTGACAATAGAGAGATCAAATTATATTGCATGAAACGCTATGCATACTAGTGGCTTTACAAGAATGTAATTTCAACTTAAACTCTATGTTCTCTGTTAACCCCCAATGTACCTTCTTGTATATATACAAATAAATAAATAAATAAATATTAATTTCTGGTGTGGTGCTCATGGGTTCTATTGCATCTGTCAAGGAAGAGTCTCAGATCAGGATTGGCATTTAGGAATAAGGTTTTGTACATGTAAATAGCACAAGAGAATGTGTGGAGTGTATGTTTAATATGTTTAGGGAGTTAAACAGAGGGACTGTGTGTTGTCTGAAGACAGAGTTTGTTATAATTCAGATTTTTGCTAGGTGATAATGGGCTTGAGGTAATTAATGGTTGAACCCATGCACAGATTCCGTATGTAAGGTAGATATAGATTAATGAGTAGTATAATGAGAGGAGAGCAGAGTGGAGAATATAATATCTGATTTTAGAGAGCATACAAACAGTTTTTGAGACACTTTTGGCTATGTGCTGTATGTTGGTGCTGAAGTCTAGTCTCTTGTAAGTCTCTTTAGTCTCTTCTAAGGAACTTTCCATAATTTTTAATGCAAATGTTAGCATTGTCTATCTGAAGGTGAATTTGGTTTGATGATTTACTTCCAAATAAAATGTAGTAGGTCTTTTCTATGTTTAGTGTTTGTTGACATCCATGAGTGGAGTTTTTTTTTAATTCAGTATTTACAGTATCTAGTGTGTGGTGGGTTGGGGTCTGAATAGGTGAAGTATCGTCAACAAATAGTATAGGTTTAGAATGTTGGATACATTTGGCAAATCACTTATGTATATAAGAAATAAGAGAGGCCCTCAGATGCTGCCCTGTGACAGTCCCACAGTTAATGGTGGGGGAGGTTATGTCATTGGTGGCTACATACTGAGTCTGTCACTAAGATATGAGTGAATATAGCTCAGAACAAACCCTCGAATTCCACAATGATGAAGTTTAAGAGATAGATTTGCTTTACAGTATCTAAGACATTTCTCAGAACACTGAAGAGGCCAGTTGGGAACTCATTTTTGTCAAAGTCAGTTTAGATTATCTCTCTGTATTTTCAAGGTAGGAAATACAGCTGTTTTTATTTTATTGATCTTTATTTAACCTATTTGTAAAGAAGAAACTCACACAATCAAATGTTTATTTTGGCATTTGTGCATATGGGAGCATAGTTGAAAAGTTTGAGTTAATACCAGCCACAGATCACATGACCTTCCCCTAAAGGCCTGTGTTACCACAACTAATAATCCATACATATTTTGTACCTCCAATTGGAGTGTTATACTATTGTGTGTGTGTGTTGCAGAATGGTGTCTACACCAACACTGTGGTCATCCAGCACCATTCCATCGTCATGACCAAGACTGACAAGATCTACAAGATCCGTTGCACCTACGACATGACCTCCAAGAACATCACCTTCGGCATGCTCCCCATCAGGTATGACTTTAATCCATTCATTTCAACTTGCTTTTCACTTCTTCAGTTTCCTTAATAGCATTACATGCTCCATTTAAATATAGTTATTGCATTGCGGTCTTAAAAAATATCCTATCACATATGCCATGTTTTCGTGTGTGTGTGTGTGTGTTGTGTTTGTTGAGCTCTGAACTCAATCATCAATGTTACCAATGTAGGTTCTATTGTTACGTAAAGTATGGTGACAATCAGACACTAAGATACTATATATATATTTGGTCGAATATACAGAAGTACACAGGTGATACGTTGGTGTGAGTTGAGCGCACTGAGCGTGTCAGTATCTCGCAAGTGTCAGACCACACTCTCTGTGTGTGTGTGTGTGTGTGTGTGAACTCCATCTATAGATTGTCCAATCAGTCTGTAGATATAAGTTCCTGTCCGCCATCATCCTGCTGCATAAGTGGTTATAGAAAAATATGTAATCAATTTTATTAAAGCAAAGCTGCAGCATAAGTAGATTCTTAAAACGACACATTTCTTGCTGTAGATGTTTTTTAATGATGGTATACATTTTACAGCAGTTCAAGTGAGCACGACCCCTTATCCAACACTCTGATCATCCGGTAAGACATGAAGTGTGGCTCACAGGGGCTCTGGGCTGTGGTTGCTGGCTTCAGTGCAGCCTCACCACTCTACCTGTAGCTTGTCCTTCCCAGATCTGTAGATACTTTGACTTCTCGGTAGATTGCTCTGTGTTTTTATCCTGTAAGCACTGACTAGTAGACAAAGACCTTCAACACTGACTTGTAGATATGAACTAGTAATGTAACATCTGTATATGCAGACAAGTAGACACAGACTGTAGACACAGACTGTAGACACAGACTGTAGACACAGACTGTAGACACAGACTGTAGACACAGACTGTAGACACAGACTGTAGACACAGACTGTAGACACAGACTGTAGGCACAAACTGTAGGCACAGACTGTATGCACGTATCGTAGTGAATGTGTTGCATCTACAAATTGTCTGTCACAAAATCTTTATTGTAAGACTACAGCATGATATTTTTTTTATAACTAGTTACCAGTCAACAGACTCAAAGATTTGACTTTAAACATTTCAAAGTCCTTGAAATTTCCCACGTTTATTTTGAAATACATGAGAATCATGTAATTCATAAACATATAGTCTTATAATATTTTGTAAATATCCTAACAGACTGACCACCCACTTTCACATTCAAACAAATAACTTAAATAAAGGACCATTGTTGCTCATCATATCAGTTCCTCAAAAGATTGATCAATCTGTGAGAGGACTGAGCAGATATCACAGGTTTTATTTTTGCCTAAGCCTGTACCTGTGGCTTGGAATATTAAGCTGGCGATGTTAATTTAAATTCATAGGTAGATGGAGAGGAATGTGTGAGTCTGGCCCGGTCTGTCCACACAGGTCAAAGTAGAGTGGTGATGCGTAATGTGTTAATAGACCATTTATCTTTGATTATATTATCTTCCATCCCCATCTTTATCACCTTCCTTTTATCCTCAAGTCTTACAAGTTTCTCTTTCCTCCAAGATCCACCACACTCAAATTTGTGTGTTGCTCTGAAGTCCTGTAATGGAAAATCTTTGCATCCCTTTCACACACACAGCAACTGCTGCCTCTTTGTGTGAAGGTAGTGTTGAGAAGATGTGATCAAACCCATATCTTACCTGTTTACCTGAGTTTACCAGAGAGTCACTAATGCTAGTGGCCTCGACGAGAGCAGAAACGAAAGTCCCAGTTACCTTGATCTTCTCCAGCTGTACTTCAAAACCCAAGAGTGTTTTGACTTTAACAGCTTGGGTGGGTATGCGGTTCCATGGGTGAATAACCCTGTGGGTGAAAAAGCAACTCCTGTTCTCAATCCTACATTGTGGCTTGTTGAGCTTGAAACTGTTTCTCCTTGTTTGTCTTACACCTAACCTTTTAAAGAATTGTTCTGGATCAACATCCTCCAATTTGTTCAGTATTTTAAAAGTTTCAATAAGATCCGCCCTGTCATGCCTGGTTTGTAGTGTTGTTAGCCCCATGGCCCTCACCCGTTCCTGATACGTGAGTTGACTTAGCTCTGGAATGATTTTTGTTTTCCAGTATTGCACTTTCACTAGAGCAGCTATGTCCTTCTGAAGATAAGGTCTCTATGCTTGGATACAGTACTCCAAATGGAGATGCACCAGAGATTTATACAATTGAATCACTACCTTCTTTTTTCATTGAAATTAACTCTTGATTATTCCAAATGTTTGGTTAGCTTTTTTAACTGCTGTTCCTAGTTGCTGTGCCACTATCATTGAGTGATGGATTTTGATTTCAAGGTCCTTTTCTTCATCGATCTGCTGTAATGCAATGTTATTAATTTGGTAGTTGTGGCGAGGGTTGTTGTGCCCCCACATGGAGGGTCTTGCTTTTGTCAATATTAAGAAGCACGGGTCTTGTGTGTGTGTGAAGGTAGGGTTGAGAAGATGTCATCAAACACATCTCTTGTATATGTGGAATAATGCAATAACTCATGGTACATTTCTTTCATTTTTGTGTCTTTTGGAAAATGCAGCAATTTGAATTAGACCTAGAGTATGGCCTACAACCTTTGATAAGCTGCCAGCTTCCTATCCTCATTAAGGCCTCTAAAAGAGATGGTGACTCGGGTAAATTCTGGTAAATATGTGAAATAGGTTAGCGAATGAAAAGCTAACTAAATACTCAAAATTAAAAGTAAATAAGAAAACAAGAACCAACTTATTTGTTAAATTATATAATGTTCAAAAGGAAGGTCTGGAACTGAACACTCAATCCTGCAAGTACATTTGGAGAGTACACACATATGCATGCTTGCACACACACACATGTATGCCTGCACACACACATGTATGCCTGCACACACACATGTATGCATGCTAGCACATTTGCACACACATGTATGCATGCTAGCACACTTGCACACACATGTATGCATGCTAGCACACTTGCACACACATGTATGCATGCTAGCACACTTGCACACACATGTATGCATGCTAGCCACTTGCACACACATGTATGCATGCTAGCACACTTGCACACACATGTATGCATGCTAGCACACATGCACTCACACAAAATATCACATCATGCATGTGTACACACACACACACACACACACACACACACACACACACACACACACACACACACACACACACACACACTCACTCACTCACTCACTCACTCACTCACTCACTCACTCACTCACTCACTCACTCTTTCTTTAACACAAATAGGTAGGAAGCCTCAAGCAGACATTTTAACACAAATGGGTAGGAAGCGTTGTGGTCAGACTGGGAGGTCGGATCCGGTGTTCACGCGGTCACTAGTTCGAACTCTTTGTAGGTAGTGAGAGCTTGTTTTTAGGTAGGAGTCATTATATTAGATAACCAACGACTGGAACAACAGAGTCCAAGAGCTAAAGCTCGATCCTGCAGGCACAGATAGGCGAGTACACACACACGAACACACATACGGACTCATTAAACACATTTTATTCCTGAGACCTGGAACTTTAAGAACAAGAGGTCATAGATTTAAACTAGCTGAACACAGATGCCGAAGAAATATAAGAAAATTCACCTTCGCAAACAGAGTGGTAGACGGTTGGAACAAGTTAAGTGAGAAGGTGGTGGAGGCCAAGACCGTCAGTAGTTTCAAAGCGTTATATGACAAAGAGTGCTGGGAAGACGGGACACCACGAGCGTAGCTCTCATCCTGTAACTACACTTAGGTAATTACACTTAGGTAATTACACACACACACACACACACACACACACACACACACACACACACACACACACACACACACACACACACACACACACACATACAGAAAAAAAAAGAAAATGGGTTGAATATCGGATGAGACCTAACCCACAAACATACCAGCATTACAAACAAGCAAGAAACAATTACACAACAGTGAGAAGAGAGGCAGAAAGGCACTTTGAAAAAGATATAGCAGATAAATGTAAAACAAATCCAGGCCTTTTCTAGAAATTCATTAAAAACAAGCTGCATGTGAAAGATAAAATCCAGAGTTTGAGAACGGGGAACAGGACTGCGGAAAATTAAAAATAAATGTGTGAAATGTTAAATGAACAGTTCCACAATGTGTTTGTATAAAATGAAGAGAGCCGGACCAAATACCTATTCTAGAACACGCCATAGAATACATAGACGTATCTCAAGACGAAGTGGAAATATCACTCATGGAGCTAGAAATAAATAAATATAATATGATGAATATAATATGATGGAATTTCACCTTGGGTGCTGCGAGATTGTGCAACTGAGCTGAGCTTTCCACTCTAATTAATATTCCAGACATCCTTGTGCAGAGGAATCTTAATAGATATATTGAAAAAGACAACAAACATAGTACCAGTGCATGGTTTGCAGTGTTGTTAACATTGTGTCCCTCAACCATTCCACTTAGCTCTGGAATGTTTTTTGTTGCCCGAAGTTTAACTTTCTCCAGGGCAGCTATGTCCTTCTGAAGATGTCTCCATGCTTGGATACAGTAATCCAAATGGGGACTCACTAGAGATTTATACAGTTGAATCACTACCTTTCTACCTTAAAGTCAAAGGCATGCTTGAGTGTTCCAAGAGTTTGGTTAGCTTTTCTGACTGCTGCTCCTACATACTGTGCTGCTTTCAGTGAATAGTGAATTTTGACTCCAAGGTCTTTTTCTTCATCAATCTTGGGTTATTAAAATGCTCAATATTGGAATGTTATTTATTTGGTAGTGGTGACATGGGTTGTTATGCCCTACATGCAAGGTCTTGCATTTGTCAGTATAAACAAGCATTTGCCAGTCTTCTGACCATTTGTGGAGTTCATGTAGATCTCTTTGTAGTGCTCCAATATAATTATTATTTCCCGCTTTACCATATACGGTACATACCATTACCATTTACCATATACATACACATGCACAGGGTGGCTTACTTCACTCATACACATGCACAGGGTGGCTTACTTCACTCATACACATGCACACGGTGGCTCACTTCAGTCATACACATACTCATCTGTTTGACCGTTTCCTTCCTCTCTCCCATCCCTTCACCACACGGCCCTCTTGCCTGTCACACCTCCCAAGCACAGCTGGGACCGTCTCACACTGATGGGATCTCCTCACCACCCTATAGATACCAGTTCTTATGAAAGGTTCTTGCTATTATTTATATAAACTAATTGTTATTTATTTCATTCAACTTGTGGAGTAAATTTTCATGCTGTTTTTTGGTTAGATACTAATTTACCTGTACTGTCTTTGAGTTTATGCATGTATGTGTTTGTGTGTGATGTGTGTGCTTATATGAAAATATATATAGTTTCACATAACAACACAGAATATATGTAATAGTATTTTGTATTTAGAAAAACAACCAGTAGACACTAACCTAGACAGAACATGTCTTGTGAGAGAGAGAGAGACTGGCGCTTGACAGATTTTCAATAAACGACTGAAAGACATCGCCGAGGTGGTAGAACTTCATGTAACTTTTTATTCTTTCCTCCTCTTAGCTGTAAAACAAGACTCTTGTGAACTGTAATAGTCTAACACTGTGTTTCTCCTGTCAGGGACCCCGACATGATTCCCATCACCTCTGCTCCCGAGGCACCCCCACCCAGGATTCGCATCCTAGACGCTGCTCTCCGGGAGGTAGAAACCGTGAGGATTGGAGACACTCTTACCTTCAGGATCGAGATTCCAGAAGCCAGTAAGTATTGTCTGATGGCTGAACATCAGTATAATTAGTCATTGAGCAAAGAATTGTTGGTGTATACACCAAGATAACCACTATAAAAGGATAAGCAGGTAATGTACCTGCATTCTCTATTTTTCACATGTGGTTTTTCCGCATACTTGGATCAGTGTTTTTGCAAGTGTTGTTGCGCGCGCATACATACATACATGCATATTTACATGCATATTTACATACATACATACATACATACATACATACATACATACATACATACATACATACATACATACATACATACACGCAACAACGCTTACAAAAACATTGATCCAAGTATGCGGAAAAACCACATGTGGAAAAATAGAGAATGCTAAACATGTTTTCAGCTCAATTCGCCTTCATAAGAACAGAATAGAATGAAGGAGGAAATGTGGTAGGCAGACCTTATACCTGCCAGGGCAGGTCACCTAACCACCAAGATAGGGATGAAACCTAAGGATAAAAGTGGATGAAAAAGAGGCAAATAAGGATAACTGTACATAACAAAAACACTGGATAATATATAAAAGTGCCTCTGGATGGAAATAAATAAAAAATAAATAAACACAGGATAAATGGATGCTATGTTGTATTGATGTGCTATATTGAAGTTCATATGGGGATCTAATTTGTAAATGCCAAGGCTTACATTAAGGCTGTTGTTACATTGTTTGATCAGAGCGGACTCGATCACATTTCGCTCAACGAAACCCCTACTTTTAACAATACATTTTGCCCCTCGGAAGTCGATAGAATGATCACATAAACTAGAATGTAAATATAATGTAATGGAGTGCTGGGCTTCATCATCATTCAAGATGCATCAGAAAACTTCAGGGGTCAAGATTTTTCTGATGCATGTTGGCTTGGGGACCATTCAAGCTTGATGCACAAATGTTACTCATGCGGCCCAAGCATGATGAAGTGATTTGATGAAATATGTAAGTAAAATATCTGGTTCCCAATACCTGAGAGCTGTCAGGTATTGGGTTAAAAATTCTGAAGACTTTCCAATACTTTTGTACAGTCTGATGGCAGAGTGGCTATAGTACTGGACACGCCTAGGGGGCATGGGGGACCCTCGTCGACTGGGAAAATGGGAGATGTTCTATATAATATTTACAAAACTATTGTGAAAATGTTGCATTTTCATTATTTCATTGTGAAAATTTAGTTGTAATCAATATGTTACTTAATTCAGCAGTGTTATATCATTGTTACCATGTAAATGAGAGTATATACTGTAAAGCTATATGACTAGGAGGCCCTGAACTGACACTTGTTCCTTCCACAGCCCCATACGGTATCTTCGCCCGGAGTTGCGTTGCAATGGCCAAGGACTCCCGCTCCACCTTCCAGATCATTGATGACGATGGGTCAGTGTACCTCAAAGGACCTAATTTCTTGTTTTAATGTTACTTCATTGTTCCACATTGTGCGCTTGTGTGTGTTGTAGGCATCAACCCCCTTCTGTCTTCACAGTAGTTGTGTGTTCTGGTGGGCATTGACCCCTTCTACCTTCACAGTAGTTGTCTGTTGGGAGCATCAACCCCTTCCATCTTCACAGTAGTAGTGTGTTGGGGCATCGACCCCTTCTACCTTCACAGTAGTAGTGTGTTGGGGGCATCGACCCCTTCTACCTTCACAGTAGTTGTCTGTTGGGGACATCGACCCCTTCTACCTTCACAGTAGTTGTCTGTTGGCGGCATCGACCCCTTCTACCTTCACAGTAGTTGTCTGTTGGCGGCATCGACCTCTTCTACCTTCACAGTAGTTGTGTTGGGGGGCATCAACCCCTTCCACCTTCACAGTAGTTGTGTGTTGGGGGCATCAACCCCTTCCACCTTCACAGTAGTTGTGTGTTGGGGGCATCAACCCCTTCCACCTTCACAGTAGTTGTGTGTTGGCGGCATCAACCCCTTCCACCTTCACAGTAGTTGTGTGTTGGCGGCATCAACCCCTTCCACCTTCACAGTAGTTGTGTGTTGGGGGCATCAACCTCTTCCACCTTCACAGTAGTTGTGTGTTGGCGGCATCAACATCTTCCACCTTCACAGTAGTTGTGTGTTGGCGGCATCAACCCCTTCCACCTTCACAGTAGTTGTGTGTTGGGGGCATCAACCCCTTCCACCTTCACAGTAGTTGTGTGTTGGGGGCATCAACCCCTTCCACCTTCACAGTAGTTGTGTTGGGGGCATCAACCTCTTCCACCTTCACAGTAGTTGTGTGTTGGGGGCATCAACCCCTTCCACCTTCACAGTAGTTGTGTGTTGGGGGCATCAACCCCTTCCACCTTCACAGTAGTTGTGTGTTGGGGGCATCAACCCCTTCCACCTTCACAGTAGTTGTGTGTTGGGGGCATCAACCTCTTCCACCTTCACAGTAGCTGTGTGTTGGAAGTATTCTATTCATGATATAATATCATATGATAATGCATTCCATTCTACCATCACAGTAGTTGTGTGTTGAGGTATCAACTCCAACTTCACAGTAGTTCTCTGGAACCCAGCATTATTGCAACTTCTTATAGCTCTTCTGTTGTCATTGTTCATCTCTATAATTTTGTTAACAACACTACTTCTACAGGATTGTATTGTGGTATTTAAAAGACACACATGAATGAATGCTTGTCATTTCAAGCACACATTTGAAATAGCAAAAAGTTAAAGGTAAAATATACCAGACTGCTAGTACGGTATATTTCATCCCATACCATCTACCATCCCCCTCTTCACCTCATATACCTCACCAGGCGACCTTAAACTATTCTTTATTCAAAAGTAAAACCAAAAAGTGCCTTATTTCATCCTCACAGTTTTCCATCTTATGTTACCTCACTCACCTAATTTAGTACTTAAGATATTCAATTTCATCATGTAATCTATTTTATCAATTTGTAATGCAGGTTCTCTTCTCTCTTGTAATGCAGGTGAGTACTCTCTTAAAAACACGGAGTGTTTGCATATTAATTGTTCACTTTCTATTCAAAAATAAAAAACAATACAAAGATAATCTCAGTGCAGATAATGTTGAACTTGAATTCTGTTACCTTTATTGAACCTGCCTGAAATGCTTTATGTGTCAGTGGCTTTGCAAGAATGTTACACTCGAACCCTAATGTATGCATTTTCTCAACTCAATGTACCTTCTTGTATATAAATAAATAAATATAGTAAATGCATAATTTTCTCCTTACTGTATCTCTAATATGACTTAATCATTCTTCTCCATTTAAATCCTTATTTCTTTTGATTCCTTCCGCTGTCTAACATGGCCAGTTCTTCTCTGTTAGGAGCCTATTGAAACCTTCATGATGCCTGTGCTTTTTTAATATATGTTATTCACTCACTGCCAGATGCCCAGTGGAGCCATCGATTTTCCCTCAGTTCACTAAGGACGGATCTGCACTTCAGTGTGTGTATGAGGCCTTCAGGTTTACAGAGTCCTATGGTGTCATCTTCCAATGTAACGTCAAGTACTGCCTGGGTCCATGCGAGCCGGTGAGTATTCTCATGCATGGTTAATGTTAGATGCCTTGCATTCAAGTATTATTTGTAACTAGTAGATCATTCTAATTGTAGTTTTCTAATAGTTTTTTAACGCTCTAGTCAATATTTAGTTAATGCATGCGTTATCGTGAAACATTTGGAACTGTATTAGTTATCTAAGAATAAAATAATTTTTACAAAAGCAGTGCACAAATAATGATTTGCTTACTCACAAATTATAGTGAAATTTGTGATTAATTGCACAGTATTTTAACCTCTGTCAAACAGACAAAGTATTTGACTGTCTCCACTGAGAGTTCTTACCTCCCAAATCATTCACAAATATATGTATACAGTACTGAAATTTGCATATGTGCACTGTTAGGGCTAATATAAAAGCAAAGTTTTCAGTTTTTAAAAACACGGAGTGTTTTCATAATTGTTCACTTTCTGTTCAAAAATAAAAAAACAATTCAAAGATAATCTCAGTGCAGTTAACTGTTCACAAAATGAAGAGAGTTAATCTTTTTGCAGATCTTTTCACCATATTTTGATAAGACTTGAGTTAATAAAGCATATTTTCCTTTTTAGGTAAGATGTCAGATGGGCCGAGAAAAGCTCTTCTCCTGGGGTCGTAAACGCCGTAACACGAACAGCTCCATGGATGCTTGGGGCCATGTTCTAGAAACCATCAAGGATGAGGCTTTGGTAGCAAGCCGTAAACGCCGTGGCGTAAAGAACTCCAAAGGAGCTTGGGGCCAGGTTCAGGAGACCACTAAGGAGGAGGCACTGGCAGCTTCTCAGGCACTCGCATCATCATCAGACAATGACGAGATGAGCATAAGCCAGGAAATACTTGTGCTCGACCTGGGTGATGACCAGAGCCCACAGTACCGCAGTGAGCCAGTTCCTGAGGCCACAAGGAGCTACCACAGGAATAGTGAGTAATTAGGGTTGGCTATTGCTGCATCATTAACCTCAAATTTCATAATATTTCTTATCACTTTTACCTATAACTGGACTTTCAAGAGTAAAGTTGTTAAATTTCATTATTATGCTTCAGCATCTGATTCAGTAGGCACTATTTATCTTCAGGATCAAATGGCTATTATTTGTTTATAAATAGTCATATTTGTAATTATCACCAAAGCTGCATAGCCTCACGACTTATGTCCCCTTTACTTCTTTCCCCAGACACCTACACCTTCGAGGGTGCCGATGTCACCTTGTTCGAAACCTGCCCAACGAGATCCTCTGTCCTCGCCTTGGCCGTCACATGTGCCATACTTCTGCTAATCTATGTCCTCACCGTCTTCTATTTCGTCATGAGAAAGTGGCTTCGTCCACCAAAGAATGTCCGATAAGATATAGGAAAACTCATTAAAATAGAGTATGGTATTGGTGCGTTGGGAGGCCTTCTTGGTCTTCTGCAGGGTGGTGATAACAGCCAGGGAATATTCATGTTCGGTGAATTCTTTCACAAAATTTAGCATTAAGAAATACAAAATAATTCTGATGCATCAATGATGAGTGCAGCTGCCCTCATAGTTTTGTTGGAGGGCTCTGCTTTCCTTCATGGTTGCATTGAAGGGCTCTGCTGCCGTCATGGATGTATTTCTGAGCTCAGCTTCCATCATTGTTATGTTAAAAAGCTCAGCTTCACTCGTGCTTGTGATGGAGAGCTCAGTAACTATCACGATTGGACCTCTCACATACCAACACAACAACATTGTTGTGTTGGTATGCCAGCTAGCCAGCATTGCGCCGAGCTCTTCCTTTACATCTTGAACTCTAACAAATTATTGATTTTTCATGTTAAATGTTGAAATGTCTTACCATCTTTTAATACAAACATTAATGAAATGCCACATTGTCTCATTTGTTAGTTAATTTATCTATTTATATTTGTTATTTGTTATTAACTCATCTATTTATTTTGTTATTTGTTATTTTTGTTGTATTTATTTATTTGTTAATGTTTATGATGAATCTGATATAAAAATACTCAAATCTGTTAAACTATATGTAAGCTAATTAAACAGTTTATAGGGACAATGAACAAAATTTGATCTGTATTCATAAGATATTCAGTCAGAATTTTCTGTATCACTTTGATACAGTACAAGAAACCTTTTCAAAAAGCTTACATGCAAAATACAGATGCTAAATACCTCCTCAGCGCATCCGTTCTCAGCCCATTTCATACAAAACAAATTAGTATTGAATATTACTATAATTTTTGTATATACTTTTCTCATGAGGGACGGATTTTTGCTATCGACAAGGCCACAGATGTTGCCCAAACTCATACCTTAAGGCATAGGTTCCCAACCTTTTTGAACTCGCAACCTTATTTATCAGGTAACTAGACCTGCCAGTAAAAAAATTAGGATTTTACACATGAAAATTTTACAAAATTGTCTAATGAGGATACTCATCTCTTGCTAATTCTTGATGATTCAGGTATAAACAGAATTTAAGTTCTGCGACCTCCCAGAAAACGTTTCGGTGCAACCGACACGTTAGGAACCTAGGCCTTAAGGTAATTAGGAACAAAGTTGTGGATCGTCCCACTATCGAAGGGAAGTGTGGGGCGAATCCCAAGTTGTAGGTCACCCCACTGTCTAAGGAAAGTGTGGGATAGCACATCCGCTGTATGTTTTTTGAGGCATTAACCCCTATCAGTTAATTCGTGGGCATTGAATTATTAAGCTCAACTTGCACATAGATTAAATGTGACCTTCCCATGGGCATTGGATACTAAAAATGTTTTGTGATATAACTATTGAACAAGCAAGGGAAGTGTTATGTTGCTGGAGTCTAGTTAGGCCATATTGTTGGGGCTTTAGAGCTCAGTGCCTGCAGCTTCATAGCAGTATTATATCATAGGGAGGTACACCTGCCGTGTGGCTTCCTCTGCTGTTTGCAAACAAATCAGGAGCAGGAGAGGCTGCAAACATCCCCCTATGCAGGTGTTATTAGTCTGGCCATAACACACTTAAAGAGTGTCAGGATCAGCCCTTTTTAGGTCTGTCATCTTCACACCTCACTCTCCCTCGTCTGCCATTGTCCTAACCACATACTGGCCAGAAAACTAGACCATGCCTCATGTAGATGATTGGTTAGCTAGTGTCATTCGTTCAAAGAAAGAAATAATTGGTATGATCAGTATGTGAATATGTGGCTGTGCTTTACTGTCTGCTTCTTAGAGTGTTAGTGGTATATCGTAAATCTTTGTCCCATTGTTGATTTGTTAATGCGACCATAATAGTTCATCCTCTTTCAGTTTAATTTTTTTTTGTCTGACATATATATGTAAAATTCAGCTATTGTGCATTTATGCCTGATTCATAGTAGTACATTACAAAATAGCTGATAAAAAACCATGTATCATAGGTTGCTAAACTCGTGTGCTTCCTACAATTATGAGTTAGAACCTGCAAAGCTCTTTAGCTGTAGTCGGACATTATTCAGTTTTTCTCATAAGTGTGCCCGAACACGGTCCAATGAGTCAACGATGCGGACAAAGCTCTGGGGCATTGAGTGTGTGGTGTTACCTGTGGGAGGAGCCTGGAGGCCAGTCATGATGCCTCGTTCACTTAATTTTTGTCCATATAACAAATCTCAAAATGCAATCTCAATTCATATCACTGTTACTTATAGCCATAAGGCTGTTGCTTTTTTCCATAAGTCTGTTATGGCAATAAGAACACTTATGGCAATAAGTCTACGTATCACCACCAGTCAGTTTCATATCACCAAAAGTCTGTTACTTATCACCATAAATCTGTTACTTATTGCCACAAGTCTATTATTTGTTGCCATTAGTCTGTTAATTATTGCCTTAAGTTTGTTACTTATTACCATAAGCATGTTATTTATTTCTATAAGTATTTTACTTATTACTACAAATCTGTTGCTTATTGTGCTAAGTCTGCTGCTTTTTGCCATAAGTCTGTTAAGTGTCATAATAATAATAATAATAATAATTTATTTGCAAGAAGGTACAATGTGTTGGTGAAATTACATAAGATTGGTATTTTTACAGTCATGCAAAGCCACTAACACACACACTGTTTCATGACTTTGCGCAAATGTAAAAATACCAAACTTATGTAATCTCACCAACTCATTGTACCTTCTTGCAAATAAATTATGATGATAATTATCATTAATATTATTATTATAATTATTATTATTATGAAATGTAAGACTTATGGCAAAAAGTAGTAGTCATAAGTATTTTACTTACTACCATGTCTATTACTCATCATCATAAGTCTATTATCACCTCCAAGTTATGCATAGGACAATGTGTAGAAAACTTTAAGTCTTCGGGTGATGGTACTGAGAATGTACAGATCTTGAAGACATTTGTTCACTGTTTATCATACAGTATCTTGACACTGACCAAGGCTCATGACGTACCTCCAGGGCTTCCTCCCTGGGTCAACGGTGTTTAGTGTCTTCACGTGTAGAGCTTGCTAAGCCTCTTCTTACCGAGAAGCTAGAGTCTTGTAAATATATTATTTATTACCAATTGTGTGTAGTTTGTAAAAGTAGAGTGTTAAAGCCAATAAATGTTTCTAAATGTTTCGGAATTTTTAATTAACAATCTTAAACTTTGCTAAAATAAAATATTGCAATCTCATGATTTCATTTTTAATTATTGAGGTTAATTAAAGGAAATTCAAATTACAAAATCATGATTATTTTAATAATAAATTTAAGAATGTTTGTAAGAAAAAATAATGAGGACATTGCAAAATGTCTGCAATGCTGCTTTAATTTATACCTAAACTCATTCATTTGTCTAATCTATGTTTGAAACAATTCAACAACCACAGATACCTACCGTATTTACTGAATTTACTGCCAAGTGAACAGTGGAATCAGGTAAAAGATAATGTACCAAACCATTTCTGTCCTTGTTACGGCCACTACGGGTCGCAACCGCGTTGCGACCCGGTTGGAGTTGCAACCGGGGGAGAATGGGAGAGAGAGGGGGGAGTATGGAGGAGAATGCGGGAGAGTGAATGGGTATGGGGGAGTATGGGAGAGAGTGGGGGAGTATGGAGGTATGGGGGAGAGTGGGGGAGTATGGAGGTATGGGGGAGAGTGGGGGAGTATGGAGGTATGGGGGAGAGTGGGGGAGTATGGAGGTATGGGGTAGAGTGGGGGAGTATGGAGGTATGGGGGAGAGTGGGGAGTATGGAGGTATGGGGGAGAGTGGGGGGGTATGGGGGAGAGTGCAGGAGTATGGGGAGAGTTAGGGAGTATGGGGGAGAGTGGAGGGGTATGGGGGAGAGTGCAGGAGAATGGGGGAGTATGAGGGAAAGTGGGGGAGAGTGGAGGAGTATGGGGGAGAGTGGGGGCGTGTGAGGGAGAGTGGGGGAGTATGGAGGAGTATTGGGGAGAGTAGAGGAGTATTGGGGGAGTATGGGGGAAGAGTGCGGGAGAATGGGGGAGAGTGCAGGAGTATGAGGGAAGAGTGGGGGAGTACGGGGAAGTATGGGGGAGTGGGGGAGTATGGACACGAGTACGAAAGAAAAACATTCATTCACGAAAGTGCCCCCACACTCACCATGGAGCCATAATTAGAGGCAGGACACCCAACAAGAAGCTATCGCCGATCGTGTTGGGGCCCCCTAGGGGTGCGTCGTGAGTACACGCCCACAAACGCCACCTTAAGAACCATCAGTCCATCGAGATTGGGTTCAGTGACGAAAGGAGGATTAACAATAAAAGGTTTCCCTCGCTCTCGACGTTAGGTACTACAGTTCTATGGGTGCAAGAGTATGCCTCCTCAAGCACCCATGCGTCAAAATAGAAGAAGTCCAAAGGAATAACCAAAACAAGCAAAAGGTTGGCAGGAAACAACAAGCAGATAGAAGAGAGGAAGAAAAACGAAACTGAAGGAAAAGAAAAAGTCATTCGGCACAATTAGAGAGGACAGCAGCAGGAACACAAGGCTACAAAAGTACAGAGGACTGTCCCATGGAGCATCACACTCCAGCAGCCGCCCACCAAGACCCCCTCACAGCAACAATGAGCTGAACAGGGAGGGGGGTTGAATCACACAAGTGACAGCCCTTAGCAGTCAACAGCAAGAGTGCCCAGCCATCTGTAACATCACACTGCACCTTCTCCATTTTACTGCAGGTAAACTATGTGGCTTTTTTTATTTTGCTATTGCTCTGTTTACGTGGTTTCATGTCAAAAATTACATGGAAGGGATTATTATATTAGAAGAAACAATCAATAGCTTTTAATAAATAACTTGTTCTCAAAATGTTAATATACAGTAGTATAATAATACTTATTGACACCATATTATTTTGAATGTATACAGCTACACCTTACAATATATGAAGGTTAATTTCTTATTAAGACATCAGTTCACATGCTAGGTCACTTTGCACCTAAGAAAGGAACCTTATCAGCATTCTCATGTTTTTTTATTGAACATTAACAGATAAAAATAACACATTATGGTTAATGTTTTTCTAAAGCTAACTCGAGAAGTTCATTTATAGAAGTAAGGATGGTGCGCGGGTCTTCTACTAGACCTGCTAAAACCATGGCATTGCTGAACAGCTGAAATGAAAAAGAGCAATGTTAATTTAATTTAACATCTATTTAAATACAGAAACAATTCACATTATAAATACTGTATATACACATATGTATCATATATTATATATATACACACACACACACACTGTGACACTGTATATACATATATGTGTATTCATCTAGTTGAATTCACCTACTTGTGCTTGCGAGGGTTGAGCTCTGCTCTTTCGGCCCGCCTCTCAAATGTTACTAACAATTTTTTTCAATACCCACACACTCCCAGGAAGCAGCCCGTAACAACTGTCTAACTCCCAGGTACCTATGTACTGCTAAGGTAACAGAGGCATCAGGGTGAAAGAAACTGCCCATTTGTTTTTGCTGGTCCCGGGAATCAAACCCCAGTCCACATGACTATGTATCAACTGTGCTGTCCACTCAGCCACCGGCCCCCTTTTTGTGTGTGTGTGTGTGTGTGTGTATAAAATATATTGTAGGTAGTATATAATACTACTATAGTAATATAAATACAGTATAGTATATAAACAAAACACCAAAGTTTTATTTCAGAATATTATAATATACCTCTTTACAGATTTATTTATATGCAGCAAATATTACTGTGCAATCTCGTTGGCAGGTAATTTGAGAAGTGAAGCCATTAATGTGTAAGCACTCAAAGAGGGAGACCACGTGACTGGCAGGCTACCCACTTACTCTACACCATTAATGCTGAATCCTTCTTATCGGATAAGGCTTCACCAGTCTTAACTAATACACTGTAGTTGTAGTTTAACATAGTAATATTGTAGTCAATGTCTACCAAACAATAATTTGATTGCTAGACTACATATAATTTAATAAACCCCCAGAATGTGCAAGAAAAGTGATTTGTGAAACACATTTAGAAACACAATTCACTTCAAACAACTATCAAAGAATATTAATTAACGTAAAATATAAATTCTAAATAAATAATTATAAATTAAATAAATATTAATCTCACACATCAATTCCCCAAACTGTCCGAGAGTCTTGCACAAGTAATGCTCCAAGTTCCTTTATTTAAAGTTGTACATTTGTTACTTGGCTTTAACACGTTTGTTTTCAGCACTTTTTTTGGTTTATTTTTGGTGACTTAACGCTTTATACATTTCAGGTGTAGCAATTTCTGACTACTGGATTGACTTTAGATTACGTAGGTCTTTTATGCGCAAATTCATACTCGTAATGGTTAGTTAGTCTAATGATCGTTGCTATATCCTGTGTTTTCCACCTTAATTTTGTCCCTACAGAGGTTTTTCACTCAGATCACTCTCTTGGGTACTTTGGTCTGTCTCCGGGCTATTATGTCCATCTTTACAGTACGAACGTAGGACCTACTGGACTTTAGTTCCTTTCACATCCAGAACTTCACATCTTGAGGGACAGAGCTGCTCTACAATCCATACTCCTCAAAGCAGCTGCACCCAACATCACCTACACAGGAGAAACCGTCCTCATCACCAACCTCACTACAACCACTCCATACCCACTCGCTACAGTCCACCTCGATTGTTCTTTCATCCTTGGTGAGGTCCAAGTCGCCATAAGGGAAAAACCTTTCCCCATGCCAGGAATTCAACTTCTCCTGGGCAACGACTTGCCAGAAGATCAAGAACCCGTGAACCTCATTATCAGTAACAAACCACAAGTATGTGACTCTGCCATGGAAAATCCTGCTATGAAATACATTGCAGAGGAGGTACAACCGACCAACGAAACAGAGGACATCTCCCAGCCAGTCATGGTGACGGCTCATGTCCAAGCCACTCAACCACAGCTGTCCCTCAAGATTCTCAGAGCCTCCCACCGAATCTCAATCCAGAAAGATGATTTAACCCTGACTCCTTTATTTTTTTCAGGCTCAAACTCAAACCGATCCTATCCCTGGGTATTTCCTTAACCCTTAAACCGCTAAGGGCTTTTTTGGCCTGCAACACCGCCAGGCATAACAAAAAATAATTAAAAACAATTCTTTCGTCTTATAAAAGTGTTCATTTGTGTTCCCTGATCACAGGAAAAAAATTAAAAAATCATAGGTGGCATATTTTGGCAGCAATAGGGTGGGGAAGTCTGGCAAAAAAAGGCGTTGACTGAGCAGAAGCCAGACGAGGTCTGCTCCTCCCCAGCTGTCAGGCAGGAGTTGCCACAAAGATGTTATTACCTAGTGTGTCTGATTGATTTTTTCTTAGATTTTTGCAGTAATAATATTCAGTAGTGTGTAGTGTGATATTTATGTAATAAAATGTGTGAACCATCGCTATACTCAAAATTATGGTGTGCATATTAGTGATTCAATTATTATGTTCATAAAACAATAAATAATTAGTTTCCTGTTATTACACTATATACACAGGTTATATATAAGTATCTGCATGTTTTGGTCACCATAACGAACCACTAAATTGGAATGGAGTCAAAAAACAACGACGAGTGGCCACCACATCTGCCCGACAGCCACTGGCCGCCACTCCCTTCCTCACTCTCCTCACTTGCCAACATTCTCCTCTCACCATGCTGTTTTTGCTTTTATTCACTATATACAGACATTATATATAATTATCTACATGTTTTGTTCACCATAACTGTTCATCTAAGCTTGTATGGTGAGTTCAGGCAATAGAGATGTAGCTACACACACGGTAAGCTGGTGGCTGCCTCCTTCACTGGTTCAAGGCCAGATGCACTAATATTTCTCCTCCAACAATACTGTTTGTGGTGTTATTACACTATACACACACACATTATATATATGTATCCACATTTGTGTTCACCATAGTAAACCACTAAGCTGGTATAGTAAGTCCAGACAGTAAAAGGTGGCCACACAGAGTCAGCAGACAACGCTACCTCCCTCCCCACCAAGATTACTCCTCCCACCACAGCGCTAATTATCACCACAATCCTGCTATTACCAGAATCCTGGTCATTTTTATCAGTCAGAGGTCTTCTGTAATACTATCATTGCTAAATAATACCATGGTCATATATATTTTGACATTTTTAGGCGATGCTGTGATCACAAGCTCAACAGCAGGGCTGTGAGCTCATGCTGCGTGCGCCAGCCTTGGTGGCTCACTCAGAACTGAGGTTCTCACACCCGGATATGTTACCCACGATTTTTGTTCTAGGTGGCGTCTGTTTACTATCGGCCGTGGCTAGACTATACCTGCTCCTATCCCTCGCAGGGCATTTAAAATCGTGCGCTAGACCCTCAATCATATATGTATGTACTGTGCGGCTGTATTGTGTGTAAAGTTACTCTCATCGTATATGTATGTATTGTGCGGTTTAAGGATTAAAAAATAATCAGATTTTATACCAAAGATTCAGACCCAGTAAGTTAGAGGAGGAGGATGATTCGGCTAACGTCAACAAGCTGGTAGTTCCTACCTCCTTAACGAAGGAAATCTTCCACTCTTTTCCACCCATGCCATCTCTAATTTTTATAGATGATACATAGATGATTCATTTTCTGGGTTCAGTGATAATGCATCTCATACAAGTAGTATAAATGAACAGTGTTAGCGGCTTCCATGGTGGTGTTTTCCATAGATATTTTCAAGAATAACTGAATTTCTTCCAGATTGGCTGACACTCTTCCTGAGTAACTGAATCTCTTCCAGAATGACTGAATCTCTTCCAGTGAGGGACCTTACAAAGCAATCTTTTCAAGACTACCTTACAAATTGATCTTTTCCTATAATCTTTTCAAGACTACTTTATGCTTCACAAGCTTGGCTACATACCACCTATAGGTACTAAAGCCAAGGGTGTACACGAGTGCGTTATTTGCAAGCACACAGTATGAAGAAACAGGAAGCGAAACTATCTGTACCTGGTGCACTGAGAGCAAAGTCGTACAGTGTACCATGGACTGCTTTGTTGATTATTACTCACTTCCCAAGTACTGAGTGTGTAATGCAGTGTGTAATGCAGTGTGTAATGCAGTGTGTAATGCAGTGTGTAATGCAGTGTGTAATGCAGTGTGTAATGCAGTGTGTAATTGTGTAAACAGTGTGTGAAACTGTATATATTGTATTTTAGTGAATTTTCAACAAGTAATATTGCGACAATAAACATTTATTGTGGACACATTACTGACACATGTATCACAGTTCCATGGAACATTATGAATGTTCTACTGTATACATATTGTAAAGAACACAAATATGTACATACAAATATGTGAAGAGTAAGGCATAAAGGGGTAAAGAGTGAGCTGTAAAAAATGTGAAGAATAATGCAAAAAAGGGACGAAGCACATACAAAGATTAATCAGGTGTAGTGGGCGTGGCATGTTACACAGTCTTCTATGTTGGCATCTTCACGTTCCGACCTTACTCTTACTCTCATGGTGGGTAGAGTGAATACTTCCTTATTTGGGTATTTATGGTGGATTGTTCTATTTTTATGTGGACAGCTTCAAGAATTGGTAATCTTCTTACATCTTGGATTTTGTCTATTATACAAGTGTGTTTATTCAACATTTCTCTTGTTAGGGTGATGTCATGGGCTTGTCTCATGTGATTTTTAAGGGCACCTGATTGAAGATGACAGGTCAAATGCCTCGTCAGCTTGGTCAACGTCATACCTATGAACAGTACTGTACTTAGATTGAAGGCTACATCCTTCGTGCGGGCAGGTGTACACATATACCAAGTTTGACTGCTGTAAAGGGTTCACTGTCGGCTTCGGCCTGTTTTTAACCCTTAAACTGCCCAACACTTCATATGAGATGTTGAGTAACTGACACGAAAGTGCTCACCACTTCATATGACGTTTTGGAGTACCGTACAACATTTAAAAGTCCCGCAGCTACATGGGGTTCACATCAGCTTCCTCAGGGCTCTAGTAACACTCCCCCATCTTGAAAAAAATTCCTGAGTCCCTCACTTTCCTTCTAGGGCCTTAGTAAGGAAATGATGACCATTGCTTGCCAACATTACCATCTAGTGTCTGAACGTTTAGGGCAACCATGCCATACACGAAGATACCCATACAAGACACTAAACTCTTAGCAAACAGCAAATGAGTGATTACAATGTATATATTTGAGGCAAAATATATGCTATATGCAATTTTAAGATTTAGCCTTACAATATATGTATACATATATTATTATGAATAAGTATGTGTGGTGTCTGTATATCTATACTCGTATATCCATACACACTTATATTTTCAAAGTTATACATAATAGACAGTACCTTTGACACACAAATACAACCTGTTAGTATGAAAAACTAAATAAGCGAGAAATATGAAAATAAATCCACAAAGTTATTCCCATGCGGCACCTCAACTCATTTACCTAAAATTATGCAACTTCTCCAGCTCACTACAGCTAAACCACAAGAGCTAGACACTTTTTAATTGGATTTTTGTATTTCCTGAAAGCTAATTAACAATGTCATAAGAAAAAAAAATTTCAGAACAATTTTTTTCTTGAGCACATGGGGAGTATGTCAGCTTTTAACAGTTAGCAGCTTAAAGGTTTTAATGAGGAGGTCGGTAGTCTTCTTTGTTATACTGTATATAATATGATTAGGTCTTTGTTTTGGTTAGGAGTTGTGCTTTTTGCTCCTTCACGAATTATTTCTTTTATTATTCTTTCCTCTTTTTTTATGTTCACTGTGCATAGTTGATTTGTAATATAATATTATTGGAGGTGTTGTGGTTTGTTCTAGGTTCAGGATTGTACCTGGTCCAGGTGTCATCTTATGTCAAGTTTACTTCTTTGTTGCTATTTCCATTGTTCACCAACACTTCAGTTAACTTTCAAACTCCCTACTCATGTTGCTCTATTCTGAGCAGTGGGTAAGGGCTTAACGAATATAAGTGTTTAGAACACTGGCTTTGTATCTTTGGGAGCACTCACTCCTACTGTTTAGGCATAATACTATGTTTGTAGGCTTAGTATATACGCTACTGCTTAGAGATGCTCCTGTTAAATTATGTGTTTATTTGTCTACTTGTACTGAATCCTTTTAAAATATGTCCTTATCTGTCAATTGCATCAAACCTCATCCCTCCCACTTACCTGTTTGGCAGTGAGTTCTGCTAATCGTGGATTGCTGTTACGTAGCTCATTTAGCTTCGTAATAATTGGATGGCTGAAATAAAAAGGCTTCAATTAAACAGAGCAGAAATTTATGGGAATGATGTTCAGAAATACCAAATAGTTATTATTTTATCTGCAGAAAACAATGTCTTACAGACAAGGTAAAAAAAAAATTGAATGTAATGAAACATCATTTTCTGGGCGAGACCCAGAGGCTCCCCGGAGCTATCCAGGCTGATATGGATGTATTAGATTTTGGCATCAGTCGGTGTGAATGGAGTTTTACTGAATTGGAATCTCTCGGCAAATGAAATTTTTTTGACCATCATTGTTTGCTGTGATCGCCAACATGGTATTTAGAAAAAGTTGATCTGCTGCTGACCTCTTGCTAAATCTCTCCACTAAGTGACATTAGACACTGGATGAATCAAAGATCAGCAGTGCTGTTGATCTAAATATAGCATATGCATTTGAGTGGGTCTGGATTAGTAGGAAAGCATCACGCACTAGCCCCTATCAGTCACCATGCTGCAATATAAAAAAAAAAATCCCCCATGCTATCCACATCACTTGTAATACAGGAAATATGGAGTGGATTAACAAGAATGAGAGAGGACCAAGTCAGAGGGAGAGCTGAGGGTCAAGGAAGTCTATGTTCCCTCTCTATTACAGCCCAAAACAAAAATCATACCTTGGATTAATTTCCAACTGTGGCTGCAAAAGTGAGTATCTGGTCTCTTCGGGAATCTGTGTAAATTGAGTGCGTACGAAGTGTCTTGCTGCACCCATCTCTTCCACAGTGACGACACATGGATGCGACTCCAGACGAGAAGTAGCCTTCACTCCCCAACATCGTCCAGCCAACACAGTTTTCAGCCAATCCATCAATTCATTTGCTTGGGAACGACGAAGACTACTCTCAGCTGATAGTGTAAAAAAAAATGGACACAATTTATGTTATATGCAATAAAAAACAAGTGTTGAGTGTAATGAAACGCCATTTTCTGGGCGAGACCTGGAGGCTCCCCGGAGCTTACTAGGTTGATATGCTAATGTCAGACTTTGGCATCAGTCATGTGTATGGAGTTCTGTGGGCCTACCGGGGACCACGAGGCAGAACCTGGCCCCCTCAGAGAGGCATGGAGAGCATTGCTCCCTGCTCCTCTCTAAGGGAGGGAGGGGGGGGGGGGGGCAGAATCTGGCTCATAGTCCCCAGTAGGCCAACAGAACTCTGCAACTGATGACACCTAGTAGTATGGCACTTATTCAGTGTGATAGCTTCAGAGAGCTGACAATTTTCCTCACAGAAAATACAATAACAAAAGCAGTATTAAAAATCAAATTAATGAGTTGAGTGCACTTGTATGCAAAGATTCAATGGGCATTATGGAATTTTAATTAATCCAGATTGTAGATGAATGTAGACAATTGGAAACTTACGAGAACAGAAAATTATGGGACACCAGTTATTTCACATTAATATACAAATTAAAAGAGGAGGGGAATTAACAGTAATATAAAAAAAAAAATTAAAATTTTCACCAAAGAATGAATAAAAATTCATGAACATAATGTTTTTCTATGTCTGCTTAGCAGCCAGTTAGAAAAGTTATACAAAAAATTTTAAGTTTCTTACTTCCTTCGTAATCAACTGTTTCTTTATCCTGACGCATTTCTTTCTCTACAGAAACAATTTTCCTGTTAGTGAATTCCCGTAGCTGCATGAGAACTACTTCATCATAGGGCTCGTAGCAGAACAACACTTCCACATTGCGTTTCTGCACAGGAGAAAAAAGAAACACATTAACTGTTATATCCTCAGTATCATAATTCTAAGAACTGTCCAGCATTGCAAACATCACTAAATTATTGTATTGAGTGGAACACCTTAAACCTAAATGGTTCAGAGATTAAGGTGTGGATGAACAAGCAAGTCTGTTTTGGACCTGGAACAGTTCCACACTGGCTAGTCTTAGATGATATAACTACTATTTGAGTCTTATTATTTCCACAACCTATTTTTTTCAGGGGAAAGCCCCTAGTGGCTCCCTGAAGCTACTATAATGATATAGTGCCAAACTACAAGGTGCCATCAGTTGTGGAGTTCGTATTGACAGAACCTGACCCACCTCACAGGTGCGGGGAGCAAAGGCAGTTATGAAAAAAATTTGTCAATTTATTTCTGTTTGCCACCACCAAAGCAAGGCACCCAGAAAGTCAATGCAACAAAAGAGACCACAGCCTCAAAACCACCAAATGAGCTCCCATAACAATGTAAACAAACAATTGAAAATTCATGAAACTTGAGCTAGCTCATTTGCCTCCACCTCCCTCAACATTTGGGGGAAGGAGGGAGGCAGTCAGGTGTGGAGCCAACTGCTCCACCCTCAGTTCTAATGTTGATATGTATGTGCCTGGTTCCTCTCTCATTGTTCTGGCTCTGGTCTTGGTTTCAGCTCAGTGGTGTTTTGCCCTCAAGGCTTTTTCTGTGCATGGTTGTGCAATGTGAGCCAGGAGTTTAGTGTTCTTGGAGCTGCATGTGCCCAAGGCTACCTTCCATGTGCGCTCATTAAGTGCTGTCCTTGCGTTGTCAGGGTTCACTCCCTAAAGAGGTCTCCATGCTTGTGGTGGCTCTCACCCTGAAGGTAAGCTTATTGTCTTGGACTGTCAGTCTCTCCTTGGGTCGAGTGTGTTTATATGCTGGTGGGGCGCACTGAGGTAGGCCTTCCAGATTACCATACCTGGTTTGGTCTGCTATTCTCCTTTGTTCCAGGGTCGGGTATCTTGAGAGTTAGTGGTACTTAATTTGTAATTCAGTCCCTTTATGGCCTTTAGTTTTCATTGTGCCCTCATTCCTCTAAAGGGGGTTTATTTGTGCCATTCCTGACTTATTAGGTTTACCTAGTGTCTAGGCATGGATGGTTCCCTTTTTGGTTTCTCTCTTGCTCTTTCTGGTGGTATTGGGTGTTAATAGGGAAACCTATAAAATTATATAGGAGTTATCAGCATAGCAATCCCAGTGCCTGGGCATACCTGCAGGGAACATTCACCCTGCAAGCCCTGGAAAACCCCTATGGGTTTGGTGGTCCTTGTGATCCACCCACCATCCCTAATCTCACTTCGAGCAAATTTCTGGGTTGCGCACCATCCATGCTTTGTGGCAATGTTCAGTTTGTCTGCCTCCACTGCTACCTGTTGGGTCTGTGACACCTTTGGCCCTGAGTCATGAAGTCAACTCCCTTCAAGTTGCTCTACTCTGCCAATTTTGGAGGGGCTTCTGGCAGCAACTGCTGGCGTCTTTAGTTCCTGGATTGCAGTAGTCAAGGTTGTGTCCCCGGTTTGAGGCCCGGGGCTAGCAAATGATGCTTGTCTCATGGAATAGGCGGTGATTTTGTTCGTACCTCCTTTTCCTTCTTTCTCCTTTGGGCAGGGGGTTTGCCCTTCTTCTCTTTTTCCCCTGCCCCTGGCCCAGTAGCAGGTTTAGGGTTGGGGTGGGGTTTTTCTTTGGGATATCCCTTCGGCAGCTACGAGGGTTGTCCCTTTCAATTCAAGTGTAGATACAGTTGAGCCTTCTCATCTTGCCAAGGTTTCTGGTACTCCTTTTTAGTTCCATCGCACAAAAAAATAAAAAACCAGCTTTGAATGTAATGAAATGTCATTTTCTAGGCGAAACCCCGAGGCTCCCCAGAGCTATCCAGGCAGATATGTATACAGTATTATTAGACTTTGGCATTAGTGTGAATGAAGTTTTAGGCCTACCAGGGACCACGAGCCAGAACCTGGCCCCCTCAGAGAGGCACGAGGAGCAATGGCCTATAAAATTGCACATGTGATTTGGAGCATTCTATGTCTGCCATTGACCATGCCAGGCACCCAGAAAGGCAAGCACCTCAAAACAAGCCCCTCTTCTGGTTAAAACCACTACTGAAACTAACGAGTGGACTGAACTTCCCAAATGAAAACGAGCGTGATGTCACATATGCCGTGTCACTTGTCTGCGCAGCTCCCCCCCACCCCCGGGAGGGGGAAGGGGGAGCCCCAGACCCCTCATGCCAGCGATCCACACCCCAGTTCTCGGCTGATGTGATACGGCTCGGTCGTGTGGCTCCAGCTCCAGATTCTCTCTGTTGTGCTATGCCTTGTGTTCAGTACTGCTCTTACTGTGGCATGTGAGCTGGGAGTAATAATCTAATATTCACAGGTACTCGGGCTGCATGTGCTTAGGGTTCCCTTCCCTGAGTGCCCTGTAAGTAATGCCCTTGGGGATTGGGGTTATCTTCCACAAGGCACCTTGGGAACTACCTCTGTTGGTCTTTTGCTGCTCGGTAATTGACCGCACTGGAAGTGTTGGGGGGTTTCCTCCTCGCTTTTTACCTTGGGGTAACTGGTAGTTTTTGCACTGGTAGGAGCACAGGGTATTGCGCAGCTAGTTTTCACATATTACAGTGGCCGGCTCTGTTCCTTCTGGGTACGTTGTCCTCTGGCGGGGGTTTTCTATTCATTTTTTTTTTGTACCTAGTGGGGGGGGGGCTGCTTTTGTTCCCCTGCCCCCTGTTATATTAGGATCTTGACCTCCTGGGCTCGGTGGTTCCCCCCTGCTTGGCCCCAGTGAGTGGACACGTCCCAGGGGTTCAGTTTTAGAAATTTGTTTGGTAGACTTGGGTGCCAGTTAGCAGTACCCTGGCTGGGCTTACCCTTAACAAAACCAGTCTTAAGACCCTGGGAAGCCCTGTGAGGGTGAAGGGGGTCCAATGGATGCGACCCCTGGGTCCCCACTCACTTTTTGAGAGTTTGAAGGTTGCTCTGTCCCCTTGTCTCAGGGCAACGCTCAATGTTTTTGCCTCTGTTATGTTGCCTGTCGAGTAAGTGACACCTTCGACCCCGAGTCCGGCGAGCATTGTTGCTTGTTTGTGACTCAATTCACCCAATCAACTGATGACATTATTTGGGTGCACACGACTCAGGCGTTGCATGCTGGATATAGGTTGCTGCAACGTGCTAGGTTGGTTGCTTCCCCGGATGCCTCAAGGCTGCCCTGCTTTGCTTATAGGGACTCGGACTTGGGGGTGTTGGTCGCTTCAGCCTTGGTTCAGTCCACACCCCCTCGTTCTTCCCCTGCTGTAATTCATTCTGCTTCCCCCTCCCTGCCCCCTTGATTCCCACTCTGCAGCATCTGAGGGCTTCGGGGCGAGGTTTAGAGGATTCTGAGACTTGGGCAGTTTCGGGGGTCGCTCCTTCCGGGGTGGCGACAGAGGCATTCGAGTCGGTTCCTCCAGCCATAGCGATGGGGGTCTGACCAGTGGGTCTCCATTCTTCCTGCTTTTTTGGCTGCCGCGGCTTTTTCTTGTGAGGCCGGACTTTGAAGGATGACTCGTCCCCGGGGCCTGATGTGGAGGTAAGATGCACCTGATTCAAGGTCACTCAAGAGCAGTCAGTAAATAGGGAAACCCAAAATCTTTGAGAAACCTAAATTCCTCAAAACAGTTATCTCCAGATGGGTAGGATACATACGAGCCTACTATAAAAGGAATGAACTTCGGGCTATCAGTTGAAGCAAAATATTAAGCAAGAGCATATGCAATGTGGATGACATTACAAACATTCATGAACAACAACAAATTAATGTTCTAGGAATAGATAACACCACTTACCTTAAGGCCATGTCAGATCTAGCATGCCCTTTGAGACTATGAGCAGGCAGGTGAGAGATGGGGAAGGGTGGCTCTGGGCTACCACTTAGGTCTGTGGTCAGGTGCATCTTTGAGACTATGAACAGGCAGGTGAGAGATGGGGAAGGGTGGCTCTGGGCTACCACTTAGATCTGTGGTCAGGTGCATCAGTGTTAGTATTTACACTCAGGCAATAATTACTTGCCTCGTTGTTTGTGGATACCTACTTTTCAGTTACTCCTTTTGTTTCAATTATGCTTTCTGGTGAGTTTTTCTTGGTTTTTGTTGATCTGTGATTCTCAAGCTTGCTTTGCCTTGCTAAGAGAGCTAGATTCTGATCATGACTTTCTGTAGGCAAGGCTTGGTCTCAGGTGCCTAATGCATCTTTCTAAAGCTTGGATGGACTAACACTTAGTTCGAGAAGCAACCAAGGTGGGATTCACCAAAAATCTTAATAAGCATTAAATAAACCTGTACAAAATCACACTATATAATAATCACCATATATTATTGTTTTTCGCAAACCGTACATAATGATAAAGACTTATGAAAACCCTATACCTTAAGTGCCTCAAAATATGGAGAAGTCTCTGCCAATTCTCTTGAGGGAGCTGCTAGGTAATAAATATCTTTCTGGTTATCAGCCATTCGACTAATGTATTCTGGAAGTGTAACCTTCTCCCCATTAGGTTTTGCAGATGAATCGTACATTATTAGTTTCGCAATCTCTTCCTTCTCCACTTGCTCCTGGGATGAAAGAATACCTGCGAATACAGTTATTACATTAAATAGCAAACCATGTCTAGTTACTAATAAACAATCAAACAGTACTTCAAATCCTAAATCTTATACCAATAACTAGTTATTAAAATATAAAAAAACCAGCGTTGAATGTAATGAAACGCCAGTGTCTGGGTGAACCCCGGAGGCTCTGTGAAGCTATCATTGCTGATTAACACTTTGCCTAGCCTGTCGCGCGAGACTCAGCCCAACCCAAGGTCGGCCTGGCCGATTCACCCCAAGGTGAGCCTGTGAGTGCTCACCCGCACTAAAATGTGTATACTCTTTTGCGTATATAAGGTCAAAAAGCCCAGCTTGCCACCTGCAGCAGACCCAAAAGTTGGCGAAGTGTCACCCGTGAACACACAACCGCACTAAAATGTGTATACTCATTTCAATTTTCTCACCTCAATTTTCATGCTACGTCTTTGATTTTGGTATCGAATTGTTCGCAATAGAATTCTCTAAAGGGTTACATGCATATAAGGCCAAAAAGCCCGGCGCACTACCCACAGCAAACCAGAAAATCCGCCGAGTTACCCGTGAAAAAGCACCCATCCACATGCCAAAGTGTGTGTACTTCGAACCAAGCCCACCAAAGAAGGAAGAGGGGTTGCCGATAGAACCAAGATCGAGTTGACCAGCACCCCCAATTCCAAGTCCCTAAAATACAAATGGGGCAGGTCTGGGGCCACCAACTGGTACACAACCTGGAGCATTGCAATACCAAAAACCGGCAATGCAAAGCACACACTGCTTTGGGAGTGACCTCTGGACTTCCACAGTGGAATAGGGAAGTAGGAGCATATGGGATGGAGGGAGGGGGAGACAAGACCCACATTACTCTGGGTTGTAGGTGTCGCTGACCCAACGAGCAGCAAGGGTGGAGGAAGAAATTATGAACATCACTGAGTGGCACCGGTGACGGACCACCCTCAAATTCGCATAAAGCGAGAGGGGGCATGGAAGAGGTATCCATAGTACAACCCAGCCTGTGGGGTGGGTGAGGGGGGGGGGTGTTCTGGGGCCTGCAGTGTGAATGAGCCCTGCAGGAAGCCCAGACATTGGGGTCCACGATGCTGTTAAACCCTGTCAATGCAGGTAACCAGACCCCCCGAAGCCTAATCAAAAGTCAAGGGAAAAGTAAGGGGATTCCAGAGCGCACACACTATGCAGCCCTAAAAACCGAAAGGCAGAACTCAAGAGCAAAACAGCAAAAATACAGAAAGAAAAGCACAAAATAAAAAACACCAAGACTAAACTGCTGCAAACGAGCAGCCAGGGAGCAACATCGAAGTATCCATGTGCAGTTTGGTAAAGTGCAGGTGTGAAAACTACAGTGCCCCCACCAGCCAAAAAAAAACCCACCCACCCTCAAACCCCAGGTAAAACAAAAGCACATGCCCCCTATAAAAAAAATGTTTCCTGAATGCCCCAGGGAAGACAACCCTGGGGCGAGAGCATACCTGGAGCATATCTGGAGTGTGTTTCGGGAGTTCTTTTATTCGCCCAAGCCTGGCCAGAGGCCAGGCTCGATTTGTGGTAACTTGGTCCAACAGGCTTGGAGCGACCCACAGGCCCACATATCTACTACAGCCCGGTTGGTCCAGCACTTCTTGCAAGAACCTGTCCAAGTGCCTCTTGAATACCTCCACTTTCTTTCCGGCAATAGTTGAATAGTTGCTGGGAAGGTGTAGAACAGCTGTGGGCCTCTGATATTCAGACAGTGCTCTCTGATTGTGCCTATGGCACCTCTACTCCTCAATGGTTCTATTCTGCATTTCCTTTCGTATCTTTTGCTCTAGTATGTTGTTATTCTACTGTGCAAATTTGGGACCTGGCCTCTCCAGTATCTTCCATGTATATATTATTTGATACCTTTCTCATCTCCTTCCAAAGTACATTTTGAGAGCTTTGAGATGGTCCTAATAATTGAGATGTTTTATCATTTCTATGCATTCTGTATATGTTCTCTGTATTTTCTCTAATTCGGAGATCTCTCCTGCTCTGAAAGGGGAAGTGAGTACCGAGCAATATTCAAGATGGGACATCACCAGTGATTTAAATATCATTTGCATTGCTGTCAAATCCTTGGATTTGAACGTTCTCATAATTTATCCTATCATTTTCCTGACCACCGCTATATTTGCTCAGTAATGTTCACTAAATGTCTGGTGGTCAGACATCATAATTCCCAGATTTTAATTCTCACAAAGTACCACAGTACTAAACTCACAAAATGCACAGTGAAGGAAACCCTGAGCTCATGCAGCTCCGGCACACTACACCCCTGACTCATGTACATTGCTGTGTAAAACACTGCCAAAAAAGGCAAGAAAACACCACTAGAAAAAGGGACAAAGGAGCCAGAGCAAAACATGACCACCAGGTAAGCACATCGGTTGAGAACTGAAGCCGGTCGGCCCAACCTTCCCAGGCCAACTATCCCCTCCCTAATGAGAAAGGAGGTGGAGCTAACTAGCGGGGGAAAGGGATAGTTTCATTAAGTTTTGCTCGTTTCTTTTTTTCTTCTTTCTTTCTTCCTTCGTGTTGAGCCTGGCCTCAGACTGGGCTCAGGGAGTAGAAGAACTTCGAAACCCCCTCAAGGTATTGGGGGAGTTCTTTTAACATTTTTTGGGCTTCAGTCTTGTTTGTTTAAAATTGGTAGTGGTTTGTTTTGATTCACCTATCTTTTTGGGTGTCTTCCCTGGTGATGGCAAATATGATGACATTAAAATGTAAAGTGATCATAGGCCATCGTTCCCTTCACCTCTCTGAGGGTGCCAAGTTCTGGCTCATGGTCCCCAGTAGACAAAGAGAACTCCACAACTGATGACACTATATAATATGACACTTAATCAGTAATGATAGCTTCAGGGAGCCAATGGAGCTCCATACACAAAAGTGATAAATTATGTATGTGAATAAAGCAAAGCACCACCATATACATGGTACACTACAGTACAGGTACACATATTATGTTAAGATGAAAATAAAGTGTAATGCACCTTTGTTGAACAAAATCAAACATTAGCCAGAGTTTCCTTTCCAAATGTTATATTGCTACTGCAATAGTCACACACAATCCCTAGCTCACTATCCCTATCCCTAAGTAACAAATCAGTGGTACAATAAGCTCTCATCCTGATATGTGCTACATGCCATAGAGATAAGTAAATTCTACCACCTACTAAACATTTAAACTATTATTTAACAATGTATGCACAGCAAATAATAATTAAGGTATACAAACAAAATGATAAATAGAAGGCAAATATAGCTCAACATAGCAGTACAGTACAAGTACAGTATAGGTGATCACCATTTCCTACTTGTCTTCTAGCACAACATGCCACATCTTATCAACTTGCCTTCTTTGATGAATATTCCATAATCTGAAAAGAACTTGGTATAACTTTCAACATCTTTACGTGATTTGTCAAAGAGGAAACGAGTAACACGATTTTGAATGACAGTACGGAGTTTGCGAATCGATGCAGAATCCTGAAGTAATTCTCTGCTCAGATTTAAGGGAATGTCCTCACTGTCAACAACACCTGGAATATAAATAAAATTTGGCTTAAATACAGGTTACTCAGAATGTATGTGAGAAAAAGACGACTGTCAGATTTACAATGCCTTTAGATGGCAATGTAAGGAAAATGCAACATACAAAACAAGTTGAATTCTGTTTAAAGCTTTCAAGAGTTTCTATGTATGATGTAGAGCTTGTTTTAGAGTTAATGGTATAATGAGTAACTGGTTTAATATTACTCTAAGTTGTGTTATGTTCCTCTGGGTGTTCAATATAAGCCTACAGTGTAAGCCCGTACGTCCGGGAGCCCATACGTCCGGGAGCCCATACGTCCGGGAGCCTGTACGTCCGGGAGCCCGTACGTCCGGGAGCCTGTACGTCCGGGAGCCCATACGTCTGGCAAAGCCAACTGAATGAGTCGGGGTCGATCGTTCATTCCGAGGACAGCGGAATGAACCAGGACAGGCTGTCTGCCAGGACATTGGACACCCCCCTGAATGTGAAGGGCCAGGAGTGCCAAACCTAGAGAACCCAGCAGGCAAGTTGTTACCTAACTAGTTCAGCAAGGCTCGTGTATCTGGCAGCACTGGAAACGTATCTAGGGGAATAGTAGCATGCATGTTTTTGATACACCAGAATGCCCCTATGTAGACACATCAAAGGTAAAATTGTATAATTAAAAACAACTGTACATATACAAGAATATATAACATTTATTTATATATGAAATTATAATCACTGCAAATTATTTCGAGGTAAGGGATGGCTCACAAAAGGTATGCATACACTCCTCTCACAACGTTCTTTATGTGTTCCTCTGCTGACAGTTTACTATCCATCCAAAACCACCTCTAGATCTTGTTCTTTATTAGAGTTCTTTAACTCCTTTCTGCATAATTTTGTAAGTTTTGTGTGGTTTATTTTTATCAGATTCCACATTCCATGTATGTGTGTTTTTCTTTTTTTTTTTGAGAGAAAAATATATGTAGTAGATATGATAGAAGAAAAATATGTCAATAACCAGTACATTAGAAAACTTATGGTTAGAAAGGCAGGGACCAAGAGCTAAGAGCTTGATCATACAGGTACAAATGTAGTAAATGCAAATACAGTGGTACCTCAGCTTACAAATTTAATCCATTCCCAGAGAAGGTTTTGGGTGAATGTACCTAATTAACCCAAATCTTCAGTACTAAAGTATGTACAAGTTATTGCTTACCTATATTGATGACTCTTGTTAAAGAGGTAAGGTAGAGGGGAGGAGAAAAGGTATTAGTGTTTGGAAAGGGAGTCCCCATCCATTATACCATCAGGCAATGATGACTTCTCTGGGGTACACTCTCTGGCACATTTTGCCTGCATAACACTAGGACCAGCTTTTGGCTCACTGCTTGATTTTCTCACTAAAAATCTATCCATAGAGGATTGTTTTTCCCTTCGTTGTAATACTTGTGTGTAGTGAGGTATCACAGTGTCATTAAAAAGGTTAATGCAACGGCCTACTATAGCTTGCTCTGGGTTAGTCTTTTCAACAAAACTTTGCATTTCTTCTCGCAGTCTACACCACTTCCTAATTGTTGAGGAAGGGACATTCTGTACTGCCTCCTCCTTCCCTGAAGACATTTCCTCAGCTGATCTCTTGTTTCTCCTCTATGGTCATCCTCACATGTGTTTTCTTGGATTGAACCTTACCACTGGCTTTCTTGGGACCCATGGCGAGATATTTAATAATTACTTTAATGTTCAAATACCCAAAAATACGAAAAACACTGAAATTCTTTACAAAGAATTCAGGCGTGATTGTCACTAGGCGGGAGGCACTGGTAAACTGAGGCGTGGTCGCCGTACCACCACATGCTAGGTCGGCCATACACGTACTGTATCAAGAAACTTCGTTTCCCGAGGCAAAGTTCGTAACCCCATTCGGATTTTACAAGGAAATGGGCTCATAACCCGAAAAGTTCATAAAGAGGGTCATTCATAAGCCGAGTTATCACTGTAATAAATAGAGCCCTGAATCAAACGCTTTATTAACATTGTATTTACACCAAATTCCATCAAGTTTTCTTGATCCATGCAAGGTAAAAATAATATAACTGTATAAACTTTATTAGAATTAAAATACAAACAATAGCTTGGTTGGCAACCTAAGCTTTCCAAATAACTGATCTATTTCAGTCAATAATGAGTAAACAAACCATAATGCTGTATAATAAACATATCAATTTTGTTAATACATACCTTTCAAGAATCTAAGCCATTTTGGAAGAACATTTTCGGCCTTGTTCATGATGAGGACACGACGGCAATAGAGGGAGACACTGCTTTCGGCATCACGATTCAGGTCAAACAAACCTAAATTAAAGGATACAGTCATAACTCTTCATTATATAAGAGGATTAATAAACATCAGCTTTGAATGTAATGAAATTCCTCTTCCTGATGGGTCCTTTGGTGGCTATTTGGATAGAATATAAATTTAAAAAATTAAAACAGCACTGAACGTAAAGAAACGCCAGTTTTTGGGCGTGCCTCTGAGGCTTCCTGATGCTATCATACTGATTAAGTGCCATACTACTTGAGGGTCATCAGTCGCGGAGTTCTTTCTGTCTACTAGAGACCACAACCAAGTTCTGGCTCATGGTCTTCGGTAGGCAGAATGAACTCTGCAACCAATGACCCTCACGTAATATGGCACTTTATCAGTATAATAGCGTCAGGGAGCTGACGGGGCTTCCCCAAGAAATACCAGCATTAAATGTAATGAAACACTAATTTCTGGGCGAGCCCCAGTGGCTTCCTGAAGCTACACACCAGGGGTGGTCGAACTTGCTTACTGTAAGAGCCATCTTTATGGATGTTTTCCAGGCAAACTGTCACTTGCTCTCAGCACCTCTGATGGGGGTCCAGGTTTTAGTGCTGGTCCCCAGTAGGCCAAATAAAATTCCACATCTGATGTGAACCATTTGCATGGAGCACTCTTATCAAAACAGCTTCAGGAAACCTCACTGCCCATCTGGTTTGCCCACAGGACCCTCACTTCCCACCTGGTGTGCCCACAGGACCCTCACTTCCCACCTGGTGTGCCCACAGGACCCTCACTTCCCACCTGGTTTGCCTACAGGACCCTCACTTCCCACCTGGTGTGCCCACAGGACCCTCACTTCCCACCTGGTTTGCCTACAGGACCCTCACTTCCCACCTGGTGTGCCCACAGGACCCTCACTTCCCACCTGGTTTGCCTACAGGACCCTCACTTCCCACCTGGTGTGCCCACAGGACCCTCACTTCCCACCTGGTGTGCCCACAGGACCCTCACTTCCCACCTGGTGTGCCCACAGGACCCTCACTTCCCACCTGGTTTACTACAGGAACTTCACTACATACCTGGTTTCCCATAGGAGCTTCATTGCACACCTGGATTCCCCCAGAGACGCCTCACTACAAACCTTGTTTCCCCACAAGTGCCTCGCTACATACCTGGTTTGCCCACAGGACCCTCACTTCCCACCTGGTTTGCCCACAGGACCCTCACTTCCCACCTGGTGTGCCCACAGGACCCTCACTTCCCACCTGGTGTGCCCACAGGACCCTCACTTCCCACCTGGTGTGCCCACAGGAGCCTCAGTGCCCACCTGGTTTGCCCACAGGAGCCTCAGTGCCCACCTGGTTTGCCTACAAGTGCCTCGCTACACACCTGGTTTGCCCTCGGGAATGTACAGGAGACATCGAAGGTCTATTGGAGCATCAGTACGATAGTGAAGCACAAAGCGTGGCTTGTCATACGCCGAGCCCACATAACGGTAGAATTCATCGTGCTGATCAGGAGACACCTCCTTGGGATCCATGAGCCAAATGGGTTTGATGTTGTTTGCTTGCTCACCATTTACTTCAATAGGAGAACCTACAAAACTGCTGTACTTTTTTATGACATCTGTGGAAGAAACAAATAAATTGGAAACGCTGGCCAGTACATGTAATCGTCAAAAATTTTATATTACTGTATACCATTATTAAAAAGAGCTTGAAAATATATGATAAGTTAACTTAATGATGATAAACACCACTTATCCTGTACAATACAATGTAACACAGAACATAAGAATGAAGGTAACTGAAGAAGGTCTATTGGCCCATACGAGGCAGCTCCTATTTATATCCACCCAATCTCATTTATATACAGTATGTATGTATGTATGTATGTATGTATGTATGTATGTATGTATGTATGTATGTATGTATGTATGTATGTATGTATGTATATAGGTATATAGAGGGAGGGAGGGAGGAAGAGAGAGAGGGGGGGTGTGCACTCACCTAGTTGTGCTTGCGGGGGTTGAGCTCTGGCTCTTTGGTCCCGCCTCTCAACCGTCAATCAACAGGTGTACAGGTTCCTGAGCCTATTGGGCTCTATCATATCTACACTTGAAACTGTGTATGGAGTCAGCCTCCACCACATTACTTCCTAATGCATTCCATTTGTCAACCACTCTGACACTAAAAAAGTTCTTTCTAATATCTCTGTGGCTCATTTGGGCACTCAGTTTCCACCTGTGTCCCCTAGTGCGTGTGCCCCTTGTGTTAAATAGCCTGTCTTTATCAACCCTGTCGATTCCCTTGAGAATCTTGAATGTGGTGATCATGTCCCCCCTAACTCTTCTGTCTTCCAGCGAAGTGAGGTTTAATTCCCGTAGCCTCACCTCGTACCTCATACCTCTCAGCTCGGGTACTAGTCTGGTGGCAAACCTTTGAACCTTTTCCAGTTTGGTCTTATCCTTGACTAGATATGGACTCCATGCTGGGGCTGCATACTCCAGGATTGGCCTGACATATGTGGTATACAAAGTTCTGAATGATTCCTTACACAAGTTTCAGAATGCCGTTCTTATGTTGGCCAGCCTGGCATATGACACTGGCCAATCACATCAATAAACTGGAAAAGGTACAATGGCTTGCTACAAAATGGCTTTCGGAACAAGAAAAACAACAAGAAAATAAAAACAAGTTTTTGTTTTGTTTGAAACAAAAACAAGAAATATAAGGAGATACTACAGGCATTAAACATGCCAAAACTATAAGATATGAGAAAAAAAAGGTGATACGATAACCTCTTACAAAATACTAACAGTAATGAACCAAATTGACAAAGAGGAATTCATGTAACCAGCAACTTCATGAACAGATTCAAGCTATGGAAACAAAGGTGCCAAAAAATAATAGGAAGTTTTCTTTTGCAAACAGAGTGGTAGATGGTTGGAACAAGCTAAGTGAGGTGTTGGAGGCCAAAACCATCAGTAGTTTCAAAGCATTATACCACAAAGAGTACTGGGAAGACGGGACACCACGAGAGTAGCTCTCATCCTGTAACTCCTGCCTAGTGACAATCGCCTGAATTCTTTATAAAGAACTATTTTTGGGGGATTTTTGGGTATTTGAACATAAAAGTTGTTATTATATATCTCGCCATGGGTCCCAAGAAAGCCAGTGGTAAAGTTCAAGTCAAGAAAACATATGTGAGAAACCATAGAGGAAAAACAAGAGATCATTCGTAAACATGAAAATGGTATGAGGGTTGTTGATGTAGAGTAGAGGATGTCCCTTCCTCATTTATTAAGAAAATGTGTGCAGTATGGGAAGAATTGCAAAATTTTGCTGAAAAGTGTCATCCAAATCAAGCTGTAGCAGACCGTTGTGTTAACCTTTTTAATGACAATGTGATGTCTCACTTCAGACAAGTATAACAATGTAGGGAAAAACAAGTGTTGCTAGACAGGTTTTTAGTGATGAAAAACTAGCAGTGAGCCAGCCACAAGCAGGTCTTAGTGGTATGCAGGGAAAATGTGCCAGAGAGTGTAACCCCAGAGAAGTCCTCACTGCCTGATGTTAATGGAAGGGAACTCCCCTTCCAAACACTAACACCTCTCCTATTCCCCCCTTCTCACCGTCTTCCATACGCCAACAAGTCATCAGTAAAGGTAAGTAATAACTTGTACATGCTTTAGTTCTGAAGATTTGAGTGAATTAGGTATAAAATTTACTTTGCAGTTAATTTTTTGGGGAGTCTGGAACGAATTAATTCAATTTACATTATTTCTTATGGGGAAATTCGCTTCAGTTTACGAATACAGTATTCGGCTTACAAGCCATCACTGGGAATGGATTAAATTTGTAAACCGAGGTACCACTGTGTAGCGATGGTTCACATATTTTATAATATAAATATATCACACTACACACTACTGAATAATATTACTGCAAAAAACTAAGAAAAATCAGAGACATTGAAATAATTAGGAAATAATATCTTTGTGACCACTCCCACCTGACAACTCGGGCGGAGCAGACCTCTCTTCGACGCTTGCTCTGCCAACCAGAGTTTCTTTGCCAGATTTCCTCGCCCCCTTTGCGGCCAAAATATGCCACCTACAATTTTTTAATTTTTTTTTCCCTGTGATCAGGGAACACAAATGAACACTTTTATAAGACGAAATAAAAAAATTTCTTGCACCTGGGCGTGTTGCAGGCTAAAATCACAAAAGCAGCCTAGGGATTAAGAATCTGGCATGTCTCATGATACCTTTATCTTCCTCCAGGCTCCATAGTCCAGCTAAACTCCTACTGCTCTGCAGTGGTTAATTCCTCAAAATGAGGGGAGATCCTTTTGGTATCTTTCATTGTGGAACTAGACTCTCTGGGAAACGGATTCTGGATTCTTGGGAATGGAATCCAGACTTGGTTCACATGCAGGGTGTATCCAATGTTCTTGTAGATGGTCTCTCATTTCCATCCCATTGCCATGGAATGGACCATCAAAGATGTTTCCTTACAGTGGTCTTTTGGGTACCCCGGGGTGGATGTTTAAAGTTTCTAGCATTTTGCATGCTATAGAAACAGTATGAAAAAAACCCCTATGATATTGGTGATTGTATACCATCTTCTTGAGGTTATCTTGAGATGATTTCGGGACTTAGCGTCCCCGCAGCCCGGTCCTCGACCAGACCTCCTTTTTGTTAGACATCCCCCAGGAAGAAGCCCATAGCAGCTGTCTAACTCCCAGGTACCTATTTACTGCTAGGTGGACAGTGGCATCAGGCTGAAAGAAACTCTGCCCATTTGTTTCCGCTTTCACCAGGGATCGAACCCGGAACCTCGGGACTACGAATCCTAAGCGCTCTCCACTCAGCCGTCAGGTCCCAATCATGCCTAACTGTGCATGATTCTTTCCATGTGTACAATGGCTCAAATACCATAGAGCAGCATAATGAGCAAATTTAGATAGAATCCTATGTAGCAGATAATATATTCACATTTATTTCCCAAATGGCAGTATTTCATTGAATTGGTAAAAATGTCAGGTCTACTATTTCATTTCTATCTCATCAGCAATACCTTTAATAGTCTGTTCATCTGCAAATTCTCGATTATCTATTTTAAGATGACAAACTATCTTGGTTCCTGGCTCGACACCCTCACACTCCTCTATTGTATACTTTCCACACCTGAAAAAATTAAACACAAATTTAAATAATAAAACTTAGCAAAACTACTAAGGGAAATGATCATATTATAATTACAGTTTTACAAGTGACAATGAAAACAATTCAGGAATCTGAACCTGAAATTATTTACTAACATATTTACAGCTAAAACTTGCCCAGAGATGATCCACTAACTACAGTTATACACTACAATGAAAGGATATCATTAGAGAAGCGGCTCTCTTATGTTTAGACAACAAAAAGAACCCATTGAACCCATTTTGTCACAAAATTAAAAAAAAATAAAAAAAGCGGCGTTGAAGGTAATGAAACGCTATTTTCTAGGTGAGTCTGGTCTTTCTTTATTATCAGATTATTGATCTTTCTATAATATCAGAATATTGGTCTTTCTGTAATACTAGTACTGGTTAACCCTTAAACCACTAACTGTTAAATAGCAAACATCCCCAGGGCGCTCAAGAAAAAATTGTTTTGAAATTTTTTTTTCTAATGACATTGTTAATTAATTAGCCTTCAAGAAGCACAAAACTCCAAATAAAAAGTCTCTAGCTCTTGTGGTTTAGCTGTAGTGACTTGGAGAAGTTGCATATTTTTAGTTGAGGTGCCGCATAGATATAACTTTGTGGATTTATTTTCATTGTTTCTCAATTTATTTATTTAGTTTTTTCATGCTAACAGATTGTATTTGTGTGTCAAAGTTACTGTCTATTATGTAAAACTTTGAAAATATAAGTATGTATGGATATACAGTGGTACCTCGACTTAAGATTGCCCCTACTTACGATAATTTCGAGTTACAATGTAAATTTCATAGAAAAATGTGACTCGACATCCGATGGTGTCGTCGACTTCTGATATTTGTTGGTACACGTTCGGGTCGACCGAGCGCGTGGTTCCCAGTCACACGGCCGACCTGCCTCAGTTTACTACAGCTGCCCGCTTAGTGACGATCGCGCCTATAAGAAATTTCGCATTTGTGGTGATTTTTTGCATTTTGAACATTAAAGTAATTATTATATATCACGCCATGAGTCCCAGGAAAGTCAGTGTTAAGGATAAACATATGAAAACCCATGTAAGGATGACCATAGAACAGAAACAAGAGTACAGAATGTCTCTTCCTCAACAATTAAGAAAATGTGTGTAGCATGGGAAGAATTGCAAACCTTTGCTGAAACGACTCACTCAAATCAAGCTGCAGTAGGCCGTTGCCTTAACCTATTCAATGACACTGTGATGCATCATTACAGACAAATGTTAAAACGAAGGTAAAAACAAATGTCTCTTGACAAATTTGTAGTGAGACAAACAACCACTGAACCACAACCAGGTCCTAGTGGTATTCCGGCAAAACGTAGAAGACAGAGTACCCAAGAGAAAACATCACTGCCTGATGTGATAATGGAAGGGGACTTCCCTTCCAAACAGTAACAACTCTCCTCCTCCCAACTCATCACCATCTTCCATACGCCATCAAGAGCCCTCCATAAAGGTAAGACTAACTTAGGTACTGTATTGTAGTTAGAAAAAAAACATTGTATTCAGTATAAAATGTATTTGTATGGTAATATTTTGGAGGGTGGGAACAGATTAATTCAATTCCCTTTATTTCTTATGGGAAAAATCGCTTCGACTTACGATATTTCGAGTTACGATCCGTCTCTGGGAACTGATTAGCATCGTAAGTCGAGGCCCCATTGTACAAGAAAAGATATAAAGACACCCACATACTTATTCATAATAATAAAATATATATATACATATATATATTATATAATTTATTTATTTATTTATTTTAAGCCTAAATCTTAAAATTGCAAATAGCACACATTTTGCTCAAATATATACATGGTAATCACTCATTTGCTGTTGCTAAAAGTTTAATGTCTCCTCTATGGCTGCCCTAAACATTCAGATACTGCATGGTGATGTTGCCAAGCAATGGTCATCATTTTCTTACAAAGGCCCTAGAAGGAAAGTGAGGGACTCTGGATTTTTTTTCAAGATGGGAGATTGTTACTGGTGGTTTGAGGAAGCAGAGGTGAGCTCTATGTATGTGTAGGACTATTTTAACTATTTTAAATATGCAAATCATGTACTGTATATATGAGTTATGCCGTTTTGTGACAGTTACTCAAATCATATATGTATGTATTGCGCTGCTTAAGGGTTAATAAGGGAGTAAAGTACTAATCAAAATCGTGGTATCGGCACACCGCTAATACAAGTGTGAAAATCCACTAGGACTATAGGTGGGCACGAACCTACGAACCCGGCTTTGCCAGTCGCGTACTCTACCACTGACTTTTGTATGACAATATATATTAAATTTGATTATTGTATGTCTAAACTGAAACTGATTAAACTACTTACCCATCTGAGGACCAGCAATAGCCAATGCCACCAGGTAACCGGGACTTTGTGTACACATCAACTCGCTCTGCCACCATAAATGCAGCATAAAAGCCAACCCCAAACTGGCCAATAATACTTTGTGGATCTGAGCTGCCACTTTCCTGAAGTTGCTGAATGAAAGCCTGAAAAAAATAATTATATATTCCTATAAAATTAACTCGGAAGTTTGAATTTTTAGTGAATTAAGTTGGCAACCTTGCCATTTATAATTCAAAGTAGATTTATAGACACAATCCAAGGAATGTGTCAAACCCATTACAATAGTTTGATTAGTGAAGTGGTACACCAGTCTCCCATTGACAATGAATATGCTAATAAGTATAATACACTGAAAATATTAGTTTAAGCCATCTCCATTCACAGCTTCAGGAGCATGTATCGTGAAAATTTTAACAAGAAAATATAAATAATTGGCTAGGATGCAGTACCCAAAATACCAGCGTTTAATTTAATGACACTCCAGTTTCTGGGTGAGCCCCGGAGGCTCCCTGAAGCTATCTATACTGATTAAGTGCCATACTACTTGGAGTCATCAGATGCAGAGTTCTGGTAAATCTACTGGGGACCACGAGCCAGAACCTGGCCCCCTCAGAGAGGCACTGGGAAAGGGAGCAATGACCCATGAACTCTTCACATTTAAAGTTTGCCATCTTGCCAATGACCAGGGAAGGCACCCAGAAAGGTGGGCGAATCAAAACAGACTACTGTTTTTATTCCAACAATACAAGCAACACAGAAGACACCTCCCACCACTCAAGCATACCGATAAAAAGCTGCAACAAGCCCCAAGGAAAACAAAGGACAGTCCTCTTGTACAAACGGTACAAGAGGTACCAATGTACAACCGAGTCCATAGGGTTTTTTCTTGGCCAGCAGGGTATGCGCCCTGCAGCTATGCCGGTAAACCCTGTTGGTGTAGGCAACCAGACCACTAAAAGCCACTAGGATAGCCTGGCAGTAGCATGGGAGTTCCACCACACACACCCTAGGCATACCTAATAAGGTGAAAGGCAGAACTCCCCAGCAAGAAGCAAGTGAACAAGGGATAACGAGCAACCCTCGTCACCGCTAGCATAGCAACCACTACGTTCCGGCAACTTTCACGTGCATTTTTCACGTCCATTCTGCTCAAGCGCCGCCTGAGCCTTCTTGGTCTTTAGACAGTGTTCTTTCTTTTCTTTTTTCTCCTCTCATTGTTGTGGCCCCTTTGATTAGGGATTGCTTTTGGAAGGCATTGTTTTTGTTGGCCTTGGCCTCTTGGGGTCAGGTTAGGTTAACTTCAAGCTCTCCTCCGATGCCAGGGGTTCTGTTCATTTGGTCCAGGTGGTCGTTTCATTCGTTTGCAGCCTTCTTCTTTTCTGGCGAAGAATGAGACAGCTGGGAGGGGTCCGTTGGTTGTGGATGCTTGGTTGGTTAGGCCGGGGGGTGCATCACGTGTTGTGTCCGGTGGTGGCTTTCCTTCGCTGCCTGTGGGGCCACTGGTTCTATGACAGTGGATGCTCATTTGGTGGATCCGGAAAATGTGGTTATCATCATTTTATGATAATAATATGCTTCCTCTTCCCCTTCCAGGAAGGGGAAGAAAGGCAACAAAAGCGGTAACCTTGAATCCCCACAACAAAACTGAACCAGTCACTAAACCTTGGAGGAATTGGGACATGCCAAGACGCGTTCTGGAGGCCCAGGGACACCATCCAAGCATCTGGCTCCAATAAATGATGGACCTGGGACAAAGGCAATAAACCCATAGGTTCAGACGGGACAAGTCAGAATGAACCAGAGGTCCGTGCAGTCCCATTCTGGGACCGGAAACAGGCGGGAAACCCACCTGAGGGATGCGGTTGTTTTGACCACTCTCAAGCGAACCCACTCCAACAGAGCACAGGAGAAGAGGCCCGCCCTGCCAGCACCAAACCCCCCGAAGGAGGAGGAGCCACCCAACGCCACCGCAGGTCACACAAAATGACACAAAAGGCCCACAAATCGTGGGACCAGGCACAAGCAAACAAAGTGAGCCTCTCCCCCTTCGCCCTGTCAATGGGACAAACCGCGAAGGGGCTGACACATCTTACGAGCACCTAAATGGCGCATAGGGCATTTCCCGCATTGAAGAGAAACAGACAGCACTAAAGGCTGCGCCGGCGCCGAATCTGACACATCCAATGTCCGAATCCAACAGAGGATGGCAACTAGCCAAAGCTGCCAGCAGACACTGCACAACGCAGACTCCGTAAACAGCAACGGTCAAAAGGGAAGACAGTCTAAGTGCCAGGGCCCAAGCAGATTCCAAGGAAGAAGCGAGCACCGCCTGCTGACACACGAGTCGAGAAGTAGTTAATTTAATTTAACTCCAGTTAATAGGAGCTGTTCTCCTTAGCAACAAAATGTTCTTTTAAAAACTTCGTCTAAAATACATTTCTGAAAATATTGGGATGAAACTTTCATGACGCTGAAGCCAGTAAGTTGGAGATTTGTTTAACATTTACAAGTAATTTTCACATAATTTGAATATTTTTTCGGTTCAGCCTCTTATGCTATAGCAGCTTAAGGGTTAAAGCAAACAAAGAATCATTTGCCACCAAAATACCTTAGATTATTTATCCTTCCATGCTTTACCTTGGATCCTGAGCGGGCAATGGTACCCAAATTATCTATGAGCTCTTCTTTGGTCATGCCAATACCCGAATCTTGAATGGTTAGCGTCTTATCATACTTGTCTGTGGTGATGTGAATTTTCATATCAGCCTCAGAAGAATCCAATTCTCTGCCTTGCAGAGCAAAGTAGCGAGCCTGAAAACATAAATCAAACATTGAAGTAGTGAAATCTCTTTCTGACAAATCCCTTCTTTATCTCCCCAAGATACCTACCTGGAGACCTCACACACCTAGCTTAGCAGTGCCATGTGGCAGGAGTCACTCTGCAACAGGCTCCAGAAATATCCTAGGTATTGGGAACAGGTTGAGGGCTGTAGATGTTCCTGGTTATATAAAGATATAGGGAAGTTGAAAAGTAATTAAGATACAAGAAATAATTGAAGCTCTCATCCTGTAACTACACTTAGGTAATTACTCCATACACCCATACACTGATGCTAACACCTACCCACTAACACCTAGAACATAAAATAATGGTGAATTTCTCCATCAAATTGTCTATTTCCCCTTGAATTTTTTGGAAGTCTAGCCAGTTTCTCGGCTACAACTAGTTATTCATCAGGTCATGGTCTCAAAGTGCCCAGAAAGCATGTGGTCGTCCATACATGTTACTAGAGAACATTTGAAATGACAATTAAGCAAACACTTATGGAATGAACCCATAATATGAATGATTATTCTGAAGTTTCTTACCTTTTCAATAGCATCTGAAGCATTTGAGATCAGCTCTCTAACAAACACTTCTTTCTCAGAGTAGAGGGACTTTGCTACAATATCCAAAAGCATGCGAGTCTCAGCCTGAAAATCGTATGCTTTAGGTTCACTTGTCTGGACAGCTTCCTGGAGTAGCTGGGGATGTGAATGGATACTGTGCCTTGCAATAAAATTGTATCCATAATAACCTGCAATAAAATCCTCATAAGTAAATCCTTTAAAATTTATGCTGTGCATTGAAACTTTCAAAGCCTAATATACAGTATATCTTACCAAAACAAGCTACTGTATAGCTATCAACTGAGTGTGATGACTTTATAGAAACCCTTTGCCAGCCAATTTAGGAAACAGAAAACAGCGAGTAACTGTGAGGGGGGGGGGGGACATCAGAGTGGCGAGATGTCACCAGCGGAGTCCCACAGGGCTCTGTACTTGGACCCATCCTGTTTCTGATACTGTATATGTAAACAATCTTCCAGAGGGGTATAGAATCATTCCTCTCAGTGTTTGCAAATGATGCAAAAATTATGAGAATAATCAAGACAGATGAAGATGACAGAGACTACAGGACGACCTGGACAAACTGGAGGAATGGTCTAGAAAATGGCTATTAAAATTCAACACAGGGAAGTGTAATGAAATTAGGCAAAGGGAGCAGGATGTTGAACCCAAGGTACCATCTGGAAGGTGATATCCTACAGGAGTCAAATAGAGAAGCTTAGGGTTATATCACACCGAACCTGTCCCCAGAGACCCATATCAAAAGGACATCATCAGTGGCATATGCTAGATTGACCAACGCAAGACCTTCCTTTAGAAACTTGTGTAAGGAATCATTCAGGACCTTGTATATACTTATGTCAGACCAATCTTGGAGTATGCAGCTCCAGCCGGGAGTCCATACGTAATTAAACACAAGGCAAAGTTAGATAAGATTCAGAGGTATGCCACCAGACTAGTCCCAGAACTGAGAGGTATGAACTATGAGGAAAGGCTATGGGAGCTAAACATCACGTCCCTGAAAAACTGAATAGTAAGGGGAGACATGATCACCATCTACTAAATTCTCAGGGAAATTGACTAGGTGGACAAAGACAAACAATTTAACATGGAACACGAACAAGGGACACAGGTGGAAACTTAGTACCCAAATGAGCCACAGAGACATTAGAAAGAATTTTTTCAGTGTCAGAGTAGTTAAGAAATGGAATGCATTAGGCAGTAATGTGGTGGAGGCTGACTCCATACACAGTTTCAAATGCAGATTTGATAGAGCCCAATAGGCTCCAGAAACGGTTCACCAGTTGATTGACAGTTGAGAAGCAGGACCAAAGAGCCAAAGCTCAATCCCTTAAAGCACAACTAGGTGAGTACACAAAAATCGGAATTAATTTGGTGTATCAATTTGTGTACGATGCTATTTGAATGCAAGGAAAATAGTTGATCTAGGAGAGACCTCAATACACCTAGGATTGTAGTCCCAACTATGATAAACCGAGAAACCAGACATATGTAATTGGTATGTTATTTCCTCCAATATTCTTTGTATTATCAAGATCATAACCTGTACAGTACTTTAATTTAAAATACAAATGTGATACACCTGGTGCAGTTACAGGTTACCGTGTCTAAAAGATGGATCGTCAACTGATTTTTAAAATTAACACAGCTTAAACAAAATACATTTACAAGGGGTGCACCACCGGAACGGTGCTCTGCTGGAACCCCCAAAGTCTTACGATATTTAATACCAGGATTACTAACTAATCCCCTTCGTAAATGCATTGGTGTAATTTTTAATAAATGATCATGTAATTAGTTCTGTAATTATAAAATTAAATCTATTATAGATTTAATAAATTACTGTATATTATTTCTATTGTGCAATATCAAGATCATATAATTACTGTTATAAAGTTTCTAATTATAAATGGTAATTATAAATATTACTTTAAATGTTATTTAAAAATTTATATTTATTTTAATGAATAATATTTAGTATCGCTTACTATTATAAAAGCTGTTAATAAATGTTAATTAAAAACTTTAATATTTATCCTTCTAAATTTATAAATTTATCCTTATTTATCCTACTAAACAATTAAAAGAACTTAAACCTTATAGATCTATTAAATTATATTATGGCTATTATTACAATGTTATTGTAATTGCTGTTATAATTGCTTTATAAATTATTATTGTATTTATTCATTATTGTTATAAAGGAATTATGTTATCACAAATATTATAAATGTTAAAATAACCTATTATTATAAATGCATTATTAAATATTATGTTATTATAACTATCATAATTATAAAATAATTATTATAAACAAATAAAGAAGTCCCCCACTCTATGCATATGTTTTCCTCCATTCGAAGAAAATACAAGTTTATAAAGTATAATTATGTTATACAAAGCATAATAATGTTATACAAAGCACAATAATGTTATACAAAGCACAATAATGTTATACAAAGCATAATAATGTTATACAAAGCATAATAATGCTATACAAAGCATAATAATGCTATACAAAGCATAATAATGCTATGCAAAGCATAATAATGTTATACAAAGCACAATAATATTATACAAAGCATAATAATATCAAACAAAGCATAATATCATACAAAGCATAATATCATACAAAGCATAATAATATCATACTAAGTATAAACATGAGCCAAGTATATGATCGTGACGGCTTCCCGGCAACGTCCCGTACACAATATTTATAAAAAATCAACATTACCGGCAAAATATCTTCTTGAAGATGATGAGATGTGCGTGTGTGTGTGGAGAGACCTGGCATGAGGCGAGAGCAGCACCAGCAGCCTCTTCAGTGAGGAAGGAGCCCGGAGAGCCATGTGTGTGAGGCAGCCACCAGCAGACCGGCTTCGTCTGCACACAATGTCTTGTCTCCCGTGTCAGGTCCGTGAAGGATGCCTTCCCTCAGTAACTGTACAAGTTGTATTGTGGTAGACGCGTCGCTTTTGACAGTCAGGCAAGCCGGGATTATTCCTTCTGGGATATATACACAACACTTGGTCGTGGTAATAGTGTGTTATACGACCACAACACTTGGTCGGTTGGAGTTGTTGTCGTGGATCGCTTTCTTTGATATCCTAATATTTACGTTTTCTATGATCACTGTGATCGTAATTTAATCACTTGGCCACAAAATTATCGGCCGATTAGATAAGATGTTTATTCAGGTAAAGGTACATACATTGAAAATCAGTTACAAACATAATGTTGGATTTATTGATAGAGCTAGTACATACAATGGCTGAAGCCACTAATATGCACAGGGTTTCAGGCAAGAAATATCTGTGCAAGAAACGGACAAGCTTAACGTCTATTGTGGTAAAGTTGCTTCAATCGATAATTGTAAATACCATTCATCTTGAAAAACATAGATTAATTAATGTTATTTAAAGTTAAGCATGTTTTTTTTTATTAGTATATTTTGGTAGCAGTCTTTCTTGAAAACATATGTTGTTGAATATGACCGAAAGGATAAGATTAATAATTCTAACTCGAATCTTCTGAATAGTTCTTGTTTTTCTTCATTGTCGAGGGTAGTCGATAAATTAACTCTCCAAAGTTCATCTTCACACTTTATTTATGGTCTGACGCCTAGAAGAGTTTTGCAAGAAACTCCTTACATTTTCAAAGCCAATTGTACATAAACATATCATACCAGCCTATAAAATTGGCTGATATCTAATATCAGCCAATTTTACATATTCTGTTTCGTGCTTATAATCGTTTCTGGGTGAGGTGATAGAACACATGTTTTGGGTGAGTTCACCCAAAACTGTCCTGTCACCTAGGTGACAGGACAAAAGCAATGGGTGAAGACAATTCAAAACACGAATCAATGGGTACATGAGTGTTTTCTTTTCTTGCTTCTGTGTTGGTTTGTGGTCTTGAAGTGGGTAGAATCTAATTATGTGTTACTTGGCAGGTCTCCTGTTATCGTTGTATCTCTCGATAATTTGTGTTGCTTGTTAAGATTTCTCTGGTGATGGTCTGGTTGTGTGAGGAGATTTATTTATTTATTTATTTATATGGACACTGCTTGAATGAAAACAGAGAAATTTCTGGAGGGAGAAAACATGAACAGCGGTTTGCCCCCTACACTAGCGGTGGCGTTCCTCCCGACTTTGTACCCTGCGTTTTGTTCTAGAAAGCTAACATCCCTATGTTAGTACTGAGTACTGTTAGTATCAGTTAGTACTGATAAGCAGTCTCCGTGGTGTAGTGGTAAGCAGTCTCCGTGGTGTAGTGGTAAGACACTCGCCTGGCGTTCCGCGAGCGCTATGTCATGGGTTCGTATCCTGGCCGGGGAGGATTTACTGGGCGCAATTCCTTAACTGTAGCCTCTGTTTAACGCAACAGTAAAATGTGTACTTGGATGAAAAAACGATTCTTCGCGGCAGGGGATCGTATTCCAGGGACCATAGGATTAAGGACTTGCCCGAAACGCTACGCGTACTAGTGGCTGTACAAGAATGTAACAACTCTTGTATATATCTCAATGTTACCATTCATGACACTTTCGTCCCCCCTTTCCGCCGCAGCACTGTTATCTGGGCAATTCACATCATTTAGCCGACACTGTGCACAGGGCTACATTCCGTATTTAACACTGGTTCACTATCCTCGTTCTGGATACGGAACGGAAAACCTAGAGGTTTACACTAACCCCACCAGCTCCATAGCTAGTACAGCCAGCCCTTCAGAACTGAAAACCACCATAAAGACCCCAATCCTTCGCCAGATCTCTAATATTAGCTATTGATACAGATAAAGGCTCCAAAGAGCCTCCACTTACGGGCTCACAATAGCCCGTACTACTGGAACTATTTGTTCTGAGCCTACCTAATATAAAGTAAGCTAATCAACCTAAAATAACTGAATCTAAAACATCATCATCATCATCCTCGTTTTGTTTCCGGGGGCGTGATGCTTGCATCTTTCTGTCATTCCTTCTTTCCACTGCCGTACGAATGGCGGCCGTCTAAGTCACCCTCTCTAACGCAGGGGCGTTATTCCTGTGTATCACCCTTAATACAATTTCAAGTGCAAATACATTGTTGAATCAAGAATTCATTATGCCACCATGCCTGAGTTCGCTTATGCTAACGCCCCCATTTATACAGAAACGACAAGGTACCCACCTTCCTCCGGGACGAGGAAGAGGGCGCTGCCCACGGCCACCCGGGGACGACGACGCAGCGGCGGACGCTCAGGGCACGGACAAAGCCTGCTTGCTCTGCATCCCCTTTCATCTGTACTCACCTAGTGTTGTTTGCGGGGTTGAGCTCTGGGTCTTTGGTCCCGCCTCTCAACTGTCAATCAACTGGAGTACAGATTCCTGAGCCTATTGGGCTCTATCGTATTTGCATTGAAATGCTCTAGAAGAAATGAAATGCACTAGAAATGCTCTACAAATCAAGGGACCCAGAATGTGGAATGGTCTCCCCAATCATGTCAAAGGCTGTACCTCTCTCAACCAGTTCAAGAGTAAAATCAAGTGCTACCTAGTTAACTCCATGTAACCTACCTTACCCCCTAAATGTCAACCCATTTTCTGCGGTTGGAAGAAAACGCGCTCAGATTGGGGACTTGTTTATTTTATAACAGTAAATAATAAATTAATAATAAATAATAAATTAATAATAAATAATAAATTAATAATAAATAATAAATTAATAATAAATAATAAATTAATAATAAATAATAAATTATTATATAATAATTATAATAATAATAACAAATAGTATAATGATAAGCAATTATTTTTAATGAATCAAATAGCTAATTAGGGTGAATGATAAATAATTAGTGACTAATGCATAACAATAAAGTATTAAAGAATAATTATAATGAGTAATCATTATAACGATAAAGTATTAAATCAATTACAATTAATAGTTACATCTATAGTTAGTAATTGAAAGTTGCATTATTTGAATTTACACTAATTACAATTCATGGTAATATTTCTTAGCTATCTGCAGGCTTATCACTTTGGGAGTTCCGGCGGAGCACCCCCAAAGATACCGCAAATGCTTAGCAAGCTAGAGCAAGTGCCCCCTGAGCCTGCGTGTGCGTCGTCCCTTGGAAAAGAAAACAGGGGATGCAGAGGATCCCGGGAGGAGGGTGGGCGCTTTGTAAGTGAGCTGCTGCTTGCTTGTCGAGAACAGGGGCCCCCACAGTATGCGGGCAGAGCTTATATAACCTTGGCTCGTTGCACGCGCAGCTTGGGCGGTTAGACTCGGCTCTCAGACACACGTTTTCTCCTCTCAGAAAACCCACAGCTTTTTTTTTTTTTTTTTTTTTTAGGTGAAAGCAGTGATCTTATCTTGCTTTTTTTAAACAATGCTGTTTGTTCACCGACTTATACAACTGCTGATTTCTGCCATGTTCCCCCCCCCTTTTTTATTTTTTATTCCTTTTTTCAGCACAATTTATACTTAATTCCAATTACTATTTAAGTTTTGGTCTGTTTCCCCATCCCCCCCACTTTGCCCGAAACGCTATGCGTATTAGTGGCTTTCAGTATTATATGTACTAGCTCTATCTATAAATCCAATATTATTGTTGGGATTGAGTACTACAGATGTTGGGTGTAGCATGTTTGGAGTAGGTGCTCTTTTGTAAGTTATAGCAAGTTGTAAATAGTAGTATGTTATGTACCTTATAATTGTTTTGTTGTTGGTTGTTAACAATAAACCATGTGGACAAAGATTGTTTCTCTTCCACCTTCAAATGTAACAATTATGTTTGTAAATCAACTATGTATGTACTTTTCATGAATAAAAATATTATTATTATTATTATTGGTAACTGTGTATGGAGTCAGCCTCCACCACATCACTACTTAATGCATTCCATTTGTTAACTACCCTGACACAAAAAATTCTTTCTAATGTCTCTGTGGCTCATCTGGGTACTAAGTTCCACCTGTGTCCCCTTGTTCGTGTCTCACCCATGCTAAAGTGTTTGTCTTTGTCCACCCTGTCAATTCCCCTGAGAATTTTGTAGGTGGTTATCATGTTTCACCTTACTGTTCTGTTTTCAAGGGACGTGAGGTTCAGCTCCCTTAGCCTTTCCTTGTAGCTCATACCTCTCAGTTCCAGGACCAGTCTGGTGGCATACCACTGAATCTTCTCTAACTTTGTCCTGTGTTTAACTAGGTATGGACTCCAGGCTGGAGCTGCATATTCCAGGATTGGTCTGACATAAGTGGTATACAGGGTCCTGAATGATTCCTTACACAAGTTTCTAAAGGCAGCTCTTATGTTGGCCAATCTAGCATATGCCGCTGATATTTGTTTGATGTGGGCCTCTGGGGACAGGTTCGGTGTGATATCAACCCCCAGACCTTTCTCTCTATTTTATTTTTGCAAGATATCATCTCCCAGATGGTACATTGTATTCAGCCTTCTGTTGCCTTCGACTAATTTCATTACAACATGAGTTCCGTAAGTTGCAGAGAGAGGATCCCTCCTATGCATCTACTGTATTCTTACAGGCTGAGACACAACCAAACTCTATTCCTGGTTTCTATGTAGAAAAATATGTTGTAGAAAATAGTAGACATAATTGTAGATCCAACAAGGCATACCTTGAGAGACAACCATGAGTCACAGTAAAGAATCATTGTAGTTTGGTGGTTGTATGATAAGTTATTGATGGCTGGTAAATAGCAGCAGACAATTTAAAAAGGTATTCTTAATTCAGCCAATTTATGGAGATCAGTCCCTAGGCAATGAGTGCCCAAACACAGGCAGCTGCTATAAGGGTGAACAGTTGCTGAAGCATGCGCCATAGTACTGTACTCTTGTAAATGTTTAAATAGCTAAAAATTAGACACAAAAAGTTTAGAAAGGATATTATGTTAGCATTTATAGGTTAGTATCTATGAGGGTAAATAAAGTTAATGACAAGTATTGTGATGGGATGAATCAATGAGATGGGATTTGGCAAGGCAGAAGGAAGTCAGGCATGAGTGTGGTACCTGGATGAGGTTTTGGAAGTTTTTCTACTCCCCAATCCCAGCCCTGATAGGCTGGGATTGACTTGAGAGCTTGGTCCAACTAGCTATTGCTTGGAGTGGCCCAAATGCACACACATCCACCACAGCCTGGTTGGTCCGGCACTTCTTGAAGAAAAATGTCCAGTTTTTTCTTTAAGACTCCAACTTTTGTTCTGGCAACATTTCTTGTACTTGTTCGGAGGATATTGAACTATAGACCTCCGATGTTCATACAATGTTCTCTATTTGTGCCTAATGGCACTACTTTTCACTGGCTCAATTCAGCATTCCCTTCCACATCATTCACTCCAGTATGTTATGTTACTGTGTAAATTTGGGACCTGGCCTCCGGTATTTTACATGTACTGTATATATCATTTAATATCTCTTGTCTCTTTTCTAGAGTACATTTTGAGAGCTTTGAGACAATCCCTATAATTTGGGCTCTATCGTATTTATGCACGTATATATTCTCTGTATTCCCTCTATTTCAGCAATCACTCCTGCTCTGAAAGGCAAAGCATGTATCATGTAGTACTCAAGGCAGAACAGAACCAGTAATGTGAATGGTATGAGTATTGGTGTGGTAGTTGAGTGTCCAGCAAGCTGTTAATAGCTACGGGTCATTTGAGCTTTTCTTATTGGACTGGCAAGAGCACGTGTCAATACCAACCTGTCCTCGACTCGAGTCTATTACTTCCAGCGGTCGACCCCACAGATGCATTCAGAAATGTTTACATGCTGTTTATTCAAAACAGGAATTTTCTCAAATATAAATTAATATTATAATAAAATAGCATATTGTGCATATATAGGCATAGGTTAGGTGTTTAGGTTCTGTTGGCGAAGCATTTATAGCGTTGTGGTTCGAACAAAATTCGTCAGTGAAGTACTTGTTCTGGAAGTGTTCGGACATCATCAGTTGCGAGTCGTGTGTAAACCGTTTTTCACTCAAATAGTGTGTTTGGCGGGGGCATGGAATCACTTTTGGATCTTTGTTTGGAGGACGGGCTGGTCAGTACCTATATGAGACTAATTGGCAACAAGTGCTCTGGTATCTTGAGCTGGGAACCAATGAAGAACATTAACTTCTTATATGTCAGCTAGAGAGAAAAATGAGAGAATGAGAATACAGTATATCAGAAAACTGATTACAGAATACTTACTTCTTGATCAATGAAATGGTTATCTACTAGGGAAACAAATTCTACTGTAAACTCTATATGGATACAAAGATCTCTTCCCAACTTCATTGAGACAAGAGACCAAACTTGACTGGATTTATCATTTCAATATTCTTCAACAATGAATATATGTTGACAGTTTTACCATTACATAAAAGACCCATGCTCTTTAACAGGAGAGAGGTTAGGCCTCTCCAACACTGCCTCTGTCAGGAAATGGAGGTTGGACCACCTTCCTTCATTGCTTATCAGGAACAAGATGGCTTGCCTTCTGAATTACTGCTTTGAATATGTGCAATACATTAATACAGTACAGTATATGGAAATTCATACATTGGTTGAAAATTATTTTGCTTGAGACAAGTTCAAACAATTATATTTTATATATAGAAAATTAAATAGGGAAAATATCAACTTCAAAATTTGGCCAATATTTTATTAGAATAATAAAATAAATTTTAGGAAAATAATATTTTTCCTTGGTAAGAGAATGGTAAAGTTTAACTTTACGTAAATTAAAAATAAATCTAGCAGATCCAGAGTTAGTTTGACATTTCAAAGACCTAACATTAGCATTACTTGATCATTCACAAAAAATACCAAGATGGTTTCAAACAATTGATCTACCTTTTATATGTCATACATACATTTATCAACTAGACAAGATAAAAAAAAAAACTAATGTTGAGTGTTATCAAGTGACCCCTTTCTTGGTGAGCCCCGGGGGTTTCCTGAAACTTTGTTGCCAAGATCTCAATACTGAGTTACATCAGTCATAGATGTCCTGTTGGCCTACTGGTCGCCAGAACCAGCACCTCGCTTATATGCACAAGGAGCAGGGGAGATTGTTATGGTCATCCTCGCCAGGAAAGCAACATGGCTCGTAGGTGTACATGATACACCTAAACCAGCTAACAGACTCCACAAAAGAATCAGTCAAAATGGTTCACACAAAACTGGGTACAAAACACCATTTAGTGAGTCGAGCCAATACATCAGCATTCTGGAACTCCCAGTTTCAAGTCAAGCGACTGCTTCAACCAGGACCTGATGGACCATGAACCTATGAACCTGGCACAAGGGAGTGTGTCAGGGAGCCATCTGTCTTCACCCGGAAAGGGCATTTCACGAAATTAAATGCTGGTTTTTAGGAAGGAGACCTTCGGTAACCTCCTGAAGTTAACAGGAGAAAGAGAGAGATGGGACTTACCAGAAAGGAAAATAGGTGCAAACTGGCCCAAGATAATATAACGCAAGCCAGGGCCAAAAGAACAAAACCCACACCTCTGGAGGAGAGTATAAAGCTTCCCAAAATGACATCAGGTGAGAGCCAACAAAAGCAATGTCTTAAGAAAAATATTCGTCCAAAGGGGCAACTATAAACTTTGGGTATGTTCACTAACATCCATCTAGAGACCAAGATGGCTTAGGGGTTGCATGAGCTGGCCAGATGAGACAAAGCCAGAGACAATTTGCGAAACAGAAGCAAGGAATTACTGTATCGACAAAAAAATGCGCTTAGGTTATCTTGAGATGATTTCGGGGCTTAGTGTCCCCGCGGCCCGGTCCTTGACCAGGCCTCCACCCCCAGGAAGCAGCCCGTAGCAGCTTTAACTCCCAGGTACCTATTTACTGCTAGGTAACAGGGACATCAGGGTGAAAAACATTTTGCCCATTTGTCTCTGCTCCACCGGGGATCGAACCCGGAACCTCAGGACTACGAATCCGAAGCGCTCTCCACCCAGCTGTCAGGAGCCCCAGCTTGTAAAGCTAATGCCAAAAACTAGAAACAATACACTAGCAAGATGGGCCCCATAGGGCAGAGTCCAAAGGATGGTCAGCATTCAACTTTGAGAAGTAGTGGGACTTGCTATGATGAGGCGACTAGGGAAGGAGAGAGGTGGAACGTCTCCCATTAGCAATAGGACTGAAGCAGTCGCTGGCCTTGAAGCTGGTAGTTCTGGGTCACCACCTGTTGGCTGCTTGGTGCACTAAGGGATGTTTTGTACCCAGTTTCAAGTGAACCATTTCATTTTGAGCAACTCTTTTGCAATGTCTGTTGGATGATTTGGTGCTCCATTTTTATGAATTATGCAGTTTGTATTGTCTCGTCTACTTTCTGGTAACTTTCCCAGTGATGGTGATTGTAAATCCCCTGCTCCCTGTGCCCCCGAGGGGTCTAGGTTCTGGCTCCAAGTTTTGGCTCTTGTTGTCAAGACCAACAGGACACACATGATTAATGTGACTTAATATTGGAAAGCTATACCGGCAACATAGCTTCAGGGAGCAACGAAAAGGCTCCTCCAGAAAAAGATCATTGAAGTGAATTTGTGAGTGGCACCCGGCTTCTCTCCTGACCCAAGGTCATAGATACACCCATGTCACTGCTAGTATGCCAGGCTCTGTGCAGCTTTGAGCCCCACTTTGACAAGTAACTTTTTATATGATCTTGCCTATATTACTGTACTGGATAAGAAAAGGGAGCTCAGTAGATATCTTGAGGTTATCTTGAGATGACTTCGGGGCTTGGTGTCCCCATGGCCCGGTCCTCAATCAGGATTCGTTTTTGTTACACCCCCCTCCCCCCCCCCCGGAAAAAGCCCGTAGCAGCTGTAACTCCCAGGTACCTATTTACTGCTAGGTGAACAGAGGCATCAGGGATGAAAGAAACTCTGCCCATTTGTTTCCACCTCCACCGGGGATCAAACCCGGAACCTTAGGACTATGAATCCCGAGTGCTGTCCACTCAGTGATCAGGCCTATATATTAGCTCGATGAGTGAAGGTATGTGTGTGTGACTAATTCAGTGTGTATAATTGCAGGCTACTCCTCCCCCTCCCTTCCTCACCCAGTACTCCTCCCCCCCCTCCCTTCCTCACCCGGTACTCCTCCCCCCCCCTTCCTTCCTCACCCGGTACTCCTCCCCCCTCCCTTCCTCACCCGGTACTCTCCCCCCCCCCTCCCTTTCTTACCTGGTAGATAGCATACCTTATTCCACCACCAGGAGGGAGGGAATTATCAGGGTAGAGCACCAAGCCATTACAACTATACAGCACTTGGAAGGGGTCAGGATAAGGATTTGGGATGGGAGGGTGAGAAAGGAATGGTGCCCAAAGGAGAAACTGCTCATTTTGACACCAAAGAACACACAAAACTACTCATCCCCCTCCAAGTGATCACTGGGTTTCTGTAATCAGAGGCGACAACCCACCTCTATGCTACAGGGCAAGAATTGTTTAAGTTATTTGTCTTGGTGGGGGACTCAAAACTGCACATAGCTTGGCATACTAGCAGTGACCTAGGTGAACCCAAGACTCTAGCTCCGGAGAGCCATTAAGGGGGCTCTTGCTCAGAAAAACTATTACCACTCAATACCAAAAATAATCCAGAATTCTCACAAATTCATCACGGTGATAATAGCCATGGAAGTTAACATTATTAGTTACAATACCTAAGATACAAATTTAATTTGCAATATAATAATAAGGGGTAAAAACTTCATTCAATAAAAAATATTTTTTAGATGTCGTGTTCTCTCCAGAGAGTAATCTTTGAAGGAGTGACACACACTTAAAAATCTCACATTATGTACAAAAACAGTTCCTAATTTGTGTATTTTAAGGAGAAAAATAAAACCTTTGTGATTAATACAAAACCTTAAAAAGTTTCACAAGCACTTTAAACTCCAGAGATTAAAAAGAGAGAGAGAGTGCCGAGAATGTGATTGAATGGCACTCAAGGAGATGGCATCAGCAGAGAACAAGATAGTACGACAGTTTTCAATACACAATGTGGGGAAATCATCTAAAAGGAATGCTACTGCACAGCACAGTACCAATAAATTTAATTGAAAGTTTTCCTTAGCCTTCACATAGTGACATTGTGCTTCATTGGCCTGCAAATATAACGACAGTGCTGCATTTTCCAAATCAAATATTTGATCTAAATGAGCTAAAAAAAATGTCTAAAGTAACATGAATGTTTCATAATAGGAAAGACTCATTTTAATAAAAAAGTATTTCTTGTTTAATTTACCACTTAAACTTCATATTTACTCATAACTTTAAGTAGATCTTTAGATTTTCTTTGGTTGATAACTGCCATAATGACTTGGGTAGCATTCTAGTTAACCACTGTTGTCCATGAAGGCAATATTGGAAGGCAGGTACATGAAAGATACCTTGTCATCTATGAATGGTCACTGTACTTGCCTTGCTCTTATCAATTCATGGCCTACTTTATTGTCTTTGTGTCACACAAGTCTTCAAATAACAACAACTTTCCCATTCGGGCTTCATGTCAATCTTCTTTAATTTGACTTAAAGTCTCAAAAGTCTTTAAAATTAAAGTCTCAAAATTAGGGCACATGAAGTAGCAAAGATAAATTCTGTCTGAATCCACCAATTTGAAGGTGGCAAATTCACAGAAATAACAAAGCTTTCAAGACAGGTAGCACAAGAACTTAATTATACTTAATTGGTTCTTAAAAAATTAATTTCAACAGATTAATGGCTGTTTCAAAATCAGGTACAAGGTTAAGTCTATATGAAGCAAAACTTGAAGCTAATTTTTATGAAATACTGTATAACACATGAAAAAATTACAATGCACAATAACATTTTCAGAAAAATTTATGGAAAATGTTGAAAATACATTTCTTGTACTTGTAGGCCCCTCCTAACCTAAGAAATAACAGTAAATCTAACAAGGCCGCCTGGACCCCTTACTTCTCGTATTCGTTTCAGAGTACGCAACACTGTCATCATAGATCTTCCAGCTGTGTCCAGTTTCAGTCCACTCCAGCGTTTGATGTCATCATCAACCACGAAGTATGAACCTGTTTAAGAGATATGCAATAAAATTCAATGAAAACATGGCAAATTGGTGAAAAGAAAAAATGAGAGGTGAATGATAGTGAAAGGAAAATAAGGAGGAAGACACAGTCGCTGAAGCCAAAGTCAAAGAAACAGAAGAGTAGCAGAGACTGCCACTAAAGCAAAAATAAATTACCATGTATACATGTGGATTGGGGAAGAAACAAGCATCGAGTGTAATGAAATGCTTCTTTTGGGTAGAGCCCTGGTGGCTCACTGAAACTATCTTTCCAAGATGGCTCTCCACTACTGGGTCACATCAGTCACAATGATATAACAAAGGTAGAAGATAAAAAAAAAAAGAAGTGATATGATCACTATGAACAAAATAATAAGATATCAACACAATTTCCAAAGAAGAATTTTGAAAATTGCAACTTCAAGAACACGATGACAGGTTCAAACTAAGGAAACAAACCTGCTGAAAAAACATTAGAAGTTCCCTTTACAGAGTTGGAACAGATTAAGTGAGGTGTTGGTAGAGACCAAAAGTGTCAGTCGTTTCAACGTGTCATATGACAAAGCTCTGGGTGGGAGAAATATTTTCCCACTTACCCCACTTAATTAACTACCGGTATTTAATAAATATATCTAAGAACATATGAATAAAGGAAACTGCAGAGGGCCTATTGGCCCATACACGGCAGCTCCTATTTATAACCACCCAGTCCCACTCACATACATGTCCAACCCATGTTCAAAACAGTCAAGGGACCCCACCTTCTTACCTTAAGGTTACCTTGAGGTGATTTTGGGGCTTAGCGACCCCGCGGCTCGATCGTCGTTCAGGCCTCCTCATTGCTGGATTGGTCTACCAGGCTGTTGTACGCAGCTGCTCACAGCCTGATGTATGAGTCACAGCCTGGTTGATCAGGTATTCTTTGGAGGTGCTCATCAAGTTCTCTCTTGAACACTGAGGGGTCAGCCAGTTATGCCCCTTATGTGTAGTGGAAGCGTGTTGAACAGTCTCGGGCCTCTGATGTTGATAGAGTTCTCTCTCAGAGTACCTGTTGCACCTCTGCTTTTCAACGGGGGTATTATGCACATCCTGCCATGCCTTCTGGTCTCATGTGATGTTATTTCTGTGTGCAGGTTTGGGACCATCCCCCTCTATTATTTTCCATGTGTAAATTATTATGTATCTCTCCCGCCTGCACTCAAGAGAATACCTCCACAACGTTACGCGGTAATTGGTTCTACAATCAACAAACCTGTCACCGAACCAGTAATTACCCAGGTCTTTCCTAAATCTAAACTTATCCAATTTATAACCATCTAATAATATATAGCTATGAGGATTCGTTCTGTTAAGCTTATAAGACTAACCACAAATTACTAACATATAAACTATGATGATTTGTTGTGTGTTCATAAATAATAACTAAATTGAGCAGTAACCAGATCCTTCCTACTTTGTCTGGCACAACCATCTAACATGGCTTGATCATCTTTTCTTCCTAACATGGATAAAAAACTATGATAGAAAAATGAGTGCAGTAATCAGAGGCAATGTATCGGACTGGAGAAATGTCACAAGTGGAGTACCACAGGGTTCAGTTCTTGCACCAGTGATGTTCACTGTGTACATAAACGATCTACCAGATGGAATACAGAATTATATGAACATGTTTGCTGATTATGCTAAGATAACAGGGAAGTTAAGAAACTTAGATAATTGTCATGCCCTGAAAGAAGACCTGGACAAAATAAGTATATGAAGCACCACTTGGCAAATGGAATTTAATGTGAATAAATACCATGTTATGGAATGTGGAATAGAACAGACCCCCCACACAACCTATAAATTATGTGAGAAATCTTTAAAGAATTATGATAAAGAAAGAGATCCAGGGGTGGTTCTAAATAAAAAACTGTCAACTGAGGAACACATTAAGAACATCATTCGAGGGGCCTATGCTACAATTTGACTTCAGAATTGCTTTTAAATACATGGATGGAGAAATTCTACAGAAATTGTTCACGACTTTTGTTAGACCAAAGCTGGAATATGCAGCAGTTGTATGGTGCCCATATCTTAAGCAGCACATCAACACACTGGAAAAGGTGCAAAGACATGCCACTAAGTGGCTCCCAGAACTACAAGGAGAGATTAGAGGCATTAAATATGGAAAACTAGAAGATAGAAGAAAAAGAGGCGATATGATCACTACGTACAAAATAGTAACAGGAATCGATAAAATTGATAGGAAAGAATTCCTGAGACCTGGAACTTCAAGAACAAGAGGCCATTGATTTAAACTAACAAAACAAAGCTACCAGAGAAATATAAAAAAATTCACTTTAGTAAACAGTGGTAGACGGTTGGAACAAGTTAGGTGAGAAGGTGGGAGGCCAAAACCGTCAGTAATTTCAAAGCGTTATATGACAGTGCTGGGGAGACAGGACACCACGAGCATAGTAACTACATTTAGGCAATTACAACCTTCCCACTTTGTTATGAGACGATGAAGCTATCTGTAACTGTCGATTCTCATTATTAATAAAAGTGGAGGAAATCAAAGTCAACCTTTTAAAAATCAAGTAGATTATTAAAATAAAGTTAATCTTAAGACCAGAAATAATTTAATACACACTCCAGATGTGAGAGTCGGTTGCTAACTTCATGCACAAACGCGAGTTGGGGGACTTCACAGCCTTATCAACCAGGCCGATTCTTCACAGCCTGATCAACCAGACTGATTCTTCACCACCTGATCAACCAGACCGATTCTTCACCACCTGATCAACCAGGCTGTGACTGGCTGCAAGCAGCCGTGTCTAACAGCCTGGTTGACCAGTCCAGCAACGAGGAGGCCATCTTGCACAATGTCAGCTTGGTACGACATACATTGACATGCCCAGCAACCATCGGACGATTATGCCTTACTTGCTGGTAAAAGGCCGTTCAAAAGTCCATGTTCGATGTACCATGATCCGACCCATAACTAACGCTGAGTAATCTCACGGTTTTACCGTGTTTTTAGTACAGCTGTACTGTATCTAGATAGTATAATATGATCGGAAACTCAATGAGGTGGCCAGTTACGAGACTGACAACTAAAATACAGTGTTCACTCGAACTGAGGCACTCTGATTTATAGCATATGATTATGCGTAAATATATCAATTTGTTCCACGCACACACACACACACGCTGTATAAACTAAAGGGAAACAATAAACAAAGCCATCTAACTTGAACATCAGCGCCTTCTCACCTACACGACAAGAAAGCAAATAGCACATCCATGTGTTTCTGGAGCCAAAGACTCACCCACTCTGCTTTTTTTCCCGATGTGCATAAAATCAGTATAATCTTTTGAGTGTTTTTTGCATTTTTCTAACTTTTTGCATGCAAATATATAATTTTTATATGAACAAATAATCTTTGTTCGCTCACAGGCAGAGTGGCACTTTTCATGATAGCCGCACGTTAAGGGTTAACATTATCTAGAGAGGAAAACAGTAAGGGAAAATGAACGAAGTATACAATGGAGGAAATGACGTAAGGGTAGTTATTAAGGTACTAAATATATGAACACAATAGGACAATACAAAATACAATGGATACAAATTGAATAGGTGCAGATACATAGAAGACCTGCGTAAACAAATTTATTGGGAATAGGGGGGAGATTTATTGAACAAATTACTGGATAACAATAGGATCACAATGATCAATGATACAGTTAGACTGTACTGTACTGTATATATAAATTAGTTTAATGGGAATAAGTAAAAGCTGCATTGCATAGGCCAATAGACTTTGCTGTTTTTACTATTCTTTTGTTCTCAAATTGGAAACAAGTGCACCAGAGGATATACTAGTGTGTAATAAGGAAGTGGAATGAACTAGAGGTGGTGGAATCATTCATCGTACAGTTTGAAGAGCCAGGAAGACAATACTAGAACGTCAGGAGGTATAAATGCATCAGTTTCAGTAGTTACCAGATGGGGCTCTGGAGGTGGAGTTTGCTTCCTGTACACATAACTAGGTATTTCCATGCAATATAGTATACACACACATTTTGAAGCAAATATTTGCAAAACAGACCTAGTCACTGGATAAAAACTTAAAATCAAATTTTATAAATATCTCACGGAAAAAAAACCCACCTTTGGTTTCTTGGGTCTCCTGCCGTTTGCAAATATTAACAATTCTCCAGTCTGTTTCGGAAAGTTTGGATCTATGACGTGACAAGAGAGTGTACTTGCTGTCCAGGGTCTTATTTAATTCATTAACAGCATTATTCACTTGCTCGTACTGGAGACGACCTCGGATGTACCTTGTGGAAGATTTTTAAAAATAATTACCACAACAAATTTGAACACATTAATTTTTTATATACAGTAATATTGTTTTTCCTATAAAATATTCTTGTTTGCTAAATATTAATACAATAATTGGAACATGATTAATTGACAAACAATTTCTCTGGTTCTGTAATATCGAGATCATTAGCTCCAAATAAAACCAACCATGATTGAAAAGTAATAAAATGCCTCTTTCTGTTTGGTTTTTCAAGTCTCCCTGTTGCTTGAAACCTGAATAGCTCTACACAATTCGATCCACACCAGGCCCTTGTGAGTCAATGTAAACTTACCAGAAATCAAAGGCAAAAACATATGGGCTTTAATTGAGGTGTAAGGAGCTAAGGATACTAGATCACTCAGACCAAGAAAAGGCCACCAGAAAAGTTGAGACAATATAGACAACAGTACGGAAAACCTAACAAAAAAGGAGACCCTGAAATGATTCACCAGGATGTGAGTTGGATCACTTGCTTTTTAACCCTTGGATGGAGCAGCTATTGATAGCCGATAACACCTCTGTACGCAAGAAAAAATTCAAGAAATTGTTTTCCTTCTAAGATTGTTAAAAATTTTCCTGATCATAGGGGGGAATTGTAGGCGACATTTTGGCCATGATAGGGCAAGGAAGTCCGGCACAAAAAACAGACCCTGAAAGAGTACATGTCCGGGTCGCTCTCCTCCAGCCAAGCCATCAGGAGAGAGTTACTACAAATACATTACCTAATTATTTCAATGTGTTTTTTTTCAGTAATATTTTTCAATACTCTGTAGTGTGATATATTTATATTATAAATTGTGAACCATCGCTATACTGTACTCAAAAGTATAGTGTGCATATTAGTGATTCAATTATTATACAGTACAGGTATTTATAAAACAATATTTTTGCCGTTATTACGCTATACACATTACATACAAGTATCTACATTTTTGTGCACCATAATGCACCACTAAGCTAGTATGGTGTCCGAACAGCATAGCAGCCACCATACAATGCATGACATCACACACACACACACACCAGCCAGCAAGAGACGTCGCCTCACTTGGCAAGAATCTTCCTCCTAACATACTGTTTTTGCTGTTATTATGCTATATGCACACGTTATACAGTATATAAGTATATAAATTTGTCTTCACCATAACAAACCATTAAGCTTGGAGCAACATGTAACAAATGGAAGTCAGTGTGAATAAATATCATATTATGGAATGTGAGAAAATAGACCACACAACCTGTAAATTATGTGGAAAGAAACTAAGGAATTCTAATAAAGAATGAGATCTAAGAGTGGTTCTGGATAGTAAACAGTCACAAGAGGAACATAAAGAACATTGTGCAATGTGCATATGCGACGCTTTCCAATTTCAGACTCGCTTTTAATTGCATGGATAGTGAAATACTAAAGAAAATATTCATGACTTTTGTAAGGCCAAAATTGGAATATGCAGCAGTTGTATGGTGCCCATATCTCAAGATACACATCAATAAACTGGAAAAAGAGCAAAGGTATGCTACAAGATAGCTTCCGGAACTGAAAAACAAGAGTTACGAGGTGCGGCTAGAGGCGTTAAATATGCCAAAGCTAGAAAATAAAAGGAAAAAAGGTGATATGATCACCACTTACAAAATATTAACAAGAATTTACATAATTCCTGTTTGCAATTCCTGAAACCAGCAACTTCAAGAACAAGAGGACACACATTCATGGTAAGGAAACAACAGCCCAAAAATCTATTAGAAAGTTTTCTTTTGCAAACAGTGATAGACCGTTGGAACAAGTGAGAAGGCGGAGGAGACCAAAACCGTCAGTAGTTTCAAAACGTTATTTTACAGTACTGAGTAGATGGGACACCAGGAGCATAGCTTTCATTCTATAACTACACTTATACACACATAAGTGTAGTTATAGTAATTACACATGACGGCAGGCTCCTCCTCCTCCTAGTACATGTGACTATGAAATGGAAGCAGGATTTTTTTTAATGGGTTAAGGTAAACTCCATTACATCCACAGAGCGCTATTATATCCATATTTGCATCATACATGCAAACAGACAATAATTGTTTAAATTGTCGTATGATGATAACCACATTACCCTGTGAATCAAGGAATGACAATAACTGCTGTCTAAAGGCTAAGCAGTACCAAGGTAATACTAGTGTTTTATTGTGTTTTGGAGTTGATCCTAATGTACAACAAATTAATGTCCAACAACAATTCCGACCTAACTTTCCTACGAGTGTGATAATGATCTTATTTTAAAGACTCTGATGATAAAATTAATGCTCCATTTGGTAAATTATTTCAAAATAAACTATTTCAAGATGCACCTCAGAAATACACTTTGGTACAGAATGACATTACACTGTGTAAGACCAAACACAAGAGACCACTGTGTGTAAGACCACACACAAGAGACCACTGTGTGTAAGACCACACACAAGAGACCACTGTGCGTGGTCTTAAAATGGTGTTAACATGGTGCAAAGCGTGTGGTGTCCCTTTGTGTCATGTCAAGTGCTTTAAGGGGGGTGTATTACGAAAATATGCAATAAACGAAAACTGGTTCGATTTCAATAAAAAAAATTAGACTAGTTCTATATGAAATTGGGTTCAACTGGTCCAAGTCTCAGCATCGTACCATAAAATAGGTGGAAAATATATATTGAATTATGTGTCACAAATTTTCTATAATGGTAAAAAATTAACAACACAAGTGTCAACTGAAATCATGTCTATGACTAGGCTATTACAATAGCATATAATAAAGTATTTTAATATTTAGTTTTATGCCAATAAAAAAAAATAATAATTTTTTATCTGCCAATTTGTATGAAACTTGTACACCTTACAGAACGTAAGCCTATATGTAAGGGTGCAAATTTTGGAGGAAATTGGTTGATGTCAACCTCAACATCTGGCAGAATTTTTGACCGTATTTAGTGTCAAGCAACAAAAAATTGACTCATTTTTTTCAATTTACATGAAATTTACACCTTATATGTCGAGTTTACGTCTCTACAATCTCTATAAAACACTATTCCTAAGTTCATCTATTGCTTTTATAAATATTTGCAAACATGAAATATTGGCATATATTTTGGGGAAACTTTGACTACTTGTATTTAGTAAAACTAAACATATTTTGGATAATCCCCCTTATACAAATCCTTTATTATATGGTAGTGTGATAGATGAGTGTCATACACACACATATATATATATTACTGTAAGCTCAAATACAGTAGATCATTTTACCCTAAATACTTACTTAGGAACAGATTCAAATTCCTCAACAGTAAGATAGTCAATAGCTGGAATCTGCCGTGTTTTCCCAGAAGCTACCTTAGTAAAGACCTGAAAACAAAACTAATCAGTAAGTATGCAAAGATTCTTTCTAAATATAAAACACTATATGCAGTTGCCAGTAAATTAGAGCTGTAAAACAAAAAACAAACTAAAATAAACAAATAAAAATGAGGAAAACAAATTATAGAATGAAAAAAATAATGTGCATGCATGCATGTGTACAAACATTGTACAGTCTACACATTTTATGGTGGGTCGTGGTCATCATCATCATCATCATCAGTCGTGACAGCTCGAGAACTCCAGGGTGATGATGCTGGGTGATAGTGCTGGGATGAGCTATGCAAGTGGTGTCCCAATACCATAAATATAATGAGAGCATTGATAAAAGCTGGACAGTGGCAATTGTTGTGAAAAATATATAAATCTTTGAATTTTGTTTTTTGCCCAAAGCCAAGGTATGTATATTATATATATATAATAGGTTAGGGGCATAACTGGCCGACCCCTCACAGTGTTCAAGAGAGAACTGGATAAGCACCTCCAAAGGATACCTGATCAACCAGGCTGTGACTCGTACGTCAGGCTGCGAGCAGCCGCGTCCAACAGCCTGGTTGATCAGTCCGGCAACCAGGAGGCCTGGTCGACGACCGGGCCGCGGGGACGCTAAGCCCCGGAAGCACCTCAAGGTAACCTCAAGGTAGGTGAAGTTGTAAGACCCTTAACCCAATTCCCAACAGCACTGTGACCTTTTTTGGGCACCGATATTTCATCAAATAACCTCACATGCAGAGGCCACGCAAGTAACATTTGTGAGAAGTTCGAATGGTCCCTCTAGCCAATATGCAACAGAATATTGCATGTGATTTGCTGTATTTGAAAAATTTCAACTTCCATACTACGCTAACAGTTTCTTCTATGCAGACTTCTTAAAAGGGTTTCATCTGGTAAAGTTGGGTTCATTCTCAACTCACAATAAGGAATCCAGATTCAAATCTCTGTGCAGGACAGAAATGGTTGAGCACATTTCCTATCACATAATGTGTGTTCACCTAACAGTAAATAAGTACCCAAAGGTTAGGCAAAAAAGTAGAGCCTCATCATGGGCTTGCATTCTGGGGAGGGTCAATAGTTCGACCTTTGGGACCCTGATGTAAGCTTAATGTATATACAGAGGAGCCTCGATTAACGAATTTAATCCGTTCCAGCACCGAGCTCATCATGTGAAATGCCCGTCTTGCGAAACAAATTCCCCCATTTAAAAATAATGTTAATAAAATTAATCCATTCCACCCCCGAAAAACATCAATATGACATTTTATAATGTAATTATAATACTGTACATGTAATTATTATAAATGTTTTGTTTTACTGTTTCAATTGCACATGTACTTTACCTTATGAAGAGTCTTTGCTGGCTTGATGGAAACGATGGGGAAGTGGGGAGGAGGAGAGGGATTACGGTGTGGAAGGAGAATCCACCTCTGAGACAGATGGGCTCTCTTCTTGGGAATTTCACCCCACTGGGATCAGGTTGTTTCTTTCCAAAGAATGTATCTATTGACAATTGCTTTTGTCTTCATTTTAGGATGTCCCTAAAACGAGACAGCAAATTGTCATTAAACATGTTCACACACCATGTTGCCACTGCTTTATCAGGGTGATGCTTTTCCAAATTTATAAATCTTCAAATTTATAGTAACTGTCTTTCTTCCTCTTGACAACACTATCTTTACCAAGCAGCATCTTTGGCGACATCGTGGGTTACAAATTGTAGTCACAAAACCATAAAGAAAACCACAAATAAATGCAGAGGGATGCTCGTCCTGCACAATACAACAACAACACTGTCGTTGGAGGCATCGAGAATTTGCGAGAACCAGCGGGAATGCTAGGAAGCACCACGTGTGTTTTTCATTAATCGAGTGGAAGCTCATCAATCGAGACAAATTTTCTGCAAGTGGCTTGCTCGTTACTTGAGTTGCTTATAGATAGGGCTGCTCATCACACAAGGTTCCTCTGTATACACAAAGGCTGTCTGTCCCCTAACAAAATTAATTAATTTGTTAATTTAAACTAAAATGAATGCTGTTATTCAAATTAATTATGTAACAAACCTTGCCCTGACCATGAAGACGTACATTTTCTTTGTTGGCATTTGCTTGTTTTGCTGTCAAATTGGGTGAAGTGGACATCTGAAGAGAAGTACGGGCATTGGCATGCGGCACATGGCTTGGTAAATTATCTGTCATGTGTGTGAGCCGTGCACAGAGTTGCTGTATCTGCTCTATTTGACCCTGTGCAGTTTGAATATTATTTTTAGCAGTGGCCACAATGCTTCTGTACATGGCAACATCCTCTTGCATCTTCTTAACTTCTAAGCTTAGCTGTTCTATCTCCAAGACCGTGTCTTCACCCCAGCCTCCTCGCAGTTCTGCACATATCTATAGAGTAACAAAGTAAGCTTCAGAACTTGAACACCAACTGTATCAAAATAAATAATAATTTAAAATTAAGTCAGATCCAGAAAAGTAATTTAAGGAGGTAAATCATTGAGAAAGAACTTCATTAATATGGGTTGAGCAAATTGTTCATATATTTTTTGGTACTTTAATACAAAAAATTCCTGGAAGTTTGGCTCGTTCTCAGAAGAGCACATATGAAGTTTAACTCAAATCCTTTATTTATTCCATTAAACACTTGACAAACAAACATCAAATTGAACCATTTGCACTCCTTTAACCCCTGGGAGGTGCTTGCCTTCATAACCTTCAACACAGCCAGGCGCAAGAAAAAATTAAATTGTTTTAAAAGTGTTCGTGTTCCCTGATCACAGGAAAAATAATAAAAATCATAGGCGACATATTTTGGCCGCAATAGGGTGGAGAAGTCTGGCAAAATTGAGGCGTTGACAGAGTAAGCGTCTTGTGGCGATCTGCTCCGCCCGCACTGACAGGTGGGAGTTACCACAAACATATTACCACCTAATTTTTACAATGTGATTTTTTCAGTTTTTTGCAGTAATATTATTCAATAGTGTGTAGTGTAATATATTTATACAATAAAATGTGTGAACCAACTGTACAACTAAGAAGCTCACTGTGAGCTTAGAAGAAGCAGTGAGGCTTCACTGCTTGCTTGTCTTATTAAGAATCTGTCTAGAGACACTTGCTTATCCCTACATTTTAACACGTCTGTAGCGAGACATCACATTGTCGGTTAAAAGATCAATGCAACGGCCTGTTACAGCTTTATCTGGGCGAGTCTTTTCAACAAAACTTTGCAGTTCTTCCCATACCTCACACATCTTCTGAATGAGGGACATTCTCTACTGCCTCTACTCTATTTTCTTAGGTTGAACCTTACCACTGAATTTCTTGGGACCCGTGGCATGATATATAATATAGGTAATTACTATTATGTTCAAAAAACAAAAAAGCGCAAAAATAATGAAATTCTTTACAAGCACGATTGTCACTAAATGGGCAGCTCTGCTAAACTGAGGCAGGGTCGGCCATGCCACCAGGAACCACGCAATCGACCGACCCATTCGCGTGTCAACAAAGTCACTAGTTGCGGCAAAGGTCATAAGCCGAGTGGCATTTTCCAACAAAATTTACACCGTAACTCGAAAAATTTGTAAGTAGGGGCAGTCGTAAGTCGAGGTGCCATTGAAGTCTTGATCAAAATCCTATTAACTACATGTTTCCAAAACTGTTGCCTACTATACTTGCAGTTGACATCTGTAATCTTCACTATAGACTACGAGTTCCATGACTATGATGTACTATTGTGAAATACACTTTAATTCCAATTGTGGACTATGGACTATACAGATGTGCTGTACAGTATTGTATTTACAAGCTACATTCTATGTCAACCCCCTTTCTACTGTAAATGTATTCATCAGAATTGCACTTTAATGTCACACTTGTCACTCCCACATAATCTCCATTGTCAGCTAAGTAATTTATTTGAAACAAAAACTTACCTGCAAAGCACCAATCTTGTCTCGGAATTCTCTATCCAGGGATTTTAATGTGGTGGAAGTATTAACAATCGACATCCTTTACTGCAAATACATATTTAAAAATTACCAGAAATAGCATAATTTTTTATCATATCATATTAAGCTTATATCTTAAGTTAACTTACTTTTTTTCTTGACTACCTTTTTATGACTAAGCCACCAGAGGCAAATCCTCAGCAGTTTAAAGGCAAACTAATGAAAATAGAATACCGTTTAAATCCAGCCCCAATCATCATCATACTTAGCGACTTCAATCTACGGCACCTAAAATTGAAGAATGTAGCAAATACAGTTATATCCAAGAGAATACCAGGAAGTAGCCTAAATGAACAGTCATGCACAAATGTCCTACTATGGCTGTATGACAGATTTGCACTAAACTAGTAAAACTAGACAAAATAACACACAAGACCTTATTTTTTCACAAACAACAATGAATTGATCAGGAACAATGATTACAAATACCTGTTATTCAGATCCCAATTTAACTGAAGTTCACACAAGCATGGGCAATAGACCTGCACAGGGAATCCAAATTTCTAGAGGAAAAGAATTCAGCAAATATAATACAGTAATACTAAACCTGTTATCTTGCCATCATGTGAGGTTAGGGGTGTCAATACTGGAGTAGGTAGGTGCATTATCAATCACACCAAAGCCCAAACATTGTTTGTCTTAATTTGATGGTCACAAACTTCCTTGCAAAAGAAAGAAAAATCTCCGGCATAAACTATGCATTCTTTAACCACCGAAGTGCACAGCATTATAATAAATGGTGCACCAGAAAAAATGATTTAAAAAAAATGATTTTATCTTTTTACATTGTTAAAATTCTGTCTCTGATCACGAGAAAGTAAAATAAAATATCGTATGTGGCATACTCTAGGGGTGATGGAGCAAAGAATTGAGAAATTTATGGGCAGAGTGATTAAGCACTCTGAGACACTTGCCCCAGTCGCACCGTAGGGCAGCAGTTGCTGTGAATATAATTGTTCATAGTTATTTCACTTTTTTTTTTTTTTGCTATATTATTATTCAAGTGTGTAATTTGAGAAATAAGTACAGGGGTACCTCGGTTTAAGAGTTTAATCCATTCCTGGAGACAGCCCGTAACCCAAAAACTCGTAAACTGAAGCTAATTTCCCCCATAAGAAATAATGTGAAATGAATTAATCTGTTCCCAACTACCCAAAAACTTCACTTCAAACTAAATTTTATACCTAATTCATCCAAATCTACACTACAAAATTATGTTCAAGTTACTACTTACTCTTGCTGATGACTCCTGTTGGCGTATGGAAGATGGTGAGGAGGGGGGGAGGAGAAGAGGTGTTACTGTTTGGAAGGGAGTCCCCTGGATTAAGGGGCCATTGGATTAGTTTATTAAAAGTTGTTCAATGTCAACCAATATTTTTTGACTAGTTGTATAAGAAAAGGGCTGCAATTGTTCCAAGTTTCAGTGCTGCAGCCTAAATAGAAAGGGAGATTCAATTTTTTTTTTCAATGAATAATACACATTTTCAAGTGCATATATAGACCCACACATTTCAGATATAATCATTCTATGACACTTTTCTGACACATTAGCATATAATAAAGGATCTAAAGTTGGGGATTTTCCAAAACATGTTTAGTTTTCCTAATCCAAATAGTCAAAGTCTCCCCCCCCCCTCAAAAAATATGCAAATGTAACTTGTTTATTGCTCTTATAAAATCAATAAATGACTGACTACAGATTTGACTACACGCTGACTACACTACACGCTGACTACAGATTTTAGAGACATACGCTCTACATATAAGGTGTAAGTTTCATGTAAATTTAATAAAAAATGAAAGTTAAATGAACGTTTATGTTACTTGAAATAAATAAGTAAAAAATAAAGTTAAAGTGCTGCCATCTGTGGCTGAGGTTGACATCAACCAATTTCCTGGCCCCCCTTTGGCACCCTTACAGATAGGCTTACGTGCCATCAGGTGTATAAGTTTCATGCAAATCGTCCGATAAACAAATCTTTCAAATGTGTTTAAAATGACTCAAAACAAATGTGTTTGTTGGGTAGACTGTTCCATTATTGAGAGAAAAATGAAAAATACAAAACAAATGGGACACTTGAAACACAAAGATTGTCATGATGGAGCAGCCTACCCGACATACACTGAACGAACCTATATGGCATTGAACAAAACAGAACTGCTGTTATTATCACATTCCTGTCACAAAATCCTGAATATGAATCTATTTACACATGGTTATATTGTGATGGAACATCACAACATAACTGTTCATGATGCATCTATGCAGGAAACATCTGGGTCCTGTCTTTCTACAACATTGTGTTCACTTATATCTGAACATTGTACACAGTCTATCAAAGTCAGGATCATCTATGACACTATCAACACAATAATTGCAGATACCTGTTTTACTCATCATTATTAAGTGGTACTGTGAGCTCCTGCTGCATGTGCCAGCCTTGGACGCGCTCTCAGTATTGAGGCACTCACAATAGTACGGATGCTGATTTTTTTTCCCAAGATGGTGTCTGTTTACTGATGTCCTGAGGCGCAGGACATGAGCCCTGTGTACCTATGGATGCTTTGAGTTGTTCCCTATACCTAAAGGCACCTTATGGCACTCTGCGCACCCCCAATCAGGCACCTTACGGCGCTCTGCACAGTGCAGTGGATAAGCTATATTATTTCACAGGCAGACTTTTCAAGCAATGTTGCAAAGCTCTTGGTTTCTTGGACTTTAAAGCAATTGCACCCTTGGTCTGTTTGCCATTGGCATTGGCGCACACCATGGCTGACAGCTGTCCTTGTTAACCTTACTCCCTGGAACACTACCCTCACTCCTCAAAGCTAGTTTTTTTTTCAGTCAAACTCCTCTAATACAGCACAGTTTCATCACAATTATATATTTGATACAAATATAAATTATTGGACAAAATGTATGTTCTTAATTTGTTTAAATAGGTTAACACTGCTTGTATCTGCACTATTTCTCACTAACAATTTTCCTCTTCACAACAATTTTGAATATGACATGTGTGACAAATGTCACAAATGTGACATTTATGAATAAATGCCATGTTATGGAATGTGGATATATAGGAGAAAATAGTCTACATACAACCATCAAATTATGTGGAAAAGCTTAAAAAAATTCTGAAAAATAAAGATCTACGAGTGGTTCTAGATAAAAAAACATCACTTGAGGACAACATAAAGAACAATGTACAAGAAGCCTATATCCCTGTACTAAGCTTTCCAATTAGACTTGCTTTTAAAATACATGGATGGTGAAATACTAAAGAAATTGTTCATGACCACTGAGACCAAAGCAGGCATATGCAGCAATTGTATGGTCCCCAAATCTTAAGTAACACATCAAGAAACTGGAAAAGGTGCAAAGACGTGCAACTCAATGGCTCACAGAACTGAAAGACAAGAGCTACAAGGAGAGGTTAGAAGAAAAAGAGGCAATATGATCACTAAGAACAAAATAGTAATGAAATTTGATAAAATTAATAGGATAGAATTTCCGAGACCTGGATCTTCAAGAACAAGAGGTCATAGATTTAAATTGACTAAACAAAGCTCCCCGAAGAAATTAGAAAATTCACTTTCGCAAATGAAAGTGAAATGTCACGAGTGGAGTACCATGGGGTTCAGTTCTTGCACTGACAATGTTCACTGCCTACATAAACGACCTATCAGAAGGAATACAGAATTATATACTGTAACATGTTTGCTGATGATGCCAAGATACTAGGGAAGATACTTAGACAACTGCCATGCCCTTCAACAAGACCTGGATTGAATTTTATAAAATCATAAAAAGCAAATTCCAAGTGAAAGACAAGATCCAAGGATTACAAATGGGAGACAGACTCGCATAAGTATAATGGAAAGGAAATGTGTGAAACGCTAAAACAAATATAAGAATTCTAAAGTGTTTTGAGTGGAATGAGACTTTCCAGGAAATCAGCATTATGAACAGAACTTAAAAGTACAGTGGGTCCTTGCTATAAAAATTCTTGGATGGTCCAAACAGTGTGTTCAATGAACCATTCAAATATTTAAGCGAGGATTCTTACTCCAAAGCATCAGGTTACAATTGTGCTAGCATCCACCAAATTCATGAGAAAACTATTCTACATTGCTTCAAAACTTTTCAAACAAACTTAAGTACAACTTTATCCAAATTATATTAATAAGTACTAATATTAAAAAATATATATATGCAGAAATCAAAAGAAGCTATTATTACACCACATGTTATCAAGTTTGTCCTTGCTCAAAAGGAGTTTTGTTGCAAGTACAAAATTGAATGAAATACATCCTGTATATATATAAAAAGCTTTTTTTTTTAACAAATATAGTACAGAACAGATACTGACGCATAGTACTTACACAAAATAATAACAGCTGTGTATTTTTATCGATGAGCTGTTTTTCCACATTTGTCAAATATCAGTGCTAGCAAAAGTTTTTGAACATTTATATCTTTGGCAAATACAACGACACTCAATCACTAAAATAATTTAACATACAAGAAAATAGAGCCTTTGGTTAAATACAATATATCACTTTTTGGAGAAAAACAAAATACTTCTTAGGAACTACAGAGCAATTTCCAAATGCAATCTCACTTTAACTGTAGAGTAAAATCCTTAAGTTCCTTGGCCAACTCCTCTAATTCTAAGAGAGTGGCATCTAATGAATAATGCATATTTTCTAGGCCTCTAAGGGAAGATATTATAGAGTCTATGCAGAATATGCATTTTAGCTTAATTTCCTCAATGTACACCCTGACACGGTCCAGCAATGTTTGCTTGGCAGACGCATATTCTCTGGCAAGTCGATCCATTTCCTCTTTGTAGTAAGAATTTTCCTGCTTTGTTGCTGAATGATACTTTGTAACCCTTTGTTTTAGTGATTTATATTTGTCTTGAATCTGCCTCAATGTACCAACTTCCTCTTCAGCTTGCAGCAGCTTTTTCCTTAATGTTTCCAATTCGTCCTGTAGATCTTGTACAAACTGTGTGCGTGCAACTTTTGCCTTTTCATTTTCCTCTTGCTTTTCTTTCAACTCGCTCTCCAGGTTTTGCACCATGTCTGTTAACCTGTGTATCTCCTGCTCAAACACACACTCATTTTCTTTTTCCTCCTTTTCCCTTTCCTTCATTCTCTCCAGTTCATTACTAATTGTCTTTAAATTCTTTTCTTGATCTTTCACTTTATTTTCTAGAATTTTAATTTCTTCCTCCTGTTCTTTCACTTTCTTTTCTAATAACTTTGAACTTTCAGCCTTGGCATATTTGTTTTGTAGGTCTTGTATGAGGGTCTCGTACTGTCTTTTCATTTCTTCCTTTTCTTCATCTACCCGCTTTTGCTGTCTCTCTAATATAAGGCGCCAACCCTCAGGCTGTCTTGGATCAACTTCTGCCCTGTTATTTTCCTTCATCATCAATATTTCTTCCTCTAGTCTTCTACATTTGTCTTCCAAGTTAACATTACACTTCTCTAATTCTAAACATTTTTTCTGTAAATCTTCCACAGACTTGTGTGACTCCTGCCTGATAGTTTGTATTTCTTCTACTTGCTTTTTGTATTTCATATTTAGATTTTCTTTCTCTATTACCATCTTTTTGTTGTCTTCACTGTATCGTTCTTTCAAATTTGCCAATTCTGTTTCAAGATCTTCTATTGTCTTCTTATACATAGTGAAAGGTTGTTTTCTGTACCATTTTCCAGAATTGTCTGTAACATGGGAATCAGGGGTCTCCACAACCTTATTTTTCGATTTCAGTTTGTCCGAGTCACCACCCTGATCTCTTGACTCAGATTTTTCTGCCTCTGCCTTTTCAAGTTCAAGCTCAAGCCCATCTTTTTCCTGACACACCTTGATATACAACTCCTTTGTATTATTCAATTCATCTGAAAGTCTGCTAATTTCACCTTTCAGGTTTTGTGCAATACTTTCATATTGCGTTTTAATTTTCATCTCTAGTTCACGAACTGCCTGTTCATGAAACCTCAAGTATGTACTTTGACAATCTTCTAATGCAAGAATTCTTTCTTCATCCTTTTTCTTTGATAAAACTGTCATTTCTTCCTCCAGCACCTTATTTTGCTCTTTGATACTGTCAACCTTCTCTTTTAAGTGTTCCAACTCCAAATGACAATTGGTCAGTTGATCCCGTAGGTTCATATTCTCATTGTACACACCAGAATTTTCCTCTTGTACATTCTTCATTAGTTGTTGTAGATCTTCCAGAAGCTTCTGAAGGGTATTGCAAGCATGGTTATACTCATTACCTCTTCCTTGATCATTAATCGCACTGACAATCATCTTTTCTGAAACCTTTAATATGATTTGCATGTCATTCATTCTCTTCTCCCACAAAACTTGTCTTTCATACAATTTATGGTTATCTTCTCTAACCTGAGCTATTGCTTTCTGGAACTGCTCTGTATCTGTAATAAAATTCTTACCCAACTCTACTTCCTGTAGCCATTTGTCAAACATAGTATTTAAAGTAACACAGTCATTTTCTGAATTCATATTAGATAGGTCACTTTTCAAATGGTGAATCAGATCATTTAACTCCTTCAAAGAGTATTTTAATTTTCTATAAGAGTTGTGTAAAAGAGTTAATTCCTGTCGAAGAGATATATTTTCAGCCTGTACAGCTTTTGCATTATTGTTATTATCAGCTGTCTTATTACCATCCTGTAGCTGGCATTCAGCATGCTCCAACTTAAGCTTCATCAAGTTTCCACGTAGTTCGTTTATTTCAATGTGGGCATCCTTAAGATCACTTTCAGCTTTCCTAACCAGTAATTGTGAGAGAGCGTTCTCTTCCTTCAGTGTTCTTATTTTATCTCGTTTAACCTTATTAATTAACAAACTTTTTTTCAATTCATCTTGTAATTTAAATTTGTCCTGAGTTTCAGTTAACTTGTCACCCTTTCTTGTATCCTCAGTCTGAGCGTCATCATAGTTCAGTTTTCTTTTAATACCTAACTGTTCCAGAGACTCCTCTACTGGTGCTATTTTACTAAAAAGTGCTATCTTCATCGACGTGTCAAATTCTTCAAGCTCCTCTTTGGATTTTGCCAAATCCTGTTCTAGAGAGCAAACTTTACTTTCTAAACGATGTTTGTTAGATTCAAGATCCTTAATTTTTAACTGCAGTTCTAAGAGTTGCTTGCTATCGTGAGCCTGCAGCAGATCTTCATACTGTTTTCTTACATTTTCAATGGTCAAAGTAAGTTTTGTTACAGTCTCTGATTTTTGTATAAGTGCATCATCGTAGGTTGCTCTCAAATTCTTCAATTCATCTCTTAGTCTTTTAATCTCTTGCTGATATGTCTCAATTTCTCTCTGAGCTTCCTGCAGTTTAGTCATTAATAAGTCCTTTTCTTCCTTACTACCTTGCTGAAGTTTCCGAACAAAATTGTCATGTATCTGCTGATTTCTCGTGAGGCTGTCAGCAGCTTTTAGTTCAGAGATTTGGCATTCTAAACTAGAAATAGTAGATTCTGCTGTTTCAAGTTCAAAGTGAAGTTTGCTATTTTCATCTTGAGCACTTTTAAATTTATCATGAACTTCATTAAAATCACTTATTAAGTTTTTTATTCTTTCATCCTTTTTTGTCAGGAGAATTTGAAGTTGATTTATATTGGCAGCTTTGCTTTCACTGTCAGATTTTAGGAGATTGAGCTGATGCTGTAACACCCGAGTATTACGACTACTTTCAAACTTTAACTTTGAAAATTCTGAAGTTAGTTTATCAATTTCTCTACCCCTGGCTTCATACAAAAGTTTCAGCTGATCGTATGCTGTGTCTACGTCCTTATATTGATTTCTTAGTATTTCCTTAGCACTCTCATTCTCAGTAATGCTAGATTTGTAATCATCTGCATTGTAAGCTTCAGTAGCTTCATATGATGGCCCTTCATCATTATAATCCATGTTCCTATTAATTTCAAAATTGTCTTCTTGTGGGTGTTGATACTCTGACAAAATATGAAAGTCTCCATCAGTCTCATGGGCTACAAAGGGGTTATACTGGTTTGGATCATCTTGACTGTCATTGCCCCATGTGGGAACACCCCTCTGGCTACTGCTAAAAGCAGTGGGAAGAATTGTGGCATGATCCCCAAGAGACTGGTTCTGCAGCCCCTCACTTGCATAAGGATCTACATGATCATATTCGTTTATACTACCGTGAGAATTTTCAAAGCTTCTCTGGCTGTTCACATCGTCATGAACGTAAGATACTTCTGGGCGTCTCTCTGAACTACCCTCCTCCTGAATGGAATTTCCTTGAAGTTGATTAGAGGATGTGGAATAATGGCTAATCTGATTTGCATAAGATTCATCCTCTTCAAGATCATCAAAAGCCCCAGCCAACTTTTCTTTGAGTTCTTCCTCCCTTCTCTTATTTTCCTCTTCCTCCTCTCTCAAATTTTGTTCTTCCTCTTCTTCACCATCTAGATCAGATGTCCTAATACCCTCTAAGTGTAAGCTCATCCCACCAAATATGCTATGGCCTGGATTATCCATTACCTGAAAGAGAAAATTAGATTATTATTATTAATACAGTGCAACCTCAATTCGGGAAAACTACATGGAACCAACCATGATTCATTGAAACCTGACACCTACAGGAGGTATTTATGTGATGTATTTTTTAATATACAGGTATAAAACAAGGAAAATACACTTATATTACTGCTCAACTGTATAGTTAAGAATCATACTGTAAAGTTGTGTCCTCGCTTGAAGGAGCTATATGAGGCAAGGCCGACTCGCTCCATAAAAGATTTTGTTCTCAGACCCCAGACATCCCCCCCCCCCAAAAAAAAACTACATCCACTATAATGCATATAAAGATTTGTGATTTACCAGGAAAGTATTCTAGTGAAATATCTTCATAAATAATCCTGAAGCACATTTAAACAAGTACAAATCCATTATCCCACTTTTTTGTTATTTATTAAACAATAAAATAAATTTATTACAAATTCATCATGGAATAGAATGGAGCAATCAAAATGGTGAACACTTCCATATCAAAGTCATAACTATATGACAATTATTGCCAAGTACAGATGTAAGTGATGGCCAGGATTTAAACAGCCTCTATCAGTCTCAATATACAGTCAGTCAGTCAACTGTTTTCCGAACCCCTCAGAACCAAGATTGAATGGATAACCTGTTGTGTTCGGATAAGTGGTTTGTCATCCTGAAAAGCTAGGGGAGAAAAATTGACAATTTTGTTGCAGAAATTCGAGTTTTGTTTGTACTCACCAATATGAGACGTTCTGATCCACTTGTTAACTTGAAGACTAATTGATGGTACTCAATTACGATGGAGCATCGTTATTTAAATAGAAAAGGTGGTGGTGGATGAGTGTTGGGTTGACTGAAGTGGAAATTAATGGTGATGAGGTAACCTCACAAGACTGCCTTGCACCATGTACTCTAATGTACCTAATGCCATGGCAGAGTTGAAAGTTTCTGAGCCATCCATTAGTGTATGAATGCTGCTCAAGTGGTTCTGTGTGTGGTTACTGGGAAAACTAGTTCTATCTTTATTGTACATTTTTATTCAGACTGCCTGCCTCACTATTTATCTGAACATTTTATCCGAACTCAAATCGGATAACAGGCATTTTAAGAAAAAAAAGGTTTTCGTAAAGCACATGGCTGACTGTAGTCATAAAAAAAAAACTTAGGTTACCTGTATTACGAATTCTTCATTTTGACTATGCATATGAAGGAATGATCATTTGCCAAAAATTTGGAATAAAAAAAAAGTGTTGAATGTAATGAAGTGCCAATTTCTGGGCAAAAACTATCATACATTGATCAGTGCCATACTACTAGGTGCCATCATTGGTGGAGTTTTATTGGCCTACCAGGTACCATAAGCTGACACCCCCCCACCCCCTAAGAGAGGCACAAGGAAAGATGACCTATGAAAACTTTAAAAGTAAAGTTACTGCAATGAGAAAATCCAGTGGTGCTGCAAAGTGATGCGAACCCGCAATCAAGGTACAGTATTCCCAGCTGCATACTCTACCACCGCACCAGTATGCGGCTGGCAATGCCTTCTTCGCATTGCATTGCCTCACAACCCCAGTGGATTTTCTCATTGATGTTTATTACACAAGTGCAATTTTCTGTATTTAAAGTCAATCATAATTGCCACCACCAGGGAAGCACCCAGAAAGTTAGGCGAACCAAAATAGACTACAATACAGCGTGATTAAAACTAAATTGTAGCCCAAAAATTGCTAAGAGAACTCCCCAAGTTGGGGAGCCTTTAGACTCTCCCAGAAATTGGCATTTCATTGCATTCAATGCTGGTTTTCTGGACTGGGGGTAGGGGAGCCCCTGCTGGCTCCCTGAACCCACAGAGGACAATAAAGAGCACTTACGTGGGAGGAAGCAGCACCGCAGGTATCAATTCGAAGACAAAATCATCGGCCGTGACACACACCCTAAAGCAACACAAGGCTGCTGAGCACCAGGGAGGTTCACAAGATTCCTGACCACCAAGACCCTGTTAAACCTCCAAAATCCCCATGCCCAAATATCAGCCAAGACATTAGCAAACACTGCCTTCAGAGTGACATACTTATGGACATCATAGGTATGAGGGGTAGACTACAGGCTGGCTAGACAATTACATTGCATACGACCTGAGAAATACGAGCCCTTGAATAGGGAATCAGGGAAACCGGATCAACTGATAATGAATCCACCTTTGTAACCGACAGTACAAAGGTAGCAGCATAAAGCCGCCACCAGATAAAATACATAATGTACCCCAGCAAACCAACCAAGTGTCCACAACCAAAGGACCCTTCTGGAAGTCTGCCGACTTTTTATCCAAACCTAACCTTACCTAAGGTTATGCCTAACCTTGCCCAAACCAGGCCAACCCATCCTTGCCCAGGCCAACCCAACCTTACCCAGGCCAACCCAACCTTGCCCAAACCAGCCCAACCTTGCCCAAACCTACCTTGCCCAAACCAACCTTGCCCAAACCTACCTTGCCCAAACCAACCTTGCCCAAACCAGCCCAACCTTGTCCAAACCAACCTTGCCCAAACCAGCCCAGTCTTGCCCAAACCAACCTTGCCCAAACCAGCCCAACCTTGCCCAAACCAACCCAGCCTTGCCCAGGCCAGCCCAACCTTCCCCAGACCAGCTTAGCCTTGCCCAAACCCTTAGCCTTCCTATCTTGAGGTTATCTTGAGATGATTTCGGGGCTTTAGTGACCCCGCGGCCCGGTCCTCGACCAGGCCTCCACCCCCAGGAAGCAGCCCGTGACAGCTTATTCAAACCACCCTATCCTAACCCAAACTAAACTAACCTTACCCAAACCATCCTAAACTTACCCAAATCAACCTAAACTGAGGGTTAGGCAGGTTTAGGTGGGTCTGTCCAAAATGTTTGGTTAGGTAAGCCAACCTGAGCCTTACAGCCTGGATCATACAGCTGGGTGTTAGTCAGCTGTCACGGGCTAGTTCCTGGGGGTGGAGGAATGGTCGAGGACCGGGCCGCGGGGACACTAAAGCCCTGAAATCATCTCAAGATAACCTCAAGATAGGTCTTTGTGAAATGTTAAGTATGTATTTCCTATTTGTGCCTGCAGAATCTAGCTGGGACCTGGCCTTCTAGTATTTTCCATGTGTACTTTATATTATTTTATATCTCTCTCGTCTTCTTTCCAGTGAGTACATCTGGAGAGCTTTGAGACGATCCCAATGATTTAGGTGCTTTATCGTGTCTATGTGTGCCGTATATGTTCTCTGTACTTCATCTATTTCAGCAATCTCTCCTGCTCTGAAGGGCGAAGCGAGTACTGAACAGTACTCAAGACGGGACAACACAAGTGATTTGAAGAGTACAATGGTGATGGGTTCCCTGGATTTCAAAGTTCTTGTAATCCATCCCATCATTTTTCTGGCTGATGCAATATTTGCTTGGTTATGCTCCCCAAATGGTGAAAGAAACTCTGCCCATTTGTTTCTGCCTCAGCCAGAAATTGAATCTGGGTCCTTAGGACTACGACCCCCAGGTGCTGGCCACTCAGCTGCGAGGCCCCTTTGTTTGTTAGTGGCATTGCAAGAATGTAATTCTCAAATACTAATGTAACGTACTCTCACAACCCAATGTACCTTCTTGAATATATATTAATAAATAAATAAAAATAAAAGTTTGGGCAAGGTTAGGTTGGTTTGGGTTAGGTCAGGTTGGGAAGGTCAGGTTTGGGTTGGATTAGGTTAGGGTTGGATTAGGTTAGGGTTGGATTGGGTTGGATTGGGATTGGGTTAGGTTAGGGTTGGGTTATGGTTGGGCAAGTACCCAATCAAACCTAACCTTACCCAACCAACCTAACCGAACTGAACCAAGCCCAATAGTCTCACGTATGCCAATACTGTATATCCTAACCTAAGAATACACTGTACAGTATACTGTATGGTTTTAGCAAGCGAAAAATTACTTTTGGTAAACCTTCTTGCATACAAGTTGAGTATACCCTGGGCTGGGTGAGTACAACTCCTACTGCACACAAAACAGTTTGCCAACAGATTTCAAAACCTTTAACTTTACCAACCAAACCTAAACCAACCTGAGCCTTACAGCCTGGATCATACCTGGAAAGGATTCTAGGAGTTCTCCTCGAACCCAGCTTGGAGTCAGGCTCAACTTGTGATATGTCCAACAGGTGTTGCTTGGAGTGAACACAGTGTAATACATTCTAACCTAACAATCCATGCAATTTCGTCAAAATGCCTGTGTATGACTTTACCCCAGTTTGGCTGGGGTTTGGTAAAGAAGGTTTTAAAATCTCTTGGTGAACAGTCTTGGGTACAAAGTAACCTGTATCCCAAGAAAACTGCTATTCTTTCCCCACTACATGTGGTTTATCACAGGCAACAAAAATATCATGACAATAAAAATATTGCTAAAAATGGTTAGTAGTAGAACAAGGACAGTAATATACCAAAAACTGCAACAAAATCTAGAAGACCCGAGATAAACTAAAATTCACATTGGTTATTCTATCTAACATACTATTATGTAGGAAGAGCCACACATCAATGGTTCATCCAATAAAGTCAGTAGACTTCTAGACATTACTACTGCTAGCCTTGAGCTTGGCTACAAATACCTCTGGGAGTTTTCACCACCAGCTTACAAAGATCTGACTAAATGTAAACTTTTGTAAGCAGAATTATTCACATACCTTACATCACTATGTGATTGAAAGTAAAAAAAAAAAATCTCAAAATTCAGGGATAACTATTACAAATGTTCAGGAAATTTGCATTTCATTCAAAATGAAATACCAGAAAATCTTTGCCAAATATCCAACGTTTACTTGTTGTAGATAGTACATGCACACTGTACTAAACTTTCCGCAGCTACCATCCTTTCGACAGGTGTGGGGGCAGGCATGATTAATAACCAACTGGCCAGAGAGATGTAAATAGCTCAGCCTAAAGACAGTCATGGGACAGTTCTTGAACCACTTATGCTATAAAAGACTTAATATATACACATTACACTGTGCAACTACTTTAACAAGACTTACAGTACTTGCTTAGCTAAATGAATTTTGGGATTCAGTTCCAGAGCCTCTGTAACCTTTTCCAGTACTGCCTACAGGATGGGTATGGGATGCATAATAAATGAATAAAATCAAAATATCAGAAATGTAACAAAAAATATTCTTATTAAGGGATTTCTTTAATTTTATTTTATTTTATTTATACATGTTATATACAGGAGTTCTTACATTCTTGAAAAGCCACTAACACGCACGTCGTTTCGGGCACGTCCTTAATCTTAATTTTCCCTAGACTACAACCTGCCAAATTGTTTAACAACCAGGTACCCATACATTACATAGGTACAGTCTGGGTAAACAGAGGCTACAGTTAAAATAGTGATAGTTTAAGGATTGGCGCCCGGTCAATCCTCCCCGTCCAGGATACGAACCCAGGCCAAATCACTCACGATGCATGGGAGTGTGTTACCACTGTGCCAGGGGAACTGCTGGGATAGGATTAGTGGAATTAGGATTAGTGGGATTAGGATTAGCCCATAGGATTAATGGGATAGATTAATGTAGACATAAAAACTTCAAAGCAAATATATGATACTTTCAAGAATTGAGTCTTGCATTAACCAACAGTTATTAAAAAAAAAGCACTTAAAAGTAAAGGCTCGAGCCTTTAACACACACACACAAGTAACACACACCATGATGTAAGCACCCCATGTAACACGCACCAACCATGATGTAAGCCCAATAAGCACACAGACACACTCACACAGTACAAAAGTAACAACAATACCCACCTACCAGGTTTAAGAGAACAGGGACAACACAACTCGTCTTCTTCGGAGGTTCAAATCTGGGCCGACGACCAGCTGCTGGCCGCCTGGTCTCTTTCAGTGGCACCCGGACCCCGGCTGCTCCACAGTTGCCACATCCAAGTGCTCAGAGTAGCGAAGGAAAATAAATAAATAAATAAATTTTTATTCACGTAAGGTACATACATACAAGGTAAGATACAAAAGTTAATGGATTATAGATAGAGCTAGTACATACAATGCGTAAAGACACTATTACGCAAAGCGTTTCGGGCAGAAAGGAATTATCAAGGGAAAGCACCAAGCCATTATGGCTCACTTGGAAGGGGTCAGGATAAGGATCTGGGATGGGACGGAAGGAAAGGAATGGTGGCCAACCACTTGTGGACGGTCGGAGATTGAACGCCGATCTGCATGAAGCAAGACCGTCGCTCTACCGTCCAGCTGACGGTCTAAAAGTAGCGAATTTCTAATAAGAGTAGCTCAATTTTTCGTTTAGTGACTGATACAGATTTCAAAGTAATATAATTTGATACATAGACTACACTACACGATTTGGATTGTTTTATTACTATTATCTCTGCATACGTATATATTTAAAAAATATGATAATAGGATAACTTACCAATATTTACTGTAGGAAGCATAATGGTGTGGAGTCCTTATCCACGTCTTCACAGTTGAAAATTATCAAGAACTTGCATCCACAACCTCTGTCTTGTATATTGCAGACTCATATTTAAGCATTGACATGGACTGTTCAAATGATGAGCAACAAGTTCCGTTTTCTTCAAGATATATTTTGATTCTCAAGTTTGATGTCAAAAGCTCAAGTTCCGTTCCATTTCTCAGTTCAGTTTTGTAACGGTTCTATTGTTACGTAAAGTATGGTGACAAATAAACACAGACACTAAGATACTATATATATATTTGGTCGAATATACAGAAGTACACAGGTGATACGTTGGTGTGAGTTGAGCGCACTGAGCGTTGGTACAGTATCTCAACAGATGTTACTCTGTGTTGGACGGGTCGAAATACTCGTTCAACCAGGCCATTACTGCTTGGTAAGCTGTACATTTTCAATGCAAACTCAGCGAGGTCAATCAGTATGGGATCGCCAGCAGCGTTCTTGACAGTTAATGTCTTGGTCCATAATGACGATCCAGATGTTGGAATTTGTCCCTCACAAATGTCGCAACAGTCAATGGTTAACAGTAGGCGCCACTGACTTTCAATTTCACTAAGCTTAGAATGGTCAGCTAGTACTAAGTTCTGAAAAATAGTGGCCGTGTGTGGCTAAGGCATATAATAGGTGACAGATGTTTCACCTTTTTGAAAGTTTCGTCATTACTTAGAATACGAGAAAGAAGCTATTTGCAAGCTTTCATTAAAAAATTATGGCTTCATGAATATTTTTAAACTTTTCCTGGGTTATAAAATTGTTTTGTCTGTTAATTGCCAAAAGTGTTGAAAAGTCGTAACCAAAGTCAACTTTCTCCAGGGGCAGATGTATGGAATTGCTGTCCAAATTAACATCAAGCTCTGCAAGATCAGGATGCACGATTCTTGTGAGTATTCCAAGAGTGCAGTTGTCTAAGACAGTGTGAAGGCTACACTGATATGTTTCAACTTTTTGATAAAGTCAATTCATCCTTTTAAAATAATTTATGATTGGTTTGAGAAAAGTGAAATATAGCTTATTGGTGGGATCAGAGTACATTGAGAATAGTTGCCTTGCAACATATTTATCACAAGAGCAAGAAGCGATTTGATAATGAGTCGTTAAAGAATCCCATTGATCCAACAGCCACTTTACACTGCCGCTCCTTGCCAACCATCGTCTTTCTGACAAAGGTATTGACTGTAAGGGATCTTTCCTATCATTTATCAATCTGTAAATTTCTAGATAACTTTCTCTCCTTAATGAAGATCTGTACTTGGAACCAGCTTTAGCTTTTGGGATGGAATATTAATGACAATTAAGGTTGGGAAATCTCTGGCCCCTAGGAAGGGTTACTTTGCCTTGCGGTTACTTTTCCTTTCGAACGTTCCTAGGATCAACGTCCACAGGGGGCCGGTCTTGGACCAGGCCTCCTATGGTAAGTGGTCTAGTCAATCAGGCTGTTGGACGCGGCTGTGATTTGTACACATTACATTATAAAAGCATAAATAATCATCATTGAGCTTAACATTAATAGCCCAAATTAGCCCAACTTGCTTTTAAATTAGCCAAAAAAGTCGCAAGTAGCTAAATTAAAAATTTGGGAGCGCGGGGCTCTCAAAAGTAGCCCAAACCGCTACTTGAAGCCCAATCTGGCACCACTTGGCTGGTCTCTTTCAGTGGTACCCGGACCCTCGCTCTAATGTCAACAATTATATTTCAATGTACCTAAGCTGGTTTAATAAAAACAAAAACAAAAAAAAGCAAATATAAAAAAGAAGGCACCAAGCCAGGAAGATTATGAAGTACTCACTACTTTAGTTTAGTTAATTTATTATGCACCCCATAACAATCTTGTGGGCGGTAGTGGAAAAGGTTACAGAGCTGTGTATAACATCACTTGTCATTTCAACATTCATTTAGCTAAGCAAGTTACAACCTTGATAAGCTAGTTACAAAATTTAATGTATATTGTTACATGAATAACAAAAATACCAGTACTTAAACACATCCAGCGTTTCGGACATATCTGAACGTTTACATATTTCCGACCAAATGTAAAAAAAAAAAAACACCACCAAAACCACCCAAACCTACCCAAAGTCACTCAGAGCTACACAAAACCACCCAAACCTACCCAAAGTCACACAAAGCTACCCAAAACCACCCAAAGTCCCACAAACACGCTCTCTGATATATATTGTTGTTATTTATATATACAAGTTAGTTTAGTTCATTTATTATGCACCCCATACCCATCTTGTGGGCGGTAGTGGAAAGGGTTACAGAGGCACATAATGGGCTCAGGGACTGAACCCCACAATTCATTTAGCTAAGCAATTTACAATCTTGATGAGCTAGTTACAAAATTTAATATAAGTCGTCACATCAACAATGGGTTCGAGATCGACCTCAAGTACAGGTTCTAAATTAAGCAACTGACATATCTGGATCTGGACCACAGGATCACAAGCCCAGCGTGCTGTCAGCTTGGCCGACCGGCTCCCCCGATATGTGGAGAGCTAGTGTCAAAATTTATGTTTGTCCTGCACACCGCCCCCCACATCCAGTGGGAAGCGATACAAGAGTTGTTACTGATTGATTGATAAAGATTAAGCCACCCAAAAGGTGGCACGGGCATGAATAGCCCATAAGTGGTGGCCCTTTTGAGCCATTACCAGTATCAAGAGCTGATACTGGAGATCTATGGAGGCACGACTGCACCCTGCGTGACGGGAGATGTCTCCCGTCAGAGTAGTTACATTCTTGTACAGCTACCTGCAGCACGCGTAGTGTTGCCGGCAAATCCTTAATCCTGTGGATATTGTGAAATTGTGTTGTTGTTATAGATTCAGCTACTCGGAACAATATATATTTTAATCAAATATATAAAAATGTATTTTTTAAATTTTATTTTTCTTATTTGTTTATCGGACGATTTGCATGAAACTTATTCAGGTGGCGGCACATAAGCCTATCTGTAAGGGTGCCAAGGGTGCCAGGAAATTGGTTGATGTCAACCTCAGCCACAGATGGCAGCACCTTAGACTTTATTTTTTACTTATTATTTTCAAGTAACATAAACGTTCAAATTTCTCTTTCATTTGTTATTCAATTTACATGAAACTTACACCTTATTATATGTAGAGTGTATGTCTCTAAACAGCCTTGTTTCTTAAGTTCATTTAATGATTTTATAATAGCAATAAGCATGATATATTTGCATAATTTTTTGGGGAGAACTTTGGAGATTTGGTTTTGCTCTGAGCTAGAGCTGTGGGTACTCTTTTTCGAGGTCCACTATAGTGGTATAGGAAGACTTACCTTCGGTATGCTGCACCTTGAAGACTGGCAGTGCAGATTTAGTCTGAGGAGCTGGAAGAGCTGGAGAAGCTGGAGTGATTGTCAGACGATGGGTCGTCATGGAGTGGCTTGTCCTGTTTGCCTTAGTCACATGATTCCACTCGCCGTCACTTTCAGAACTTGTATCGAGTATAGATTTTCTTTTCCTACACTGAGCAGCATTGCTGGATCTATTACAATTCAATTGGCATTCCATAATTTAGTTCAAATGCTCACTGTGGAGTGGTGTCTGGTGAGTGAAGGTGATGCTCTGTGCTACTGGAAACAAAGTCAGCGTGGAGTTGGCTCACTGGGTGAACTGTCTTGGAAAGATTGATCGATTGATGACGATTAAGCCACCCAATAGGTGGCACGGCCATGAATAGCCCGTAAGTGGTGACCCTTTTGAGCCATTACCAGTATCAATAGATGATACTGGAGATCTGTGGAGGTGCGACTGCACCCTGCGTGATGGGAGATGTCTCCCGTGGTCTTGGAAAGGTCTAAGAAAAGATTTTATACTTACAGCAGGTAACAGTGCTGATGTCACTTGCACAGGTATTACCAGAGAAGAACTAATAACGGCGATTAAAGTTGGGAAATCTACCGCCCCTGGAGAGGATCTTCTCGAGATGGTTTCGGGGCTTTAGTGTCCCCGCGGCCCGGTCCTCGACCAGGCCTCCACCCCCAGGAAGCAGCCTGTGACGGCTGACTAACACCCAGGTGCCCATTTTACTGCTAGGTAACAGGGGCATAGGGTGAAAGAAACTCTGCCCATTGTTTCTCGCCGGCGCCCGGGATCGAACCCGGGACCACAGGATCACAAGTCTAGTGTGCTGTCCGCTCGGCCGACCGGCTCCCCCGGTCGGCCAAGGCCGAGAATGAAGTAACTTATGAAATACTTAATGAACTTGCCATTATGAAAAGCCCACTGTTAGACCTCTTAAATATTAGTTATAAAGAGGGCAGTATTCCCAGTAAATGGAAAAAACTACGATCATCCCTATCCCTAAAGCCAACGGAGAGTACAGACCTGTGTCCCTAACCTCGTGTTTTTGTAAAATGATGGATCATATTAATTAAATACTTTTATATATGATAGGTGATCAGCTGTCTAGTAATTTGTTCGGGTTCCTTAGAGGCAACTGTACCTCTGACTGTATTATTAAATGTCTAGCTAATGATAATGATTATTATAGAATTTGTATTGATTTACAAGGAGCTTTTGATAAAGCCAACAAAGAGATTATTTTATATAAATTAGCTGGTCTTGGTGTTAAAGGGAGATTATTGCGCTGGATATATAATTGGGAAGTATAATAAATATATAAATATTTAGGCATATATGTTGGATATACTCATGAGAGTTTGGAAGCCGAGATGAACAGACTGTTGGTTCAATGTCGGAAGAGATTACAACCTCTGAAGGTCTTGGCATGCTGTGGAAGGGGAGTAAGAGTCCCTGTGCTACGAATGATATACTTGAGTACTGTAAGATCTCTTATTGATTACGCTGCACCTGTCATATCTTGTTTTAGTAAAGGTAGGATGGGAGTGTTGGAGAAGGTACAAAATGAAGCCCTGAGAATTATCTTAAGATGCCCAAGAAATGATTGAGATTGAGATAATGAGGATGGAGTCGAATCTGAAGAGTATGGGGAATAGATTGATTGATGAAGATTAAGCCACCCAAAAGGTGGCACGGGCATGAATAGCCCGTAAGTGGTGGCCCTTTCGAGCCATCACCAGTATCAATAGATGATACTGGAGATCTGTGGTGGTGCGACAACACCCTGCGTGACGGGAGATGTCTCCCGGACCAAATGGTGTGATGAGTAGAGAGAGAGAGAAGATTAAGCCACCCAAAAGGTGGCTTGGGCATGAATAGCCCATAAGTGGTGGCCCTTTTGAGCCATTTCCAGTATCAATAGATGATACTGGAGATCTGTGGAGGTGCGACTGCACCCTGCGTGACGGGAAATGTCTCCCGTGTATATGGGGAATAGAATTTCAGAGTTAAATGTAGCCTCTGCCATTAGATTAATGTGAGGTGGGGGAGCTAATGAATTAATCCTCTGGGGTTCAAAAGGTGGGAAGTAATGAACAATGTATGATAAAGAAGAGAGCATATATAAGCACATTATGTTCTAATGTTATAAAGTATGATATTATTACAGTGTATTGCTGTGCCTAGGAGAGAATTCACACCACCATGGGAGGATTGTAATGTATATGTAGTAATTACTCCCTTGCAAAAGAAAAAAAAGTATGTATGAAATAGGAGAGCTGAGGGCAACATATGATTGTATAATTAGAAAATTACCTACAGAAAACACTCTACATGTATATTGTGATGGGTCAGTAGCTAGGGTTAGGAAAGCAGGATGTGGAGTCTTGATCAGGGAGTACACCGACATCGGCACTGTAGATACTGTTATTGGACGCCGCTTAACTGACAAGTCTCTTCAACGCAGGCTGAACTCTTATTAGCAGGATTTGGTGCAGGAGCAGTGTATTAGCAGGATTACAGGAAGTAGTCAAATGTGGTAAAAATGCTTGCTTCTTTATTGACAGTAAAGGAGCGTTAGAGTCTTTTAAATAGCAGACGCCCAGTATACCAGAATATTGTGATAGAGTGTAGAGAGAATGTTAAGAAATTAGAAAAAACTGGTTATAAAGTAAGATTCATGTGGATCCCTTCACATGTGGGAATACTGTTGAATGAGGTAGTTGACGAGATAGCGAAGCGAGACACGGAAAAAACTCTTGTTGATGTATGTCAGATAACCTTGAAACAAATAAAAACAAGAATCAAGATGATTCAGGAGGGTGAAGAAATGATAAAGAGAATGGCAATGGTGGACAGTAGTAACACACTTAAGAATTATTCAATAAAAAATACAAATTGGTCCTTCACCTATGGTAGAGGAAAGTCTACTTGGAAGGATTCAATTTACATGAGATTAAGATTAGGATACAAATATATCTGGCAATACAGTGTTGATGTCAAGGAAAAAAGATAAGGAGTGTAAATTATGTAATATGCCGCACGCCCACACCTTAGAACATTATGTATTAGTGTCAACTTTTTTATAACTATAGAAATAAGGAAATAAGTAGTGTACCACATCAAATTGTTTCGGGGTTAATATAGTAAGCACCGCATATAAGTGTTACACTCTTGGGGCAAAATTCTTGTAGCTCGTAAGTATACTGTCTATCATACCATTATCACACATCCAAACATTTTGATGTGGTACACTACGCACTACCCGTGGTCGCCCTCTCATACCTGGTTGATACCTGGTTGATGGGGTTCTGGGAGTTCTTCTACTCCCCAAGCCCGGCCCGAGGCCAGGCTCGACTTGTGAGAGTTTGGTCCACCAGGCTGTTGCTTGGAGCGGCCCGCAGGGCCACGTACCCACCACAGCCCGGCTGATCCGGAACTTCTCTTAGAAAACCGTCCAGTTTTCTCTTGAAGATGTCCACGGTTGTTCCGGCAATATTTCTTATGCTCGCTGGGAGGACGTTGAACAACCGCGGACCCCTGATGTTTATACAGTGCTCTCTGATTGTGCCTATGGCACCTCTGCTCTTCACAGGTTCAATCTTGCATTTTCTTCCATATCGTTCACTCCAGTACGTTGTTATTTTACTGTGTAGATTTGGGACCTGACCCTCCAGTATTTTCCAGGTGTATATTATTTGGTATCTCTCTCGTCTCCTTTCTAGAGAGTACATTTGGAGAGCTTTGAGACGATCCCAATAATTTAGGTGTTTTATCTCGTCTATGCGTGCCGTATATGTTCTCTGTATTCCCTCTATTTCAGCAATCTCTCCTGCTCTGAAGGGGGAAGTGAGTACTGAGCAGTACTCGAGACGGGACAGCACAAGTGACTTGAAGAGTACAACCATTGTGATGGGATCCCTGGATTTGAAAGTTCTCGTAATCCATCCGATCATTTTTCTGGCTGACGCGATATTTGCTTGGTTATGCTCCCTAAACGTTAGATCGTCGGACATCATTATTCCCAAATCCTTGACATGCTGTTTTCCTACTATGGGAAGATTCGATTGTGTTTTGTACCCTGTATTATGTTTCAGATCCTCATTTTTGCCGTACCTGAGTACCTGAAATTTATCACTGTTAAACATCATGTTATTTTCTGCTGCCCAATCAAAAACTTTGTTGACATCTGCTTGTAGTTTTTCAATGTCTTCAGCAGAGGTAATTTTCATGCTGATTTTTGTGTCATCTGCAAAGGACGACACGAAGCTGTGGCGTGTATTTTTGTCTATATCAGATATGAGAATAAGGAACAGTAGCGGTGCAAGGACTGTACCTTGAGGTACAGAGCTTTTAACATCGCTTGGACTCGATTTTATCTGATTGACTGTTACTCTTTGTGTTCTGTTCGACAGGAAATTGAGTATCCAGCGTCCTACTTTTCCAGTTATTCCCATTGACCTCATTTTTTGTGAGCTATCACCTCATGGTCACACTTGTCGAATGCCTTTGCAAAGTCTGTGTATACAACATCTGCATTTTGCTTTTCTTCTAGGGATTCTGTGATTTTGTCATAGTGGTTGAGTAACTGTGACAGACAGGATCTTCCCGCTCTAAATCCATGTTGTCCTGGGTTGTGCAATTCATTGTTTTCCATAAAACTAGAAATTTGATTCCTAATCACTCTTTCAAACACTTTTATTATGTGTGATGTTAGTGCAACTGGCCAATAATTTTTTGCTAAGGCTTTACTCCCCCTCTTGTGCAACGGAGCAATATCTGCAGATTTAAGTGCTGCTGGTATCTCCCCTGTATCCAGGCTCTTTCTCCATATTACGCTGAGTACTCTCGCTACTGGTACTTTACATTTCTTTATGAATATTGAATTCCATGAGTCAAGCCCAGGAGCTGAGTGCATAGGCATATTACCAATTTCTCTTTCAAAGTCTTCCGAGTTTGTGGTAATATCCGTTATATTATCTGCAGCTTGAATGTCATTCATAAAGAAGCTGTCTGGGTCATCAACTTTCATGTTGTTTATTGGTGTGCTAAACATAGCCTCATACTGGCTTCTTAGAATTTCACTAATCTCTTTGTTGTCCTCTGTGTACGTACCTTCATTTGTAATTAACGGTCCAATACTGGTCGAGGTTTTGGATTTTGATTTTGCGTATGTGAAAAAATATTTCGGATTTTTCCTTATCTCTTGTATAGCTTTCTGTTCCAATTCCATTTCCTCAGACTCATATGATCGCTTCAACGTTTGTTCTATTTCCTCAATCTCCCTGCTTAGGCTTGTTTTCCTTGCTTGTGATAGTTGTGTCTGCCGAAGCATTTCCGTTATTTTTTTCCTTCTCCTGTACAGTCGTCTCCGTTCTCTTTCTAGAGTGGTCCTCTTTCTGCCCCTCCTCACAGGTACGTGCTTCAAGCAGACCTTGTAAGCTTCAGCTGTCAGTTGAGCTATTCCCTGTGTGTGGTTCATACCCAAGAGGCATGCCGAATACTTTTTTTTGCAAAATGGCATTTGTTTATTTGAAGCCTGAAGAAGGAAATGTGAACTGTGTGTATGTGTAGGATGAAAATCACAAAGAAAAACAATGTAAAGGTCATATACAAGGAAAAACCATATGACCGAAACTATTTTATTGCATTTGAAATGACAACAATATTTACATATCTGCAAGGATGGCATGTCAGCTGGTGAATGACATGATACAAAGCAATAGACTTTGTGACCTAAGTACTTCGGCTGAGATCATCCGGTCACAGGTGTGGCCAGGGGGGGTCATTGTGCCGCACCCACCTTCCTGCTTTTTCCTTTTTTTGGCTTTGTGGCATTCTTTGAGGAGCCCTCCCCCTAATCCTACGTGCTAGAATACAATCATTTCCCTGTACCCTTACAGCTATTTCCTATGAATTCACACTTGTTCTGTGCCCTTCAAACTACATCCTGCAAATTTACAATTCCATTTCTTACTAAGTGAGTGACCAGCCAACAAGACACAGCGGGGTTAAGGTGCGGCTGCTGTGCTTACAAAGTATGACAGAACCATTGCCTCGGGGTTAAGGAGTGGCTGCTGCATTTTTGAAGCACAACAGTCACTTCCTCAACTGCATGTTGTGCCACTTTTCAAGTGTGACACTAACACCACAGCAACCTTTGTCTCTTGTTAATTTCACTCAGGCTGTGTAACAAGATTCCTTGGGAGGCAAACCTGGGACATCATTACCTTCATTACATTAGACACCACAGTTTGTTTGTGGTAGAAACAGATTTAATAGTTACATAGCTTGCATAAAAGCAGCCTTTGGAAAATATTTACAAGGAGTAATTACAATACATCAAGTATAGCCATAATTGGCAGAGCTTTACAAAATACATAATGAAGGAATACTGATCTAGTCCTGATGATATATACAGCCCTTTTGTATCAAGATCTCAAAGGTGGCTGGGGTGCATTCGATGAAACGATGCGAGGTGATGCAAGACACTGTCGTGGTGGCGGTGCGGCACTGTCTGGGGTCAAAAGTTTGTAGCAGGACAAGACCTGTGGCTCAGATAATTGCAATGTGCAAATAGTACCAGTCAAATTTTCAATTATAATCATATTGTATAAAATTCAACTATATAATACTCATTTGCAAATAATTTTCACTAGAGCCTCAGGTTTGATCCTTAACCGGGCAATCAAAGCATGGTTAGGTAAGTGGATTGACAGGTATGATGTGGGGAGATATATTCTGGTATTTAAAGACCCACAAAAATCTAATAAAATTCTGGTTTCAACTGTTAAATCAAATTTAATTGTGCAACTTATTGGAAACCCACACTATATAGAAAACATCTGATAATAAATTAATCTAAAATTTAGTAAAATAAGGATAAGAATTGCATGAAGCTTTGAAATTGCACCTAAAATAATGTGGAACAATGCCAGCATTTTGGTACCAAAGTTGAAATAAAATTAGCTATGAACTTTAAGCAAACTTTACTGATACAAAGATTTAAAAAAAATCAGCAACTTCAAAGTTTGTCAATACTAGTAGTAACAGTAAAATGCTTTGATGCCCATGTTTATCATTAATTGTGATTAGCCCATCAATTATGAGACTTTTGGGAGTTAGCTGTTAAGGGTCATTTCCCTCCAAAAGAAAAAAAAGGGGTTGGGGAGGAAACAAGCACCTGTTACTCAAATCCCCCAAAACTCATAATTAATGTTATTGTCACAAATGCACAAACTCCAATTTTGCATTACAAAACTTTATGGACCAAAAATCAGTGAAAACACACTGCCTTTAAAATAGAGGCTAAATTTGTACACTTGAAACTTTAACAAACATTTAAAAATATGTCTTCTGGAAAAGGATACTTGCTACACAACCTATGTTTTCACTGATTCATGGGCACGTTTGAAGGGCAGCTCCTGTAATGACCCAAATCATTTCCTTGTGAGAGCAACATTACTCGAAGGAGACTTTCAATGCCATTGTATATAAAAAGAATTCTTTTAATTTACTATATTCGTTAGAAAGATTACTTCCTTCAGGAAATGGCAAAATTCCCAAGAAAATTAATAAAGGTGGACAGGTCAACATCTTCCCCTTCATTCCTTTATGTGATGGACTAGTAAACTACAGTTTGTACACTGGCGAACACGTAGCACGCACTCAAGGAAGGACCTGTGTCCACGCTGCCGTACTGCCACCCACACAACTGTGAGAAGCACGCCCAATAATTACCACCATCTAAACTGGTGGATATGCTACACAATCCATCTGTGGATACACCTTGTGCTATTAAATTCTCTGTTATGGTATACATCTGCAGGGTGTGATTCTCGTTGCAGGATTACAGCAGAGGGCTTCTCATGCCTTTCGGTTGGTTTTGCCGTACAGACCCAGAGGAAAAAAGTATATGGAAGGAAATGCACCTGAAGAATGTAATATCCCTGATTAAATTCAAGAATATAACAATACTAATGACAAGATCACTGGCAAAAGAAAAAAAAAAGCAAATGGTTGTAGAAGACAAATAAATATATAATTATATGTTGGGGACTGGTTGGAAGTTTGGGTCTCTGCAAAATACCTGAGAATCACTGGGTGAAGACTGTACAAAATGGTAGAAATGTACGGCACAACCAACAGAACTGATTTTGACAGGAATATGATGCAGTGTGGTAGGTTCAGCACAATGTCTTTCTTGTCATGCTGCACAAGTCATATATAAAAATAGTTTACAGTTTTGTGTTTCTTTCCAGTGTTAAAGTGAAGCTTCTTCATGCCTACATCTCCAATATTTTTTTTAATATTTTGGAAAGTAATTCTAAAAAATTCTTCAGGGTAAAAATCCTCGTCAAATATGACAAAATAAACGTATTAATACTGCATAGACAACAGTTCGGGCAAAATGGTAGGGTAAAGCATTAAGTGGAGTGTGCCAGAGTCTTGAAGATAATACTGGTGACTAATCACTGCCCTAACACACAGCACAAGTCACGGCTATCATGATAATTGCCAGTGGTGATAAGAGAGATGGAGGTGTACAATAGGGAAAATAAGGCATGCTGAGCTTCGGTATCTTACCATTGCACTTCAGTTGCATGCAGTATAACCAGGACTTGGGAGAATGCATACCAGTATTCAGAAGTAATTTAGAATCGAGGTATTTTTTAATATTACATGGTATGATGCAACTCTTTAATCAAATCAGTTCTACATTTGAAGCTCTTCCCTCCCAAGTGCCTTTACACTGCATTATGGGACACATGGCATCACTAAACAAAGAGGTGGGGATGGTAATCTTGATTGTAATGGTGGAGGCTGAGGAAGGAGGATATGAAAATGTGATTGCTATTGAAAGTCTAGCCAGTAAAAAAAAAAAAATATAAATAAAAATAAAAAATAAAAAATGCTCCTTTCTGATGCTAATTTATAATATTAGGAAAACTACAAAACTGCCTACATGAGTACATAGCTACAGTCACCTCTGCTGGGGCATATAAAGACCAACACTCTCAGTTGATAATACACGACACTCTTTGTAATAAGAAAAGAATTTGTTCGTCACAAATTATAGATTTTGTACACTGACTTGGCACAAAGTGGGCCTTGAAGTTCAAATAATTATGGGATGTCATGTATTTTTGAAGATGCACTAATATTTGACCTATATACAAGTAACATATGGTGCCATACACGACATCGAATAGATTCTATATAATCTTTAGTACAATACAAAAATAAAATAAAAACAATCTTAGAAAAGGAAAACGCAAATACTCCAAGGCCCATGTCATGGAAAAATATGATAAAAACCAGCTAAACTATGTCAAGCCCTGGTGGCTAATCAGGCACATTATCCCTCACTTAGTTAAAATCATGGTCCTTACCTACACCACTACCCATGGAAAAAATACCCCAAATGTAAGTTTAGTCTTTTGGTTTTGAATGAGCAAAGCATGCTGAACAATTTTGTCGTGTACATAATTCATTCTCTTGGGCTAATATAATAAAAATGTGGTTCGTGGGCTTGGCTAAAAAATTTGTGGTTGCCACGTAACTGAGGGTGAAGACTTGAGATCTGCCCCAGTGTAGGGATTATGGAATGTAGCACTCCTGCTGATGTCAAAATGGCTGCTCTCTCTGGTGGTATGGGGGTTTAATACTTGGCAGTAAGACTAAATGATATGGCAAGTCCTCATCAGTACACTACATTACTCATTTTCTCGTAATTCTTGGACCATTCACTGATAATTATTGACACAATAATAATAAAATAATAATAATAATAATTAAGACTGTACACTATATAACACGTCTACAGGAATGCATCATATGTACAGCACTGACACGAGGCACCAAACCCATGCCCAATAAACCACTTTAATCGTTTATCAATGATGCAAATTCACCAAAATCAAACTCAAAGTCTGTTGGTGGTGCACTGCCACTAGAGGTGGGCGGGTTGGGAGTTGATGGTTGTGATGTCCGTATACTACTATTACCATCATTGGCAGGCCTCTGATTACCCACTGAGGTTTGAGGTGCATTTGGTCCATTATTCACTGCAGCTGGGCCACCTTTTACCCTACTCAAGTTCATATTAGCCTGTGGTCCACTTCCTGGACCTTGAATAGGCTGTACCTGGTTCATGGGACTCTGGCCAGGTCGAGGGCCAGAAGAACTCCCAGGAGTCTGACTCATACCCCCAGGATTTTGGTTCATACTTCCAGGATTCTGGTTCATGCCCCCAGGATTTTGACTCATGCCACCAGGATTTTGGTTCATACCACCAGGTGAGCCACGATTCATGGGTCCTGCAGTGCTTCCAGGAGTTTGACCTCCCAGTGTTGGTGCTGCAGCGGCTGTTTGTGCTGGTTGCTGCCCTTGCTGCTGAGACATGCCTGGGTTACTCAAGGGTCGTGTTGGGCCACCCTGCCCCATGCCAGGGTTGCTCAGTGGTCTAGCTGGTCCACCTTGGCTCATAGTGGCAGGACTACGAGGATGCATTTGGCCCATGGTAGCAGGGGAGCGTGGGTGTGCCATGCCACCCATGTTGGCTGGACTGGAAGCTTGGCCAGGACCACTCATCTGACCCATGTTAACTGGACTGGCCCCACCCATCTGTCCCCTATTTGCAGGACTCATGGGGTGGCCTGGTCCACTCATCTGAGCCATGGCAGCTGGGCTGCGAGCACCAGTCATACCAACCATAGCTGCAGGGTTTCTGGCTTGAGCAGCAGGATTAGTCAACATCTGGTTAGGTCCAGTAGGAATCTGTCCCATAGAAGTCATCTGTCCTTGTTGTCCAGGGTATTGAGAGGTCACCTGAGCACCACCCATACCTCCAGCTTGGCTCATGTGTATGCCCATTCGTACCTGAAACATAAGATAATGTAAATACAGTACTGTACAAAGCCTTACAAATTATGAAATGAGAATTCTGTCAGATTACTGAATATACCTAATGACAGATGATTTTGCAAAAAGAGAACTTAAGTAATTTTTTCAGCATCATTGCTTCTCTGACTGAATCTATGACCTCTTGTTCTTGAAGTTGCAGTTCCCACAATTCCTCTGTCAATTTTTTTTATTCCTGTTCCTATTTTTGTATGTAGCGATATCACCGCCTCTATTTCTTCTATCTTACAGCTTTGGGATATTTTTCACTTTTAGCCTCTCCTCATAGCTCTTTTTTTTCAGTTACAAAAGTCATTTAGCAGCATATCTTTGCACTTTTTTCAAAGTTTGTTGATGTGCTTCTTGAGACATGGGCACCATACAACCACTGCAAATTCAAATTATGGTCTCACAAAAGTCCTGCATGGGGAATTACTAGGGGTCCATAGGCTACTAGCTAAGCAGGACATCCATGCACTAGAGACATTCACCAAAAACAAGAGAGACACTGAATGCAGCCTGTAAAAACGTGGTTACAAATTATGTCCACAGTATGAAGAATAAACAAAGAGTGTGTGTACCCTTGCGAAGATGCACTTAACCCAGCGTCCACACAGGAGTCAACGTCTCATGAACTGTCTAGGGTGAAGTTCTTCATCCTATTAACAGGCTGAACTCCCGAACACACCAGATCTAATTCTGGCAGTGCTGAGGAAGCACTAAAATGAGCACATAGTACATGTAGCTCAAAGAGCAAAACAAGCCAAGTTCACAACCAAGCTGGCAAGAATACACATACAAGAGGCTAATACCAAAATATACAAAAACATAAGCATATGGCCCCATCATGACAAAGTCCAAAGCATGACCAGCATTTAGCATAAGAAGCAGCGGGACATGCCGCGATGGATGATAACCCGGAAAGCACTACTACACTGTATTTATACAACTGTATCAGTGACAGGAGTAACCAACAGAGGTGTGGCCCAAGGTGGTTCGGACCCTTGGCCCACACCTGCCAAGGAACAAACAAAACAATAGACAAACAAAAGGAATCAATGGTGGCAGCTATCAGTACTAGTTAGGAGTTAATAACTTGTTTCACATAAATAGTAGTTAGAATCATTTCACCATTCAGTGCTTCATTTTCTATGAACCTTGAAGTTGTCTTTGCCATCTTTATGGATGCCATCTCAGTGAGTGATGATAAAAGTCCAATGCTCTCTGCACCTCTATGGGGGGATGGGGAAAAGCAGCAAGTTGTGTGTGTGTGTGGTTATTGACAGGCCTAACAGGATTTCTGCAACTGATGTGATCCAGAAGTGGAGAGTCATCTCGGTGAAATAACTTCAGGGAGCCACCAGGGGACTCCTCCCAGAAAAAAAAATGTACATCAGAAGAAGGAAGAAAATATTTAATTTGTTAGCTACCTTGAGGTTACCTTGAGGTGTCTTCGGGGCTAAGAAAAATCTAAGCAAAGCCAATTTTAATAGTAAAGGGTTTGATGAATGGCAATACGCGGGTATGAACTCTGTAAGCACTGACGGTCTTACAATAACCACCGATATCTACATAAATATTTTTCCTGTACTTAAACATTTATCTTAACTGTATTACAGTATTACCTTTTTGACACCTGAAAGAGCCGTCTGCTGTATCTTAGCTGATTCTGCCTGTAATATCAAGATAAGTTCTTTATTTCTCATGTAAGAACAACAAAAGGAATCAATGAAAAAATCCAAACTTCTGTTTAACCTTGCATCACCAACAGTGTATTATCTTATAGTGTAGTGTAAAAGAATTTTATTTTTGTTTATATATTATATATACGTACTGTATATACATATATTTCAAATACAAACATCCTTTAAACGAATGTTGTATACATGTGTGTGGGGGTAACAGCCAATCATTGGTGTAGTAGTATTAATAGTGTGATAGTCAGTGAGGCGATTCCTAGCCTTACAGGTGATCATCGTGAGCATAGCGTTTATAGTAATTTACATATGTATGTACAGTAGAACCTCGGGTAGTGAACGTCCCTCTTTACAAATTTTTCGGGTTACAAGCTAAATTTCTTAGGAAAACTCGAATTGGGTTACGACCTTTGCTCGCCTTGCGACTTTGTTGATACACGTATGGGTTGACTGAGCGTGTGGTTTCTGGTGGCATGGGCGAGGCGTACTTAAGTTTACCAGTGTCATCCATGACGATCGGACTTGAATATTGTATTTGGGAGGAGAACAGGATGGATGGATGGTGAGGGAACTGGATGGATGGATGGATGGTGAGGGAACTGGATGGATGGATGGTGAGGGAACTGGATGGATGGATGGTGAGGGAACTGGATGGATGGATGGTGAGGGAACTGGATGGATGGATGGTGAGAGAACTGGATGGATGGAGGTTACCATGAGGTGATTCCGGGACTTAGCGACCTCACAGCCCGATCGTCGACCAGGCCTCCTTGTTGCTGGACTGGTCAACCAGGCTGTTGGACGCAGCCGCGTCCAACAGTCCGCGTATGAATCACAGCCCGGTTGATCAGGTATCCTTTGGAGATGTTTGTCAAGTTCTCTTGAACACCGTGAGGGGCCGGGCAGTTATGCCCCTTATGTGTAGTGGAAGCGTGTTGAACAGTCTCGGGCCTCTGATGTTGATAGTTCTCTCTCAGAGTACCTGTTGCACCTCTGCTTTTCAATGGGGGTATTCTATACATCCTGCCATGCCTTCTGGTCTTGAGGTTATCTTGAGGTTATCTTGAGATGATTTCGGGGCTTTTAGTGTCCCCACGGGTCTCATGTGATGTTATTTCTGTGTGCAGGTTTTGAGAGTTTATCTGCTCCCAAAGCCCAGCCCAGGGCCAGGCTTGACCTGTGAGAGCTTGGTCCAACAAATTGTTGCTTGGAGATGCCCACAGGCCCATATATCCACTACAGCCCACTTGGTCCAGCATGTCTTGAAGAAAGATTCTATTAAAGGTGTTCACGTTTGTTCCTGCAATATTTCTTATACTCACTGGGAGTATGATGAACAACTGTGGACCTGTGATGTTCATACAGCATTCTCTGATTGTGCCTGTGGCATCCCTACTCCTCACTGGTTCTATTCTGCATTTTCTTCCATCTTGTTCACTCCAGTACGTTATTTTACTGTGTAGATTTGGGACCTGGCCCTCCAGTATTTTCCATGTGTGTATCTTGAGGTTATCTTGAGGTTATCTTGAGGTTATCTTGAGATGATTTCGGGGCTTTAGTGTCCCCGCGGCCCGGTCCTCGACCAGGCCTCCACCCCCAGGAAGCAGCCCGTGACAGCTGACTAACACCCAGGTACCTATTTTACTGCTAGGTAACAGGGGCATAGGGTGAAAGAAACTCTGCCCAATGTTTCTCGCCGGCGCCCGGGATCGACCCCGGGACCACAGGATCACAAGTCCAGCGTGCTGTCCGCTCGGCCGACCGGCTCCCTATATCTTGAACAGTGAAAGGATCAGCACAAACCACGATGGGCATCATCCTTCTGTGATGCTTAAGAACAGTAAGTTTCCGCAGAAGAGGAACCAAACAAAGATAGCGTAACGACCCAGAAATCCGACTCCACTGATAATCTACCCCAACCAGCAGCAGGTGCGGCCTCAGCCCTACTGATCTGCCTCTGTAAACAAGGGACAGAACCCAGAGAAACCAACATCTGATTGATAGGCCTGCAAAATGTAGCAGGCATGGAAAGGAATTGAACAGTAACATTTTTTGGAAAGAGGCGAGAGGGAAAGCAAGACAAAAGAGCTAAGAACCAGGCAGAATCTAAAGACTGGACCAGTACAGCCTGCTGACAGATAAGTGGGTCAATTAAAACACTACCACATTCTCATCAAGTACAATGGAACCTCGGTTGACGACTGCCGTAGAGTACAAATTTTTTGGTTGACAACGTCAAATTCGTCATAAAATTTGAATTGGTGTATGACGGTTTACTTGGAAGACGACGTCTGTTAGTACGCGTATGGGTCAAACGAGCACAAGGTGCTGGGGATGTGGGGCAAGGCACTCTCAGTGTGTTTACATGTCTATCCCGCGAAGTGACAACCGCAGCCGCGCTTGAATTCCTTGTGAAGAATTTCACCGTTTGCCTGCTTTTTTTTTTTTACATAAAAGTTCTTATATATCACGCCATGGGTCCCAAGAAAGTCAGTGGTAAAGTTCAACCTAAGAAAATAGTTGTGAGGATGACGATAGAGAAAAAACAAGAGATCATTCATATGAGAATGTGATATCTCACTACAGACAAGTGTTAAAACTTAAGGAAAAACACGTATCTATAGACAGATTCTTAGTAAGACAAGCAAGCAGTGAGACACAACCAGTTCATATGCCAACAAAGAGTCCTCATTCAATATAAGATATACATGCTGCATTGTAGCTAGTACAAAATGTGTTATTCAGTATAAAATGTATTTTTAAGTTAATATTTTTAAGGGTTGTGGAACGGATTAATTCAATTTTCATTATTTCTTCTGGGAAAATTGCTTTTGGTTGCCAAATTTTTGGTTAACGACACGTCTCTGGGAACAGATTCCGATCGTAAACGAGGGTACCATTGTATTGGTGCGAACCATTTAGCAAGGGGCACCGCAGCCAAAACTGCGAGCAACAAGTTCTTTGTACCCAGCAACAGGCCAAGCGAATCCACATCCTCCTGCAGCCAATGAGTAAAAAGCTCCAGGATGGCATGTCAGATCGTCAAAAAGTGAGAACAAGCCTTGTGGTCCTCCACAATAAGGGCTCCAGAAAGCAAAGGCAGCTGTATGTAGAGTTGCTACTTGCCTACATCCTTGGACAAAGCTAAAGCCAATAAGCAGTTGTCAAGTGACAAATAGATTCAGTTGCCCAAAACTACCTAAAAAACGTTACTCGCCTCACAGCAATCAAGCATACAGGAACAACAGAATCCATGCCAGGTCCTGATGGAAAACATTGCCTGCCAGCCAGGATGAATCTGGAACATTGTAATGCAGCCAGAAAGGCAAGGCAGATCCTAACTCGTAAGATACTGGGACCAACAAGGAAGCACGGTTCAAATCCACAAAAATAAATACCAAAAAATATTCCCACGAGCCTCAGAAGGCGAAATTTGAAAAGACAGAAATCTACAGAAAGATGTACAGTATCTGGAAGATTGTAAGGCACATAGAAATTAAAAAATTTTGGGCTGCAGACAAATTACACACTTGTATTTTTAAGAGTTATGAAAAATCCTCTCCCTCTGAAGCAAAAGTCCCTCCACAGAGGGCACTAAAGTCCATCGGGCTTCCCCATACCACCAGGAGCCTGCCAAGAAAGCCTCATGACTGACCCTCTGCCATCCACCTAATGCCTGGGATAGAATGGTGTCCTCTCAAGGAGATGGAAGAAAACAGCTCAGAAGTCGAAAACTCTTAATTCCCCGAAAGGACCAGGTGCCTTAATTGCCTCAAAAAAGATGGGGTAGAAGGCCAAGCTAAACCCTGCCCTATCTCCACAACCCTCAGATGCTTCAGAACCAATCAGGGAGGATAGAGAAACAAAAGCAGGGCAAACCACACCTGCAGGTTAAAGAGGTGGTGGTACGGAGGAAACCAAGGTGGAATTTACCAACCCCTCCAATTCTGTATTCCTAAATACACTACAGGCCAACTCTAGGGCATCCAAATGAGCATGAAGCTCCAAATGCTGAACACGAGAAAAGCTTACCTATAATGTGGTAGCTGCCTGATAAGATTCCACTTCAAAAGTAGGATCAGATAAAATAGACTCTGGAGGCACACACCACAGGACTCAAGGTCATAGGTGATGCCAACCCAACAGGCAACATGGCAGAGAGAAAGAATGATCATTGCCAAGAAGCAATGCTGATGAACATCCCTCAAACTTGTAAACATTGTTAGCAGATTCAATGGACTGATCTAAGGAGAAGCACACAAACACAGCAGGGAAATTGCCAGGGCCTGAAGTCAAACAGGACACCCAGGCACAGGGGATGTTTGCCAAAAGACAATCGCCTCGAGGAGCCACAAAATCAAGGCTATGCAGGGCACTTGCAGCATGCCATATGGACAAGTGCACAAACCAGAGTACACTAGACACACACAGGGAGCTGAAGGATTAATTCATTATTATCTACGTGTTAGTAGGAGGCAAAGAGGCAACACGTGGTGTCCCAAGTACTTTAACCCATGCACTGCACATATTGCTTTAAGGCGCTTGACCAGTGGGGGCTCATAGCACTTTTTTGCACTTGAGGGTCTCCCATCGGTCACATGGTTGAAAAACCACTCAAGAGGATGAAATACAGAACACATTATTTGATAAGGACTGCACTGGAGCACGGTGTTCACTCATTAACCAATAAAGACCTCAAACAATCAGCAGATGTGAGTGATAAGGACACTGATGACAACATTACAGTAAGCATGTACAGCATGGATATCTCACCATCAGAAAGGGGCATTTCGTTATATTTAAGATAAAATTTTGTATTCTTCAGGCTGCTGAGGGACAACTCTATCAACATCAAGAGCCCAAGACTTTTCAACACTATCACGCTACACGTAAGGAGCATAACTGGCCAGCCTCTCACAGTGGTCAAGACAAAACTCGACAAACACCTCCAAAGAATACCCGATCAACCTGGCTGGGATTCATATGTCAGGCTGCGAGGAGCCACATCCAACAGCCTGGTTGACCAGACGAGCAACCGGGAGGCCTGGTGTGAGACCGGGCCGTGGGACCGTTGATCTCCGGAAGCTACACAAGGTAGCCACAAGGTAGGCCAGACACATTGTCAGAGATTGGACTGCAGGGGCAGTGACTCCAGGCAACTTCAGGGTAGAGGCTAAATATAAAATGACCTATTCACCCTAAGTATGATACTAACCCCCTAGAGCTCTTTCCCGAGAAGATTTCACAAAAGGTACAGCAAATATTTGATCCTATGTAAAATTAATTAAAATTGGAACAAAACAAAACAGTCAACCCTTGAATAACTATACAATGGAATGGAGAGATCTGAAAGTAATCATGTTGGAAGATCTTAGTTTTGAGAAGCACAAGACAATAATTGCAAAAATGATGACAGTCTGATTAATAAAAACTTACAAAATGTGTAGAGAATGTTCACTGTCCACATTCATAGTCATAACATTAATTAGTAAACCTAAACCCCCTTAAAACTGTCTTCCTTGGAGTCAATGCAATACAGATTTACCATAACCTATTCCTTCCTGGTCAAAAACTATCAACTGGGTTGTGATTCAACCATTTATTTTTACAATAAGCAAAATTCCTCATGAGCAAAAGACAAACAATTAGTAGAGTATTCACACCAACAGGAAAAATACATTATCGTATTTTGCAAAAATACAAAATACATTACAGTACTCTATACAGAAGCAGCTAAAACAGTTAAATATAGCTTGCTATAAATGGTCAAAATGAACACTACAACTAAGTTAAGCACATACCTGTCCTTGTTGAGTCAAGGCAACCATATTAGCTTGCATCCTTGGATTCCCTTGCATAGTTGGACCACCTTGCATACCAGGTCCACCTTGCATACCAGGTCCGCCTTGCATGCCAGGTCCGCCCTGCATGCCAGGTCCGCCCTGCATGCCAGGTCCACCTTGCATGCCAGGCCCACCTTGCATGCCAGGTCCGCCTTGCATGCCAGGTCCGCCCTGCATGCCAGGTCCGCCTTGCATGCCAGGTCCACCTTGCATGCCAGGTCCGCCCTGCATGCCAGGTCCGCCCTGCATGCCAGGTCCTGGTTGCATTCCTGGTGTCCCCTGCATACCAGGGCCACCTTGCATGGATGGGCCTTGTTGCATTGCCATAATGTTCATCATCTGATTAGGTGGACGTTGCATTCCAATTATTTGACCACCCTGGCTCATCATGGCACCTAGTTAAGAGAAACACCATGTTATATTGGTAAGAGAAACACCACATTATATCATTAAATGTACAACAAAAGATAACATCTTAATGCATTTTTCTCTCCATTACCTGTTCCCACTCTCATGTAGTGCAGGCACATTATTTTTTTTGTTAAGTTATACAAGAAAGGGCTAAAAAAAATGAAAAAGATGTCATATCCATTGACAGTACCTTCCACACTACCATGCATACTGCACAGAATGCAGCAACAGTTCATATATGTTTTACAAATTGCACAGTTTATACACGCAGCAACATGTATAATCCAGACAGTTATAGTTTAACAAAACATACCCATGGCTTCATACAATTCAGCATAAAGTGCTTCCTTTCAGTCATTTAAAATTATGCCAAACAAATTCATTCTTACCACTCTTGATTCCATCTAACCTTATCCCTTACTACCTGGACCATACATGGAGAGGGGTTTTGGGAGTTCCTCTACACTTTTCCAGATTGAGGCCAGACTTGACTTGTGATTAACTGGTCCAACAGACTGATGCTTGGAGCAGCCCACAGGCCCCCATATCCACTATAACTCGGCTGGTCTGGCATTTCTTCCAGGAGCTTAGTCTAATTTTTTCTTCAAAAAGACCACTTTTTTTCCACCATTATTTCTAAATGCTTGCTAGGAGGGTACTAAATAGCCATGGATCACTGATGTTCATGCAGAGTTCTCTGATTATGCTTATGGCACCTCTGCTCTTCACTGATTCTATTCTACATTTCCTCTCATATTGTGTGCTATAGAATATTGTTATTTTACCATGTAAATTTGGGACCTGGCCTTGTAATATCTTCCATATATGTGATACCCCTTTCTTCTTACTTTCTAGAGTAAATTTTGAGTTCTGAGATGGTCCCAATAGTTTATATTGTTTAACACTTTCGCCCGGTGACGACTCAGCATTGAGTCCTCCGTAAAACACGGGCAAGTTCGGTGAGGACTCAGCATTGAGTCCTCCGTAAAACACGGGCAAGTTCAGTGAGGACTCAGCATTGAGTCCTCCGTGCGGCAACAGTAGTGGCATTTTCGGAAATTTCTTGGACATTATATGCATATACTCTTGTGGTGAATTTCGTTGCGAATACATTGATACCAAAATGAAAGTCCTAGGACCAGAATTGAGGTAACAAAGTTGAAAACAGAATACCCATTTTATTGCTCTTTATTAGCGCTCACGGGGGTAACGCTCTGTCACTTTCACTGCTTGTTGTGGATGGTACGCCGGGCTTTTGGACTTTATATTTACATACTCCTGTAGGAAATTCTTTTGCGAACACAATGATACCAAAATGAAAGACTTAAGACGAGAATTGAGATGTCCAAAGTGAAGTGTACACATTTTATTGCTCTGGCTCGCTCGTGGATAACACGCTCTCACTTTCTCACATTCTCACCGGGCTTTTGGGCTTTATATGCATTTAATCCTCTAGAGAATTCTATTGCAAACACATTGATACCAAATTGAAAAGCCTAGGATGAGAATTGAGATGACAAAGTTGAAAAGAATATTCACTTTTCATAGTGAGAAGCGCCTTTGTTTAATATTTTTAAGTTATTTTTTACATAATTCAAATATTTTTCGCTACCAGGCCCCCAATGTGTGCGGTAATATGCGCGGTCTAAGGGTTAAGGCAAGCGCCCTTTAAGGGTTAAGAGGCTAGTGCGTAAGTTGGAGAATTGGGCAGGATGATCCAGTGGTAAGGGAGTATCAAAGCAATAGGAAGCAGAGCGTTACTGCGAGGGGGGTAAGGTCTCAGGATGGCGAGATATCACGAGCAGTGTCCCACAGGGTTCTATACTTGGACCTATCCTGTTTTTGATAAGACGTAAATGATCTTCCAGAGATTATAACTCATTCCTGTCAATGTTTGCTGATGATGCTAAAATTAAGAGAAGGATTTAGACAGGAATGCACGAGACTACAAGATGACCTGGACAGACTGAAGGAATGGTTCGACAAATAGCTATTAAGAGTTTAATTCGAGCAAATGCAAAGTACTGAAGTTAGGGGTAAGGAGCAGGAGACCGGATACAAGTTACCATTTGGGAGATGAAAACCTTCAAGAATCTGAGAGAAAGACCTGAGAATTGATATCATGCCAGACTTATCCACTGAAGCCCACACCAAGATGATATCATCAGTGGCATATGCTACATAGGCCAACATAAGAACTGCCATTAGTCTTGTATAAGGAAATCATATAGGACCTTGTATACAGTACCATATATATGTCAGACCGATCCTGGAGTATGCAGCTCCAGCGTGGAGTCCATATCTAGTCAAGCACAAGACTAAATTAGAGTATGTTAAAAGGTATGCCACCACACTGGTATCTGAGCCGAGGGGTATGAGCTACAAGGAAAGCCTACGAGAACTGAACCTCATGTCGCTGGAAGAAAGAAGATTTGGGGGAGACATGATCACCACATACAAGATTCTCAGAGGAATTGATAAGGTAGATAGACACAGGTTATTTAACACAGGTGGTACACCCACAAGGGAACACAGGTGGAAACTGAACACGGTACTCAAATGAGCAATAGACATATTAAAAGGAACTTTTTTAGTGTCGGTAGTTAACAAATGGAATGCAGTTGTTTGCAGTTGTGGAATGTGGAATGCAGTCATGGCATTGTTGTGGTGCAGGCGTACTCCATACACATTTTCAAATGTAGATATGATTGAGCCCAACAGGCTCAGGAATCTGTACACCAGTTGATTTACAGTTGAGGTGTGGGATCAAAGAGCTGAAGCTCAACCCTTGCAAGTACAACTATGCGAGGACATTTTCTTCACTTTCCAATCACCTTTCATCACCATGCATATTGCTAATTTCATGGTAGTGTTCTATACTCTTTCAATCATTATCCTGGCATACACGTAGGAAACCTAATGCCTCTTATAGTTCTTACACTTACGACAATCATTTATATTTATATGAAGGTGCAATCATTACTAATTTATAATCACCCACAGGGTTCACATTACAATTATATAACTACAAATATAATTCAATTAAAAATTTCACAGTACAATACCAATGACCAAATAGCATTATCTATTATAAGTTATCAATTATATATAGTGTAGTGTATATTAAATTATTCAATATGAAACCCACACAGACTAAGCAGAATATACATAAATCATAGCAGAATAAAATCAATAAATCATTATAGTGTAGGTGTACTAACCTTGCTGTGGTTGTTGCTGAGGATATCCTGGCCTCATTGGTCCAATCATCTGCATGTTACCCTGGCTGCCCTGCATCATAATCTGGCGCCATTCAGGTCTTGAAGGAGGCATCTGTGTTCCAATATTGAGTCCACCAGGTCCTGGGCCAATGTTAACATTAGGTGGTCGAGGTCTTTGTAACATGCCACCAGTGGCCATGGGTGTGCGACTAACCATACCCATGGTACCGGCTGTGCTGACTTGACCTAGGCTATTACTCATGTTACTAGCTGATATAGTCCCCACACTCATGGTAGGCATGGAAGCCCCAGTAATGGTACTACTTGGCATACTAGATGTGGGATTCATGGTTGTAGTTGGTACCATACCAGGCTTCATGGTGGGCATATTAGGGGGTAATGTTTGCTGTGTCATACCACCCATCATTTGACTTGTCCCCATATTGACCATAGGGCCACTAACCATACCTGGTCTCATATTTGGTCGCATGCCTTGGTAGCTCATCTGACCCATATTTTGACCCATCTGGGACATTGGCTGGGGCATAGGTTGACCCATCATCTGTTGCTGCTGCTGCAATAGTGTAACTTGCCGATATTCGGGCGGTGGTGGACGAGACATCATCTGGCCAGTCTGACCGACCATCTGACCCCCTGCTGGAGTCACATGTCGCATCATGGTGCCTGGGCCCATCATCTGTTGGCCAGGATATCGTGGTGGTTGTGGCTGGCTCATAGCATACTGCCCACTCATCTGGCCCTGGTAGAACATCTCATTACTCATTTTGCCATCTGCTCCCATCTGACCACCCAGCTGTCAGAGAAGGACAGGTAACCCAGTCTAGATTAGTAGTAAAAGCATTCTAACCCCCCAACCCCTAAATAAAACTTCCAAATTATACCAAAAACAGATGTACATACATCATCACTATACTGCTTCCAACTTTAATGGGAAGGGAAATCATATACAGTATTTATTAACTTTGTTTGCACATATATATGTAGAAACCAGCAACTAACACAATCATCAAACCAATGTCTACCTAAATGCCAAGAATGCACTGGCTACCCCCATTTTGCCCTAACAGGTGACAAAAAAACAACGTTAAATGTAATGAAACGCCATTTACTCGGTGAGACCCGGAGGCTCCTTGGAGCTGTCCGGGCTGATATGAATGTATTAGTCCCTGGCATCAGTCAATATGCATGGAGTTCTAGACCTACCGAGGACCAAGAACCTAGCCCCCTTAGAGAGGCACGAGGAGCAATGGCCTATAGAAACTCATGTGGTTGGAAGCATTCTATGTCTACCATCTACTGGGTCAGGCACCCAGAAAGGTAAATGCCTCAAAACAAACCCCTATTCTGGTTAAAATATTGTTACTGAAAGCCAAACTAGTGGACAGAACTCCCTAATTGAAAACAAGCAAACGAGCACGACGTCACCGGGCCGCTGTCTGCCCAACTTTCCCCCCCTCCTCTCCCCGGGAGGGAAAAGGGGAGCCCCAGACTACCGTGTCGGCTATCCACCCTGCAGTTCTTAGGCTGGATGTCAAAATATGTGAAAAACCCGCTGACTGGAAGGAGGGAGGGTTGCCAGGGAGCCTCTAGGTCTTACCCAAAAAAGGCACTTATTTACATTCGACGCTGGTTTTCTGGGGGGAGCCCCAAAGAGACTTTCCCAGAGACAATAACAAGAGGGACTTACCCTGGAGGCAGTCGGCCCTCACTCCTCAACGCGAAGTCGAGACAACTGGCTGCAACCGCCGACCCAATGTGGCACAAACCCGACTAGCCCCAGGAACGTTGACAAGGTAGTGAGCACCCAGGACCCTGTTTGTCCTCCAAAAACCCCATGCCAGAATGTCAGCGCAAGACATTTAACCGAAGATGGCAGCCTGCGCAGCAAACTTACGAACGATAGACGTAAGGATAGCACGAGGGCACGAGGATAGACCGCAGGCTGGATGGACTGAATAACCCTGCGGATGACCTGGAAGACCCGAACCCTGGAACAGGGAAGGAAAACCGGGTTAACCCAAAGAGCATCCCCGGCCACCAAGGCAGTGGTGCGCAGATAACGGTGGAGAGCCTCATCCGGACACAACACGTTATCACCCCCCCAAGACAGACCAACCAATAGATCAGAGCCTTCCAACAAAACTTGGAAGGCTTTGATTCGAAAGTGTCACAGACCCAACAGGCAGCATGACTGAGGCACAACCGGTGAGTGTCACCCTGAGACAAGGGGACAGAGCAGCCTTCAAACTCGCACAAAGCAAGTGAGGACGCAGGGGTCGCATCCATTGGACTAAAGAGCCCTCGGGGGGGGTTTCCCAAGCTCCTTAGTTGCATTATCTTGCTAAGGGACGCCCAGGCAAGGTACTGCTAACCAGCACCCAAAAACTACCAAGCAAACTCCTAAAGCTGAACCCCCGGGACATGTTGACCAAATCACACACTAGAAAGTGAAGGGACGACGACGCTTCGGTCCGTCCTGGACTATTCTCAAACCCACGAGGAGGTTTGTGCCTCTCTGAGGGGGCCACTTTTTGGCTCGTGGTCCTCGGTAGGCCTAGAACTTCATGCACATTGACTGATGCCAGGGTCTAATACATTCATATCAACCCGGATAGCTCTGGGGAGCTGAAGGGGCTCCCAAGAAACCAGCGTTGAATGTAATGAAACACCATTTTCTGTGTGAGCCCCGGAGGCTCCCCGGAGCTTACTGGGCTGATGTGTGTGTATTAGACCATGGCATCAGTCGACTGGAGTTCTTGCCTACCGAGAACCATGAGCTAGAATCTTGTCCCCGTCAGAGACGCCAGGTTTTAACCTGGCCTCTAACATCACACACAGAAGGTTTTGAAAAAGTGATTAGTAGTCAAATCAACCAGTTTTATAGAAAACAGTGAACTTCACAACCAAGGTCAATGTGGATTTAGAGCAGGAATATCCTGCCTTTCATAATTAGTCAACACCCGTGACAAAATCATAGAAAGCATTAGAAGAAAAAACAAAACAAAATGCAGATGCAAAGGCACTTGATAAGTCTGAGCGCATAAAGTGAAATCAATCGGAATATCAGGTACCTGGATTGTACCTTGATGGGGTTCTGGGATTTCTTCTACTGCCCAAGCTTGGCTCGGGGTCAGGCTCGATTTGTGAGAGAGCTTGCTTGGTCCAACAGGCTGTTGCTTGGAGCAGCCCCCGGGCTCACATATCTACCACAGGCCGGTTGGTCTAGCACTTCTTCACTAGAAAACTAGTTTTCTTCAAGATGTCCACGTTTGTTCCGGCAATATTGCTTATACTCACTGGGAGTATGTTCAACAACCTTGTATCTCTGATATTCATGCAGTGCTCTCTGATTGTGCCTATGGCACCCCTGCTCTTCAATGGTTCTATTTTGCATTTATTTCATATCATTCACTCCAGTATATTGTTTTTTTACTTTGTAGATTTGGGACCTGGCCCTCCAGTATTTTGCATGCGTATAACATTTGACATCTATCTTGTCTCCTTTCTAGGGAGTACATTTGGAGAGCATCAGCAACCTCTCCCACTCTGAAGGGGAAAGTGAGTATCGAGCATTACCCCCAAGATGGGACAGCACAAGTAATTTGAATAGTACAGTATTGTGATGGGCTCCCTGAATTTCAAAGTTCTCGTAATCCATCCTATCATTTTTCTTGGCTGACGTAATATTTCCATGGTTATGTTCCCAAAACGTTAGGACATCACACATTATTCCAAGATCCTTTACATGCTGCTTTCCTACTATGGTACATTTGACTGTTTTGTACCCTGTACAGTATATTGTTTAAGGTCCTCATTTTTACCGTAGCCGAGTACTGTACCTGGAACTTATGACTTAAACATTTTGAAACAATGCTGTTTGTTCACCAACTTATACAATTGCTGATTTCTGCCATGTTCCCCACCTTTTTTATTTTTCATTCATTTTTTCAACACAATTTATATCTAATCCCAATTACTATTAAGTTTTAGTCTAAGTGTTTTTTTCCTCCCACACCTTGCCCGAAACGCTATGCGTATTAGTGGCTTTAGGTATTGTATGTACTGTACTAGCTCGATCTATAAATCCAATATTATGTTTTAAATCAATTATGAATGTACTTTTCCTGAATACAAAATTTAATTTAATTTATTTTAATTTTCTGCTGCCTAGTCGAAAACTTTATTAATATCTGCTTGTAGTTTTTCAATGTCTTCAGCAGAGGTAATTTTCATGCTGATTTTGTCTCATCTGCAAAGGATGATACGAAGCTGTGACTTGTATTTTTGTCTATACAGTATATGATATGAGAATAAGGAAAAGCAGTAGTGCAAGGACTGTACCCCGAGGTACACAACTTTTAACTGCGACTATTTTATTTGGTTGACTGTTACTCTGTGTTCTGTTAGACAGAAAATATAATATCCACCGTTCTACTTTACCTGTTATTCCCATTGACTTCATTTTGTGTGCTATGACTCCATGGTCACATTCATCAAATACCTTTGCAAAGTTTGTATATACCACAATTGAATTCTGTTTTTCTTCTAATGGTTCAGTGATTTTGTCGTAGTGGTCAAGTAGCTGCAAGAGGCATGATCTTCCCACTCTAAATCCATGTTGGCCTGGGTTGTGGAGGTCATTAATCTATAAAACTGGTGACCTAATTCCTAATCACTTACTCAAATACAGAACATTACTTTTATTATGTGGGACATTAGTGCAACTGGTTTATAATTTTTAGCCAATGCTTTGCTCCCTCCCTTGTGTAAAGGGGCTATGTCTGCTGCTTTAAACGCATCTGGTATCTTCCCCCATGTCCGAGTTCTTCCTCTACACTATACTGAGTGCCTGTACTACCGGCACTTTGCATTTCTTTATAAATATTTTAAGGGTAAAGTAGGGCGTTGGATTTAAAATATTCTATCAAACAGAATGCAAAGAGTAACAGTCAATCAAATAAGATCACTTACACCACAGTCCTTACACCCCTTACACCATTAGGAAAGAGATGGTTGGGTTGACTGCATCAACCTGGACCTAAAACAGGTTTTCGACAGTTCCACATAAAAGGTTCTTCTGCAAACTGGAACATATTGGAAATGTGACAGGTAGGCTTCTAACATGGCTGAAAATTTTTCTAACTGACAGAAAATGAGGGCAGTAATCAGAGGCAATGTATTGGACTGGAGAAATGTCATGAGTGGAGTACCACAAGGTTCAGTTCTTGCACCGGTAATGATCATTGTCTACATAAATGATCTACCAGATGGAACACAGAATTATATGAACATGTTTGCTGATGATGCTAAGATAACAGGGAAGATAAGAAACTTAGATGATTGTCATGCCCTTCAAGAAGACCTGGACAAACAAGTGTATAGAGCACCAATTGGCAAATGAAATTTTATTGTGAATAAATGCCATGTTTTGGAATGTGGAATAGGTTAACAGACCCCCCCCCCCACACACAACTTATAAATTATGTGAGAAATCTTTAAAGAATTCTGTTAAAGAAAGATCTAAGGGTGGTCCTAGATAGAAAAGTATCACCAGAGGTTCACAAAGAACATCGTGGGGAGACTATGCTACACTACCTAATTTCAGAATTGCTTTTAAATACACAGATGATGAATTAAAGAAATTGTTTACGAAATTTGTTAGACCAAAGCTGGAATATGCAGTGGTTGTATGGTGCAATATCTTAAAAAGCACATCAACAAACTGGAAATGGTGCAAAGACATGCAACTAAATGGCTCCCAGAACTGAAGGACAAGAGCTATGAGGAGAGATTAGAGGCATTAAATGTGCCAAAACTAGAAGATACAAGAAAAAACCAGCATTGAAAGTAATGAAATGCCATTGTCTGGGCAAGCCACGGAGGCTTCCTGAAGCTATTCAAACTGATATGTACTAAATTAGTTTGGGGGTTATCCGTCACAGGAGTCCTTATGTCTACCGGGAACCACGAGCCAGAACCTGGTCCTCTCAGAGAGGTCCTCTCTCTCAATGGCCTATGAGCACCTTACATTTAAAGGACTGTATGTCATAATTGCCATCAACCGGGAAAGGCTCCCAGAAAAATAGGCAAAACAAAACGGACTACAATCTGGTGAAAATTGCGACCTATGTCCAAACATAGCCAAAGAACTCCCCCCAGAAAAAAAACAAATAAGCAATACTTCATCCAACAAACATTTCTGCTCATTAGTGCTCCCACCCAAAGGGGGGAGGGGAAGCTGCCAGCCCACCAATCCAGTTCTAGAACGATGAAGATCGCTGACCAGAGGGAGGGATGGCATCAGGGAGCCTCTGGCGCTCGCCCAGAAAATAGTGTTTCATTACATTCAACAATGCTTTTCTGTGGGAAGCCTCTTTGGTTCCTTGAAGCTAACTACCCACAGATAAGAAAAAACAAGGACTTACCCAGGAGGCGGCAGCACCGCAGGTCTCAAGGTGAAGAAGAGACTGACGGCTGCAACAGTCTCCCCAATGCAACAAGGCCGAAGAGGGCTCAGGATGGTCATGAGATACTTGGCGGCCAGGACCCTGTTAGACCTCCAAAACTCCTGCGCCCGAATGTCGACCCAAGACATATTACCAAAGACAGCAACAAGAGCAGCATACTACCTCACATCACAGGCACAATAGTAGACCACGGGCTGGCCAGACTCAAGCATGCAAGTCCGACAGAATGCATGTCACGCCCCCAACGAAAGGAAATGGAGGTCTGCCAGCCAGGAAGACTCTGGCACCTCGTAACGTACCTAGTAAGGAAAAGAGGAGCCAAACTCAAAAGAAGAAGGATCCATTATCAAGGCGTAATCCGGGTCTCGTCGGAGGTAAGCCCCAAGGTTCTCCCACACCTTTCTTTGCGGGATGTGGGCTGAAGAAAACTTTCGAAAGGAGGGAACCGAGGAACCCAAAGGAACCCTGGAACCGAACCCATATCAAACTCGTACAGGGAAGGGAGATAGGTACCACTGCACCATGGGTACCAATACCCAAGCAGGGTCAAATGGGGCTCAAGACCCTTCCCCCCCCCCCCCCCCCCCCAAGGCCTCCAAACCCTCTGCCTTTGGAGAAAAGGCAGAGTCTATGGGGAAAAGCAGGGAAGAAGGGGGCCCACCGTCATTACCCAAAAGCTCTGGCAGGAGGAACAGGCTCGAATGCCTCCACCGCCGATCCGGAAGGGGCAGTCCCCGAAGCCGTCCAAGTCTCACCACCAAGAAAGCCCTGCCCTGATTCTGAAACCCTCAGACGTTTGGGAGCCGATAGTAGGGAGTTGGGGGGAGCAGGATGAACCACAGCAGGGAAAGGACAAGAGGGCGAGAATGAAACCAAAGTCGAGGCGACTAACGCCCCTAAGTCTGGGTCCCTATAACCAAAGTGGAGCAGCTGTGGGGCATCCGAAAAGGCAACCAACCTAGCATGTTGCAGCACCCTAAACCGTGCATGCAATGCTGAAGCTGCCTGCACCCAAATATCAATATCATTGGACTGGGTGAATTGGAGTTCAAGCAAGGAACACCACTCGCAAGACTCTGGGTCGAAGATGTCATTGACCCAACAAGCAGAAAACCCGAGACAAGGGGACAGAGCAACCATAAAACCAACACGAAGAGAGATGGGACTCAAGAGGACACATCCATTGGACCAATGAGCCCAATTTGAGTTTCCAGGGCCCTTAGGCTGACTGCTAAGGGAAGCCCAGGCAAGGTACTGCTAACCTGTTATTCCAGAACTACCAAGCAACAATCAAAATACTGAACCCCTGTGACGTGTGCAATCACGGGGAGCTAGTGGAGGGCCACAAAAATAACACAAGTGGTCCTACAGCCACACCAGGCAAAACAAAACAAAAAAGAACCACCCTGCAAAAACAACGTCTCCAGGAGGAACAGAACTCGCCACTATGCGTATTATAAGACAGCTACACAGTACCTTGTGCCCCAGCCAGCGACAATGCTACCTCCTACCCAAGGCCAAACAGTGGTAGGACAAACCCCAGCTGACCCCAAGGGCCAGCAATTACCGAGCAGCAAAAGAACTATGCGGAAGTAGCCCCCGAACAGTTTGTGGAAGGTAACCTCAAACTGCAAGGGCAGTACTTACAGGGCACCATGGGAAGGTAACCCCTAGGTGCATGCAGCCCCAGTACTTCAAGAATAACACCTGGCTCGCATACCACCACACTGCAGCACAACACTGCTCGAAGATTGGAGCCAGAGTCGATCGACCACCACCCAACATAACAGCCTCAGAACTAGGGTTGGGTAGCCGGCACAGGAAGACTGGGACCCCCCTCCCCCTGCTTGCTTGTTTGCTTTTCAGTTTGCAATGTTTAACCAGCTGTAGTGTGTTTTGGGATTTATACCTTTCTGGTTGCCTGACCTGGTAGATGGCAGACAGACTGCTTCCAGCTACATGGGGGTGTCTCGTGCCTCTCTAAGGGGGACAGGTTCTGGCTCGTGGGCCACAGTAGGCTTAGAACTCCATCGACTGTCAGTTGCCACAGTCTAATATATACACATCAGCCCGGTATAGCTCCAGGGAGCCGGAGGAGCTCTCCACAGAAACTTCACTGGTAATGGGAACTTGTTTGGCTTAAGTTTTGTCCTTAAATAACTTTTTCCCAGGTATCAACTATTGAGCATGCCATTTTCACTTCCTACACAGATTTGCCCAGATGTTAGTACAGTGTTCTACGGTGGGAGTACACCTGGGATCATTCTCAACTCCTAATCTGAAATCCTGGATTTGAATTCCAAGTAGGACAGAAATGATTGAGCAAGTTTCCCTTCACTTAATGCCACTGTTCACTTAGCAGTAAATAGGTACCGGGAGTTAGTCAACTGTTGTCGAGTTGCGTCCTGTAGAGGTCAATAGTCTGACCTTGGGGCAAACTCAATGCAAGCCTTACATTTATACATACATAGGCATTTACCCTGACATAATGAATTACAGTATTATCATTAAAATATAAAGTTCCTTCAGTAAATATAAAGTCAAAGTACTTATTTAGAATGCCATTTATTTCTTGGCCATTATTCACTTGGCTTAACTCATTTTTCTGAGAATCTGTGGAGAATCTACTATTACTGTCAGCTAAGTGTACTCGTTGCCACATATTTTCGTGAGTCAATGTACCTGACTCTTCAACATGTGTGTGTGTGAATCTGTCAGTCTCTCAAGACTCAGATTCTGAATGCCTTGCTAGCATTCAGTATTTAGCTATTTCTCTCTCAGTGTCTCAAGTTCAACATTGAATATTTGCCTGCAGCAAGTTTAATAATGCTATTATAGCTCCCTGGAGCATACCTGGAGGGGGTCTCGGGAGCTCTTCTACTCTCCGAGCCCAGCCTGAGACCAGGCTCAACTTGTGATAACCTGGTCCAACAGGCTGTTGCTTGGAATAGCCCACAGGCTCACATATCCACTACAGCCTGGTTGGTCCGGCACTTCTTACAAGAACTTGTCCAAGTGCCTCTTGAATACATCCACGTTTGTTCCGGCAATATTTCTAATACTTGCTGGGAGGGGGTTGAACAGCCGTGGACCCCTATTCCCAGAACAGTAAAGGTTCCCCATAACCGGTTAAAAAATTTGCCTGGTGCACATGCAATTTATCTTTCTCTCTCTCTCCAAGGGTATCTATTCATATCATTGGTATGTACAATCCATGTCCTCATGTATAGGTACTAAGTATACTAAGCATACTTAGTACAGTATACATTTAGTACTAAGTATACACTAAGTATAGACTACTAACCTGTGCACCAGCAGTCATGGGTGAAGGTCCTCCCGCCTGTGACCCTGGTGGTATTGGTGATGGGCCCCGAGGTCCCCCTGGGTAAGGCCCCCTTACCCCAGTCCCCATAGCTCCAGCCATCTGATACTGTTGAGGAGTTAAAGTACCAGGCTGAGAAGAATTGGGGTAGGAGCCCATAGGTGACATGCGATTTTGGTATGGCACCATTCCTCCTGGCATCTGTGCTTGCTGTTGGTTTCCTGGCTGCTGCTGCTGGGCCTGTTGCTGCTGCTGTGATTGTTGTTGGGGCTGCTGTTGATGATGGTGTTGCTGCTGTTGCTGTTGCTGCTGCTGCTGTTGTGCCATTTGTTGTTGTAATAATTGTCGCTTTTTAATTTCCATTTCACTCATACCACTATTTTGATTGTTGTACATGGCATTTGTTTGATTCATGTTACTAGTATACATTTGATTATTAATGCTCCCTGGCTGAGCCATCATGCCAGGGCCTGCAGGATTATTAATGTTATTCAACTGATAATCGGCAAAACCCTGCCGAATATTATTAGGTCCAGTGGACACCATCTTTATTTGATGTTGCTCTGCCATTTGCTTCAGAGTTTGAGCAGCAGGAATCATGTCAGATTGGCCCATTCGTATTTTTGGCACACTACTGGTGGCAGAGAAGGGAGTTGGGGAGCCAGACGTACTAGAGGTGGAGGTGGGGTTGAATGAGGTTTGGGTGAAGGAGGTAGGTGGGGTAGAGGTATGAGACACTGGGGGAGTTCCTGGATATTGTGAAAACACTGGAGAAGCTGAGGAAGTAGATGTACCCCCTGCCTTACTCATAGCAACCTGAGGGCTCTGAGCATTAGCATTCCCACTTGCAACACCACTGTCACTACTAACACTAGACGGTTCATTATCGAATAAATTATCCACAGATTCCTCTTTCACAAAATCACCCAAACCAGAGTTACTATTTTCTTGTTTAATATTGTCAAAATCTAAATCACTCATAAACTGATCAAAATTGATCCCCATATCATCAATATCACCAATGTTACCAAAGTCATCAATGTCATCAAGGAGGGTGATGTCTAGATCTTGCTGCTCTTTTTTGACATCATCTACAGGGGAGCCATTTGAGGCAGAGGTAGTAGCACCTGTAGGCACAGGAGATTCCGTTTTTTTTATATTAGGAAGTTGTTGCACCATTTGAAAATCGTTGATGTCTCCTGTTGCTCCACTGGATTGGGATGAGCCAGCATGAATAGGGCCCCCATGAGGAGGCCCACCATGAGGACCACCACCATGGGAAGGATTGCTATGCATGGGTCCCCCATGAGGTGGGCCACCATTATTCAAACGTTGCTTTTTGGCAGCTGGTTCATTTTCATGGGTCTCGCCAGATGAAGTGGTCTGGTCATGCCCTCGGGCAAGCATCTTCGACTGCTGAAAAAAGATAAATTTTGTTAAAAGTTAAGAGCACAATAACACAAACTAGTTTACTGCTTACCCCTCACGGTAATCTATAATTTATACCAAACCAAACCAAACCAAACGACAGTTGCAAAATATTGAAAGGCTAGATAAAAATTTCAATATGTATACTGTATTGTGCTTGCTCCAGACTTTTTTCTCATCCTCATAATGAACATAAATGACAAACTATATTACAGTACTGTATTATCATTTGCAAATGTCACAATAATTTTGATGAAAGTACAGCATAGAGGTCATGCCAACCCTCCAAGCTTATGCAAATAAGGTTTTTCAATGTGATACAATGTTTAATATTACTGTATGTTTAATGAAGATAAGTTTCAGCTTAAGCGCTACAGAAAAAACTAACATATAAAAACAAAACTTTCATAAAACAATCAACTCACACTATAGAACGAAAAAGCAATACAAGAGATTTGGGAGATGGACGAAAAGGTGGTGGCCGAAGTTGAGAATCTGAAATTGCAAGAATTCATCATTCATCACCTTGAGGTTACCTTGAGGTGCTTCCGGGGCTTAGAGTCCCTGCAGCCCGGTTGTCAATCAGGCCTCCTGGTTGCTGGACTGGTCAACCAGGCTGTTGGATGCTGCTGCTTGCAGCCAGATGAACGATTCACAGCCTGGTTGATCAGGTTTCTTTTGGAGGTGTTTATCCAGTTCTCTCTTGAACATTGTGAGGGGTCAGCCAGTTATGCCCCTTATGTGTAGTGGAAGCGTGTTGAACAGTCTCGGGGCTCTGATGTTGATAATTCTCTCTCTCTCTCTCAGAGTACCTGTTGCACCTCTGCTTTTCAACGGGGGTATCCTGAACATCCTGCCGTGCCTCCTGGTCTCATGTGATGTTATTTCTGTGTGCAGGTTTGGGACCATCCCCACTACTATTTTCCATGTGTTAATTATTATGTATCTCCCCCACCTGCGCTCAAGGGAATACAGATTTAGGCTCTTTAGTCGGTCCCAGTAGTTTAGATGTTTTACTGAGTGGATTCTAGCAGTAAAGGATCTCTGCACAGTCTGCAGGTCAGCAAACTCATGGATGCATGAAGAATTGGAATGGAAGTGACAGCTGAACAGAGGAATTACAGAATCAGTGGTAAAGACAAAGCCACTGCCTTGATCACTTTATCCTTACCTTATGTTCACTATTGTGGTTGTGAGGATCAATGTTCGTACTGTCCAACTGACCAGACCATTTGGTTAGTGGTCTGGCCAGCCAGGCTCTGTTAGATGCAGCTGCTTGGCCTGACTTGTGAATTACAATTCAGTTGATCACACAGTTGAACAATAGCGAGATGCATCAAATGGACAAATCCACAAGGGTTCGAGGGTTCGAACCTACTTCCAAGAGGATCCCAGACACTGCCTTAATCGACTGAGAAGTCAGTCGATTGAGGCAGCATCTGGGATCCTCTCGGACCTAGGTTCGAACCCTTGTAATAGCCCTTGCATGTGGATTTGTTCTTGTTACAGCTATTTTATTGAGTACTTTATAAGTAAATTCTTTCAAAATGAGTACTCCCAAAATTTTTATACTGTCTTTTCATTCTATTGTGTGATTTGGCAGTGGCATTCGGTACTATGGGTTTTGTGCTAAATTTGAATGTTACTCTTATTCTGTGTGAATCGTTTGCAGAGTTGTTTGGCGTTTTTGAGGTTTTGCTCTTTGTTTCTCTTCTGTTGTAGGTAAAGTTCTACTAAATTTTTTATGCTTTCTTGATGTGATGGTAAATTGTCACTTGCTCTTTGAACCTCTGGGGAATATCAGATTTCAGCTCTGGTCACATGTAGGTCAAACAAAACTTCCCTGTCTGATATGACCTAGTTGCATGGCACAATCTGAGCGAGGTACATTCAGCAAGCCATTGGAGCTCATCCAGAAAGAGGCCTTTCATTCCTTTCAATGCTGGACTTTTTCCATATCCATAGAGCAGGAACTAGATCTTCATTACACCATGTTATTTCTTGTTGCCCATTGAAAAACCCAATTTCCATCAATTTGGAGGTTTGCTTTGTCCTTCATATTGTCTACTCTCAAAAAAACACATGACATCCACAAAGGATGCTATGGTACTATAGTTTGTGTATTGCTTATGTCTGATACAGAAGCATGTATGACAAATTAGAAGAAAACTCACTGGGTTGTACTGTCACTTGTACCCCAGACACAGCTGGGACTTAGCACCCAAATAAATAACAAAATATCTTTATGAATGATGTACAAAACCCTACCTACCGTGCGGGTCTACCTTGTGTAGCTTCCCGGGTATCAATGGTCCCGCAGCCCGGTCTCCGACCAGGCCTCCCGATTCGTTGTTTGGTCAACCAGGCTGTTGGACATGGCTCCTCGCAGCCTGATGTACGAATCATGCCTCGTTGAGCAGGTATTCTCTGGAGGTGTTTGTTGAGGTCTCTCTTGAACACTGAGAGGCCAGCCAGTTATGCCACTTATAAGTAGTGAGAGTGATGAAAAGTCTTGGGTCCTTGATGTTGATGGAGTTCTCTCTCAGAGTACCTGTTGCACCTCTGCTTTTCAACAGGGGTATTTTGCACATCCTGTCATGCCTCCTGGTCTCATGTGATGTTGATACCTGGTTGATGGGGTTCTGGGAGTTGTTCTACTCCTCAAGCTCAGCCCGAGGCCATGCTTGACTTGTGACAGTTTTATCCACCAGGCTGTTGCTTGGAACAGCCCGCAGGCCCACATACCCACCACAGCCCGGTTGGTCCGGCACTCCTTGGAGGAAACAATCTAGTTCAAACAGTCTGGTTGACCAGTCCAGCAACGAGAAGGCCTAGTCGACAATCGGCCGCGGGGACGCTAAGAACCGGAAACACCTCAAGGTAACCTGAATGTAAGGTGGTCAGCCCCTGGTCCTAACTCGTGGAATTTCCATATTTACAGAGAAGTGTAAAGAAACGTATTACTGAACCAGTAATAATAATACCTGTACTAGTAATAATACCAGTATAATCAAAAACACACAAAAAATACTGGAAGGTCAGGTTTCAAATCTACACAGTAGAATAACAATATAATGGAGTGAAACGATATGGAAAGAAATGCAGAATAGAACCAGTAAACAGCAGAGGTGCCATACCTTACCTTGACCTTGCCATAGAAACAATCAGATACAGAGAACACGGTATAAACATCAGAGGTCCACGGTTGTTCAATATCCTCTCCATGAGTATAAGAAATATTGCTGGAACAAAAGTGGACATCTTCAAGAGAAAACTGGATAGTTCGGCCCCGAACTCTCGGGGCCGGGCTCTCTCTCGGGCCCGGCCCGAGACGTGGAAGATACTGTAGGGCTCAAATCTACACAGTAAAATAACAACATACTGGAGTGAACGATATGGAAGAAAATGCAGAATAGAACCAGTGAAGAGCAGGGGTGCCATAGGCACAATCGGAGAGAACTGTATAAACATCAGAGGTCTGCAGTTGTTCAACATCCTCTCAGCAAGCATAAAAAATATTACCGGAACAACCGTGGACATCTTCAAGAAGAAACTATGTTGTTTCCTCCAAGGAATGCCGGACCAACCGGGCTGTGGTGGGTATGTGGGCCTGTGGGCCGCATACCTGGTTGATACCCAGGTTGATGGGGTTCTGGGAGTTCTCCTACTCCCCCAAGCCCGGCCCGAGGCCAGGCTTGACTTGTGAGAGTCTGGTCCACCAGGCTGTTGCTTGGAGCGGCCCGCAGGGCCACATACCCACCACAGCCCGGCTGATCCGGAACTTCTCTTAGAAAACCGTCCAGTTTTCTCTTGAAGATGTCCACGGTTGTTCCGGCAATATTTCTTATAGTCGCTGGGAGGACGTTGAACAACCGCGGACCTCTGATGTTTATACAGTGCTCTCTGATTGTGCCTATGACACCTCTGCTCTTCACTGGTTCAATCTTGCATTTTCTTCCATGTCGTTCACTCCAGTACGTTGTTATTTTACTGTGTAGATTTGGGACCCGACCATCCAGTATTTTCCATGTGTATATTATTTGGTATCTCTCTCGTCTCCTTTCTAGAGAGTACATTTGGAGAGCTTTGAGACGATCCCAATAATTTAGGTGTTTTATCTCGTCTATGCGTGCCGTATATGTTCTCTGTATTCCCTCTATTTCAGCAATCTCTCCTGCTCTGAAGGGGGAAGTGAGTACTGAGCAGTACTCGACACGGGACAACACAAGTCACTTGAAGAGTACAACCATTGTGATGGGATCCCTGGATTTGAAAGTTCTCGTAATCCATCCGATCATTTTTCTGGCTGACGCGATATTTGCTTGGTTATGCTCCCTAAACGTTAGATCGTCGGACATCATTATTCCCAAATCCTTGACATGCTGTTTTTCTACTATGGGAAGATTCGATTGTGTTTTGTACCCTGTATTATGTTTCAGATCCTCATTTTTGCCGTACCTGAAATTTATCACTGTTAAACATCATGTTATTTTCTGCTGCCCAATCAAAAACTTTGTTGACATCTGCTTGTAGTTTTTCAACGTCTTCAGCAGAGGTAATTTTCATGATGATTTTTGTGTCATCTGCAAAGGACGACACGAAGCTGTGACGTGTATTTTTGTCTATATCAGATATGAGAATAAGGAACAGTAGCGGTGCAAGGACTGTACATTGAGGTACAGAGCTTTTAACATCGCTTGGACTCGATTTTATCTGATTGACTGTTACTCTTTGTGTTCTGTTCGACAGGAAATTGAGTATCCAGTGTCCTACTTTTCCAGTTATTCCTATTGACCTCATTTTGTGAGCTATCACCCCATGGTCACATTTGTCGAACGCCTTTGCAAAGTCTGTGCATACAACATCTGCATTTTGCTTTTCTTCTAGGGCTTCTGTGATTTTGTCATAGTGGTTGAGTAACTGTGACAGACAGGATCGTCCCGCTGTAAATCCATGTTGTCCTGGATTGTGCAATTCATTGTTTTCCA